TAATAAACAAAATGTTATACAAATATGTGAATGTATTGATTACAATAAACAATAAACCGGGAGTGATCTCCCCTAAACTTTCTCGAATATTCTTATATAAAATAACAGGGGATGGGAACTCGGGCTATAGACATGATTTTTAATCCATTTTAAATACTTAAAGTTTTAAAAATAGAATAAAATCTCGTAGACAAATTAATTGCACACCAAGTGAACGCCAAATAAAAAAGCGCATAATGGTGCGCAATATTATTATTACTTTTAAAATGTACATTAGTTTTTTGAGAAATCGGAAGTAGCGTAAAGTACTACTTCCAGTTAACGGAAATGACTCAAAATTTAATAGAAGGTAGAGAATTAGATCTTTTACTTACATATGAAATTTCATTTATCTATCTGAAATAGTACTCAAGTTATAGGCTTTTGAAAAATTCAAAGTAGGAAAAGTACCACTTCCGGTTATCGGAAATCGCTCAAAAGTTGATACGGATCTACGATTTTGATTAAATACTTATAAATGAAATTTCATCAACCTAGCTGTAACGGTACTCAAGTTATCGTGTTTATACACGGACAGACAGACAGACACACAGACACACAGACAGACACACAGACATACGGACAAGATTGCAAAATTATGTTTTTCCGTATCAGTGAGGTCGTCGAGATTTGTAAAAATCTCGATTTTTTTTTTGCACGATTACAAGACTTTCTCTATACTTCGTATATACGAGAAAGTAAAAAGTTATACAAATATTTGAATGTATTGATTACAATAGACAAAAAGTTATTTAAATAAACCGGGAGTGATCTCCCCTAAACTTTCTCGAATATTCTTATATAAAATAACAGGGGATGGGAACTCGGGCTATAGACATGATTTTTAATCCATTTTAAATACTTAAAGTTTTAAAAATAGAATAAAATCTCGTAGACAAATTAATTGCACACCAAGTGAACGCGAATAAAAAAGCGCATAATAGTGCGCAATATTATTAGTACTTTTAAAATTTACATTAGTTTTTTGAGAAATCGGAAGTAGCGTAAATAAGTACTTCCGGTCAACGAAAAATTCTCAAAATTTGACAGAAGGTAGAGAATTAGATCTTTTACTTACATATCACATTTTATTTATCTATCTGAAATAGTACTCAAGTTATAGGCTTTTGAAAAATTCAAAGTAGAAAAAGTACCACTTCCGGTTATCCGAAATCGCTCAAAAGTTGATACGGATCTACGATTTTGATAAAATACTTATATATGAAATTTCATCAACCTAGCTGTAACAGTACTCAAGTTATCGTGTTTACACACGGACACACACACACACAGACACACAGACATACGGACAGAATTGCAAAGCCCAGTTTTTCAGACTGGAATACGCATAAAACCTTTTAATTTTGATAAATCTGGATTGATAATTTTTGCCCGATTAAAATAAGTCCTCTATACTTCGGATGTGATGAAGGACTGAGGTGTAATACGGTGAAAATAGTTAAAATTTCAAGTGATTTTTGTGCACGATTACAATACTTTCTCTATACTTCGTATATACGAGAAAGTAAAAATGTTGGGCTTGTGGTATCTAACTGGGCGGTGGCTGTATCAACAGTGAATTGTTTTAGATTTGTGTGAGTGGTTTTAATTTTGTGTGAGTGGTTTTATTTTTGTGTTAGTGGTTTGTGTGGGTGGTTTTAGTTTTGTGTGGGTGGTTTTAGTTTTGTGTGAGTGGTTTTAGTTTTGTGTTAGTGGTTTGTGTGGGTGGTTTTAGTTTTGTGTGGGTGGTTTTAGTTTTGTGTGAGTGGTTTTAGTTTTGTGTGAGTGGTTTTAATTGTGTGTGAGTGGTTTTAGTTTTGTGTGAGTGGTTTTAATTGTGTGTGAGTGGTTTTAGTTTTGTGTGAGCGGTTTTAATTTGTGTACATGGTTTTAGTTTTGTGTGAGTGGTTTTAGTTTTGTGTGAGTGGTTTTAGTTTTGTGTGAGTGGTTTTAATTTGTGTACCTGGTTTTAGTTTTGTGTGGGTGGTTTTAGTTTTGTGTGGGTGGTTTTAGTTTTGTGTGAGTGGTTTTAGTTTTGTGTGAGTGGTTTTAATTGTGTGTGAGTGGTTTTAGTTTTGTGTGAGTGGTTTTAATTGTGTGTGAGTGGTTTTAGTTTTGTGTGAGTGGTTTTAATTTGTGTACCTGGTTTTAGTTTTGTGTGGGTGGTTTTAGTTTTGTGTGAGTGGTTTTAGTTTTGTGTGAGTGGTTTTAATTGTGTGTGAGTGGTTTTAGTTTTGTGTGAGTGGTTTTAATGGTGTGTGAGTGGTTTTAGTTTTGTGTGAGTGGTTTTAATTGTGTGTGGGTGGTTTTAGTTTTGTGTGAGTGGTTTTAGTTTTGTGTGAGTGGTTTCAGTTTTGTGTGAGTGGTTTTAATTGTGTGTGAGTGGTTTTAATTTGTGTACCTGGTTTTAGTTTTGTGTGAGTGGTTTCAGTTTTATTTGAGTGGTTTTAGTTTTGTGTGAGTGGTTTTAATTGTGTGTGAGTGGTTTTAGTTTTGTGTGAGTGGTTTTAATGGTGTGTGAGTGGTTTTAGTTTTGTGTGAGTGGTTTTAATTGTGTGTGGGTGGTTTTAGTTTTGTGTGAGTGGTTTTCGTTTTGTGTGGGTGGTTTTAGTTTTGTGTGAGTGGTTTTAGTTTTGTGTGGGTGGTTTTAGTTTTGTGTGAGTGGTTTTAGTTTTGTGTGGGTGGTTTTAGTTTTGTGTGAGTGGTTTTAGTTTTGTGTGAGTGGTTTCAGTTTTGTGTGAGTGGTTTTAATTGTGTGTGAGTGGTTTTAATTTGTGTACCTGGTTTTAGTTTTGTGTGAGTGGTTTCAGTTTTATTTGAGTGGTTTTAGTTTTTAATTTTGTGAGGGTGGTTGTAATTTTGTGTGAGTAGTTTTAATTTTGTGTGAGGGACGTTTTGTGCGAGGGGTGTGGGGCGTTAGATCAAGATTTATTGGTAAATTGTAAGTCTGTAATGAATGTTGTAATGAAGAGAGATGTTTAAATAAAATGTTTCAGTATTTGACTTAAATATCTTGCATGTATTGAACAGTCATCATGTGTGAATGAGTGTGTGTGTGTGTGTGTGTGCGTGTGTGTGCGTGTTTGATTGTAGCATGTGTGGGGTTGCTGGTATTGTGTGGGATTTGTGTGCGGGAATTTTCTGGATTTTGTGTGGGAGTTCTAGGTCTCCCTCACAATTCACGGGAGCCCGGGTGGTTCCCTACACAGGAGCCCAGGTGGTTCGCATGTACAGACAAAACGTTTACAACAAGAATTTCAGATGATGACATGTTGTATTGGTCTCATCATCGCACGTCAACATAGGTCAACAGCACTTTTCTCTTGTTTACGTTCATCTCAGGTTGACACCATTCATATATTATGTTAATTTTATGTGTTACACCATACATATATGTTCTTCTCATGTTTACCCCCATACACATATGTTCATTTTATGTTTACCCCATACATATATGTCAATCTCATGTGTTACACCATACATATATGTTAATCTTATCCGGTGCTAATTGATAACAAGGGGACGTTATTTATAACGATACAGTGCGGACTAGGATCATGACGACCCCTATGTAACACAAACCAGTCCTGATTGGGGTCAAAAAGAGACCCCATACCTCAGCTGTAGCATCATGTATGTACAGCCTCCCCACCACCATCTCCATTAATGTTCATAAAATATTCATTGTGAGTATGTTCAGTTCATGAAAATGTGGTGTGATCAACCGCCTTGTTCTTTGGTAACACAACACACTGGGGAGATTGATGTATGTGGTATATGATGTGTCTGTCATGTGTTGTATGCGTTTATGTGTTATGTGTTCTGTCCGTCATGTGTTGTGTGTTATGTGTTGTGTGATTTATGTGTTCTATCTCCCATGTGTTGTGTGTTATGTGTTGTGTGATTTATGTGTTCTATCTCCCATGTGTTGTGTGTTATGTGTTATGTAAGTTTTGTTACGGTGCTTTGTGCTTTGAGCGTGTCGTTAATCCATTGATTCGCTTAAGAAGATTAGACCTCGCTACAAAGTCGAAAAAATCAATTTACTACAAGCAATGGCAAAGTACTCGGCACTAAGTTATGGTAATATATGTAACACCATATGGCCAACGTTATGGTAACTAATATTTATGGGAGTTGTCATAAAACTTATGGCAATGCATAATTCTGGCTTGTTATTCTATAAGTTATAATTGTGGTGGCTATATTGATATTTTCTGAAAATAGCTGTTTTAGACCAATGTCATATTTTTTTTCAAGTAATCGTTGACCTGACTTTAAGTATTTTCTGTTTGCTTCCCTAAACTAAATTGTAAACAAAGTGAACGTCTTTTTCAAACTGGCGACGATGTACGCACAAAACGGTGACGATGTACACATAATAATTGAACTATCCAGGTGAGTCACCATTTAATAACAAGCGATAAAAACGACGGTTGGCTATGCGCATGCGTATACTTACAGAGTGACATCCAATCAGCGAGGAGGACACCGACCTCTCAATTCAAGCATGAATGCACATCTAGTTTTTGGCCTCAATTTGGGTCAAGTTTTTACACTTCAGCGCGCATATGGCGCAAGCGATGACGTATGTCCGGTCACGATTAAGTGATCTTGGATTCAGTTGAGTGAGCTCAGAACACTGCTGGCGTATGCTGGGATATACTGCTCGTCTATACTGGGATACACTACTATTGTATGCTGGGATATACTGCTGGTGTATGCTGTGATATACGGCTCGTCTATACAGGGATATACTACTATTGTATGTTGGGAGATACTGCTGTTTTATTCTGGGATATACTGCTGTTTTATTCAGGGATATACTGCTGTTTTTATTCTGGGATATACTACTAGTGTATTCTGGGATTAACTCGCCATATGTGATATACTGCTGGGGAATACTGTATATACTGCCGTCTATACTTGGAAATACTTTTGATCTATACTTGGAAATACTTTTGGTCTACTTGGCGTGCTGTATGTGCTGAATCCTACAGTAATTGTTTTACGACATTGAAAGATCCACAGAATGACTAAAAGACAGGTATTAATGTTGACATAATTGTTCAAATCCTTGATACTATCAATGTGTATATTATTATGTGTGTAGTTGTTTATGTTAGTTTAGTATCACAGTTTACATCACAGTTTACATCACAGTTTACATCAGTGCTCTGTTATTGCTCACATCCATGCCTGTATCAATACATCTGTACATATTGATTTCGTATGTGTTATGGTCACAAGCTGGTGAGATCAAGAGTAGATTAGATAAGATGTAATCGGAAGGGGATCGAATCCCACTCTAGAGACGGATAGGTCTTGTTGGCCTGTACTGGTGTATGAAAGTAAAGGTGATTAGGGGTGAGACGGGAGGAGGTGAGTCGTGGTGAGACGGGTGGGGTGAGACGGGTGGGGTGAGACGGGTGGGGTGAGACGGGTGGGGTGAGACGGGTGGGGTGAGACGGGTGGGGTGAGACGGGTGGGGTGAGACGGGTGGGGTGAGACGGGTGGGGTGAGACGGGTGGGGGTGAGACAAAGTCGTTGTGAGAATAGTGTCGTTAGAATCATTTCCCGTCAGCGAATGTATTGTTTTCATCTTTGACCAGTCAACGGCAGTTGATTGTTGCAATGAATGTGTACACCATCTTTAGTTAAAGGCTTCAACGGCAGTTGATTGTTGCAATGAATGTGTACACCATCTTTAGTTAAAGGCTTCAACGGCAGTTGATTGTTGCAATGAATGTGTACACCATCTTTAGTTAAAGGCTTCAACGGCTGTTGATTGTTGCAATGAATGTGTACACCATCTTTAGTTAAAGGCTTCAACGGCTGTTCACTTCAACTTTTTAGATAAACGTATCTAAATACAAACATCACAAATACAAATATCATGAAACAAATAACACAAACATCTTAAACAGATACATCACAAACACAAACAACACAAACCTCACAATCACAAACCTCCAACAAACATTACAAACATTACGAACACAAACCTCCCTCAAGCATACTTCCTCAAGCTACTTCAAAAGAAAGTAAGTTTACCAACCCAATCAATACAACGACATGACGCACACGAATATTAATCTCTTTACTCTATTGAATATATCGCACAGGTGCTTCTACATATTTTATCTCGATGTAGCGACGTGGGGGTGGGGGGCTTGGGGGTGGGGGGCTTGGGGAAGGGGACTGAAGTTAATGAGTTTCATTAATTCCAAGCCTAGAATATAACGGTTGGTTTCATGAATATTTGTGTTAAAGAACTCATACAAGACGAACCACTCATCAATTATTTAAAAGTCTATTCAACTGTGTTCTACCACTTTGACGACAGGAATTTAATCGAAATCGATCTCCTTGTTTTGAAACACGACACGCTCTGAGTGTAGCTAGTAGCACACCGCTCACATTTCATAACGCTGTGAAATACGTCACTACAAATGAACACATGACTCTAAAAATAGATTGGTGTATGTCATTCAAATTTAAATAAAAATGACGCCAACAGTCATTGTCGGCCTATTAATTAAGGATTTTAATAATCAGGATAACAGCGTATCTACTCGTTAATATAATTAGCAGCTTACTAATTACAAGAACAGCTTATGAAAATGTAATTAATTTAAGTAGTAACATAATTAAAACAGCAGTGTTGGGTTCTAAATTCTTATCAGTTTTTCTTTTATTAATTGTATCTTTAATATTAAGGGGGTAGGCTCCAGAAAAAACCAACTTCTTAAGTAAAACCTTTTATTGATTCATTTGTGTATATCCAACTTAGGGTACTTGAAGGAAAATATTTCCATGCATCAGGGACTTTTTTGAAAATATGGTTGCCATGGCAACGGCGGCCATCTTGAAAAAAACATCATTTTCTGGAGTTCTAAAATTTCATAAACTAACATAAATATCGGCTATATAACCATTGATCCTTCTTGTACTAACGCTAATAGAGTCAGCTGGCTAGTTTTTGTAACAGAAATCACTCTAGAAATATTTTTTTTTAATTTTCAAAGTTTGGTGTGACGAAATTCCAATGAAAATAATGCTAAATTCAATGGAATTTCACCACATATTTTTTTGAAAATTTGAAAAAAATATTTCTAGCTGTTTTTTGGTTACAGAAATTAGCCAGCTGACTCTATTGGTGTTAGTACAATAAAGATCAATGATTATATGGGCGGTTTATATGTTACTTTAGGAAATTTTAGAACTCCACAAAAGGTAGTTTTTCCAAGATGGCCGCCGTTTCCATGGCAACCATATTTTCAGAAGAGTCCCTGGTACATCCAAATATTTTTCCTTAAGTACCCTAACTTATAATTACACAAATAAATGAAAAAGGCGTATTACTTAAAAAGTTTTTTTCTCCGTTTTTTTCGGGAGCCTATCCCCTTAAATCTTGATCAGCCCATTGACCCAGTACATTGACTAGTGCATTAACTTTTTAGATTGACCAGTGCATTGACCAGTTTATTGACCAGTTTATTGACCAGTACATTGACCAGTACATTAACCAGTACATTGACCAGTACATTGACCAGTACATTGACCAGTACATTGACCAGTACATTGACCAATACATTAACCAGTACATTGACCAGTACATTGACCAGTACATTGACCAGTACATTGACCAGTACATTGACCAGTACATTGACCAGTACATTTACCAGTACATTTACCAGTACATTGACCAGTACATTTACCAGTACACTGACCCCGTACATTGACCAGTACATTGACCAGTACATTGACCAGTACATTGACCAGTACATTGACCAGTACATTTACCAGTACACTGACCCCGTACATTGACCAGTACATTGACCAGTACATTGACCAGTACATTTACCAGTACACTGACCCCGTACATTGACCCCGTACATTGACCCCGTACACTGACCTCGTACATTGACCAGTCCACTGACCGATGCCGTCGTTTCTCTTCCAGCCCAGCTCCAACTCCAGCCAGACCTCAGCGTCCTCCATCAGCATCATCTCCACCAACGACTCGACGCAGAACATCATCAGCTATGACCCAACTGAAAGTAAGGCATCACGTCTAACCTACTTGAACGAAAATTACTTAGATACGATGTGCTAAAATACTTTACTGTAACAATAGATCATCGCACATATGTATGTATAGCTAGTCGAAACTTTAATTCCAATCAGTTTTATGTTAAAATCTTCATTCTATTTCTACCTGACTAGTTTTATGAATATTAAAACCTTCCAACTATTTCTCCTTGACAAGTTTTATGTTAAAATCTTCCAACTATTTCTACCTTACTAGTTTTAAGTTAAAATCTTCCAAATATTTCTACCTGACCAGTTTTAAGTTAAAATCTTCCAACTATTTCTACCTCACTAGTTTTATGTTCAAATCTTCCAACTATTTCTACCTGACCAGACACAGATTCCAGTTTTGACTTCGTGATGGACCTGAGGGAGCTGAACAAAGACTCGGAGACCACGTTCGAGTTTGTTTCAGATGCCAGCGACATCCTGTGTGGAACCAGTAGGTGTTGGGTGATTGGTTGTCTGCTACACCTGTCATTGTCTGCTACACCTGTCATTGTCTACTACACCTGTCATTGTCTGCTACACCTGTCATGGTCTGCTACACCTGTCATTCTCTGCTACACCTGTCATTGTCTGCTACACCTGTCGTTGTCTGCTACACCTGTCATTGTCTGCTACACCTGTCATGGTCTGCTACACCTGTCATGGTCTGCTACACCTGTCATTCTCTGCTACACCTGTCATGGTCTGCTACACCTGTCATTCTCTGCTACACCTGTCATTGTCTGCTATTGTCTGCTACACCTGTCATTGTTGGCTACACCTGTCATTGTCTGCTACACCTGTCATTGTCTGCTACACCTGTCATTGTCTGCCACACCTGTCATTGTCTGCCACACCTGTCATTGTCTGCCACACCTGTCATTGTCTGCCACACCTGTCATTGTCTGCCACACCTGTCATTGTCTGCTACACCTGTCATTGTCTGCCACACCTGTCATTGTCTGCCACACCTGTCATTGTCTGCCACACCTGTCATTGTCTGCCACACCTGTCATTGTCTGCTACACCTGTCATTGTCTGATACACCTGTCATTGTCTGCTACACCTGTCATTGTCTGCTACACCTGTCATTGTCTGCTACACCTGTCATTGTCTGCTACACCTGTCATTGTCTGCTACACCTGTCATTGTGTGATACACCTGTCATCGTCTGCTATTGTCTGCTACACCTGTCATTGTCTGCTACACCTGTCATTGTCTGCTACACCTGTCATTGTCTGCTACACCTGTCATTGTCTGCTACACCTGTCATTGTGTGATACACCTGTCATCGTCTGCTATTGTCTGCTACACCTGTCATTGTCTGCTACACCTGTCATTGTCTGCTATTGTCTGCTACACCTGTCATTGTCTGATACACCTGTCATTGTCTGCTACACCTGTCATTGTCTGCTACACCTGTCATTGTCTGCTACACCTGTCATTGTCTGCTACACCTGTCATTGTCTGCTACACCTGTCATTGTCTGCTACACCTGTCATTGTCTGCTACACCTGTCATTGTCTGCCACACCTGTCATTGTCTGCTATTGTCTGCTACACCTGTCATTGTCTGCTACACCTGTCATTGTCTGCTACACCTGTCATTGTCTGCTACACCTGTCATTGTCTGCTACACCTGTCATTGTTGGCTACACCTGTCATTGTTGGCTACACCTGTCATTGTCTGCTACACCTGTCATTGTCTGCTACACCTGTCATTGTCCGCCACACCTGTCATTGTCTGCTACACCTGTCATTGTCTGCTATTGCCTGCTACACCTGTCATAGTCTGCTACACCTGTCATTGTCTGCCACACCTGTCATAGTCTGCTACACCTGTCATTGTCTGCTACACCTGTCATAGTCTGCTACACCTGTCATTGTCTGCTACACCTGCCATTGTCTGCTACACCTGTCATTGTCTGATACACCTGTCATTGTTGGCTACACCTGTCATTGTTGGCTACACCTGTCATTGTCTGCTACACCTGCCATTGTCTGCTACACCTGTCATTGTCTGCCACACCTGTCATTGTCTGCTACACCTGTCATTGTCTGCTACACCTGTCATTGTCTGCTACACCTGTCATTGTCTGCTACACCTGTCATTGTCTGCTACACCTGCCATTGTCTGCTACACCTGTCATTGTCTGATACACCTGTCATTGTTGGCTACACCTGTCATTGTCTGCTACACCTGCCATTGTCTGCTACACCTGTCATTGTCTGCTACACCTGTCATTGTCTGCTACACCTGTCATTGTCTGCTACACCTGTCATGGTCTGCTACACCTGTCATTCTCTGCTACACCTGTCATTGTCTGCTATTGTCTGCTACACCTGTCATTGTCTGCTACACCTGTCATTGTCTGCTACACCTGTCATTGTCTGCTATTGTCTGCTACACCTGTCATTGTCTGCTACACCTGTCATTGTCTGCTACACCTGCCATTGTCTGCTACACCTGTCATTGTCTGCTACACCTGTCATTCTCTGCTACACCTGTCATTGTCTGCTATTGTCTGCTACACCTGTCATTGTCTGCTACACCTGTCATTGTCTGCTACACCTGTCATTGTCTGCTACACCTGCCATTGTCTGCTATTGTCTGCTACACCTGTCATTGTCTGCTACACCTGTCATTGTCTGCTACACCTGTCATTGTCTGCTACACCTGCCATTGTCTGCTACACCTGTCATAGTCTGCTACACCTGTCATAGTCTGCTATATCTGTAATGTTTACTATACCTGTAATGTTTACTATGCCTGTCATTGTGTATGCTATGCCCGTCATTCTTTATGCTTTCAAACTCAAGACACTTTCTTTAGAAAACTGTATGGTCGAGTGGTAGTGGGTTCGACTCGAGTTTGAAAAATGTGCTCGAGGGCATTGTTATGACCACACTATCCCTTCACTGAAACATATTAACTCTACTCCACCTACCCATAGACCGTAAGGTTCAAAACAGTATATTGCTTAAATGTCCCCCTGCACATACTACGAAATTCAATTTATTTTGCACTCTTTTAGCTAATTTCAGGGATTAATATTTTCTCACTTTTTAATATGTATTTCCGAGGAGGAAGTAATTACCGTGGTCGGGTCGTAATTTACACAGCGTTAATTAATGTAGGGGTAATGACCGAAGGGGTAATTGACAAGGGGGGTAATTTCCTACAAATTCATCGAACGCATAGCTTTAATTAGTGTTGTTTTAAAATTCTGCATTCATTAACCTGTTGTCACGTGATCAGTTGCAGCCAACATGCTGATGGTAGCCCTTACCATCTACTCTCTGGTTCAAGCTGGCATGGGTAGGTGAGGCTTAATTAATTAATTAATTAATGGGTAGGTGAGGCTTAATTAATTAATTAATTAATGGGTAGGTGAGGCTTAATTAATTAATTAATTAATGGGTAGGTGAGGCTTAATTAATTAATTAATTAATGGGTAGGTACACGTTAATTAATTAATTAATTAATGGGTAGGTGCAGGTTAATTAATTAATTTATTAATTAATGGGTAGGTGAGGCTTAATTAATTAATTAATGGCATGGGTAGGTGCAGGTTAATTAATTAATTTATTAATTAATGGGTAGGTGAGGCTTAATTAATTAATTAATGGCATGGGTAGGTGCAGGTTAATTAATTAATTAATTAATTAATTAATGACATGGGTAGGTGAGGCTTAATTAATTAATTAATGGCATGGGTAGGTGAGGCTTTATTAATTAATTAATGGGTAGGTGAGGCTTAATTAAGTAATTAATTAATGGCATGGATGGGTGAAGCTTAATTAATTAATTAATGACATGGGTAGGTGAGGCTTAATTAATTAATTAATGGGTAGGTGAGGCTTAATTAATTAATTAATGGGTAGGTGCAGGTTAATTAATTAATTAATGGTATAGGTAGGTGTGGCTTAATTAATTAATTAATGGGTAGGTGAGGCTTAATTAAGTAATTAATTAATGGCATGGATGGGTGAAGCTTAATTAATTAATTATTGGCATGGGTAGGTGAGGCTTAATTAATGAATTAATTAAGTAATGGCATGGGTAGGTAAGGCTTAATTAATTAATTAATTAATTAATGGCATGGGTAGGTGCAGGTTAATTAATTAATGGCATGGGTAGGTAAGGCTTAATTAATAAATTAATGGCATGGGTAGGAGAGTCTTAATTAATTAATTAATAGCATGTGTAGGTGCAGGTTAATTAATTAATGGCATGGGGAGGTGAGGCTTAATTAATAAATTAATGGCATGGGTAGGATCAGGTTAATTAATTAATTAATGGCATGGGTAGGTGAATGCTTAATTAATTAATTAATTGGTAGGTGCAGGTTAATTAATTAATTAATGGCTTGGGTAGGTGCATGTTAATTAATTAATTAATGGCATGGGTTGGTGCAGGTTAATTAGTTAATTTATGGCATAGGTAGGTGCGTGCGTAATTGATTAATAAATGGCATGGGTAGGTGCAGGCTTTATTCATTAATTAATGGCATGGGTAAGTGAAGGCTTAATTAATTAATTAATTAATGGCATGCGTAGGTGCAGGTTTTAATAATTAATACATTAATGGCATAGGTAGGTACAGGCTTAATTAATTAATTAATTAATTAATGGGATGGGCAGGTAAAAGGTTGATTTTTATATTAAATAGTTGTTTGTTGACGATGTATTATTGTACGACACATTATGATCCGCTCACCCCACCCCCAGACGATCACCCTACCCCCATGTTGACCTACTATCTGCCCCACCCCCTAACGAGCACCGTATCCCCACCCCCAGGCGTACAGTACCTAGAAGACTGCCCAGACGAGCACCGTATCCCCATCTTCCTGTTCGCTGGTGGGACCGTCGCCACCCTCAAGACGATACACGTACTCTACTTCAACTACAAGGTCGCCAAACACGCCTCTGATATCTTGATGTCTCGAAGGTAAGGAGACGAGAGCTTGTTGACTCACGGTCTTAGAGTTCCAGAATTGGAATTGGTTAACTTAACACGCTTATGATGTCAGTTCATACCTAAACATTACTGGCGTCCAATTTTGGCCTAATTGTCTTATTGCTACAACAAATCATTTATAAACGGCAATTATTAGTATAAAGCCTATTATTGAACTACAGTGGGAATAATATCAAAACTTTGCCTTATTGCATTGCCTGCTAACAAAAATTTTAAGATTTAATACTCCCCCCCCCCCCCGTCCTAGTTTTAAAAAAACAATGTTTAATACAAAATCATGAACATGCGCAATGTTTGTTTATAATTAAACTAGTTCTAATCCAACAGGGCAGACGACATGATCGACCTCGTGCTGAACGTGTTCCTGTTGGTCTGGCACTTAATGGGATCCTACTGGACCCTGGTCCAGTGGTGGCCCCCCGAGAATGAGCCGCTGTACGACGACCCCAACGAATGGTGTGACCCCACGTGTTACACATGCGCCGTCATTCACGTGGTCGTCGGCTGCTCGCTCATCGTCTGCAAGGCGCTCATACACCTGGGGCTAGCCTTCTGCTACAATTGTACAGGGGTGTTTGAATCGTGAGGCCAGGATCGACAACTCTAGGTGTGTGTTTGTGTGAGAGAGTAAAGAGTGAGGGCAGGACCGTCAACTCTATGGCCGTGTGTGTGTGTGGGGGGGTGTGGTGTGGGTGTGTGTGGGTGTGTGTGTAAATAGTGAGGGCAGGACCGACAACTGTATGGCCGTGTGTGTGTGTGTGTGTGTGCGTGTGTGTGTGTGTGTTTGTAAAATATAGTATAGCCAGGACCGACAACTCTATGGCTCTGTGTGTGTGTGTGTGTGTGTGTGTGTGTGTGTGTGTGTGTGTGTGTGTGTGTGTGTGTGTGTGTGTGTGTGTGTGTGTGTGTGTGTGTGTGTGTGTGTGTGTGTGTGTGTGTGTGTGTGTGTGTGTGTGTGTGTGTGTGTGTGTGTGTGTGTGTGTGTGTGTGTGTGTGTGTGTGTGTGTGTGTGTGTGTGTGTGTGTGTGTGTGTGTGTGTGTGTGTGTGTGTGTGTGTGTGTGTGTGTGTGTGTGTGTGTGTGTGTGTGTGTGTGTGTGTGTGTGTGTGTGTGTGTGTGTGTGTGTGTGTGTGTGTGTGTGTGTGTGTGTGTGTGTGTGTGTGTGTGTGTGTGTGTGTGTGTGTGTGTGTGTGTGTGTGTGTGTGTGTGTGTGTGTGTGTGTGTGTGTGTGTGTGTGTGTGTGTGTGTGTGTGTGTGTGTGTGTGTGTGTGTGTGTGTGTGTGTGTGTGTGTGTGTGTGTGTGTGTGTGTGTGTGTGTGTGTGTGTGTGTGTGTGTGTGTGTGTGTGTGTGTGTGTGTGTGTGTGTGTGTGTGTGTGTGTGTGTGTGTGTGTGTGTGTGTGTGTGTGTGTGTGTGTGTGTGTGTGTGTGTGTGTGTGTGTGTGTGTGTGTGTGTGTGTGTGTGTGTGTGTGTGTGTGTGTGTGTGTGTGTGTGTGTGTGTGTGTGTGTGTGTGTGTGTGTGTGTGTGTGTGTGTGTGTGTGTGTGTGTGTGTGTGTGTGTGTGTGTGTGTGTGTGTGTGTGTGTGTGTGTGTGTGTGTGTGTGTGTGTGTGTGTGTGTGTGTGTGTGTGTGTGTGTGTGTGTGTGTGTGTGTGTGTGTGTGTGTGTGTGTGTGTGTGTGTGTGTGTGTGTGTGTGTGTGTGTGTGTGTGTGTGTGTGTGTGTGTGTGTGTGTGTGTGTGTGTGTGTGTGTGTGTGTGTGTGTGTGTGTGTGTGTGTGTGTGTGTGTGTGTGTGTGTGTGTGTGTGTGTGTGTGTGTGTGTGTGTGTGTGTGTGTGTGTGTGTGTGTGTGTGTGTGTGTGTGTGTGTGTGTGTGTGTGTGTGTGTGTGTGTGTGTGTGTGTGTGTGTGTGTGTGTGTGTGTGTGTGTGTGTGTGTGTGTGTGTGTGTGTGTGTGTGTGTGTGTGTGTGTGTGTGTGTGTGTGTGTGTGTGTGTGTGTGTGTGTGTGTGTGTGTGTGTGTGTGTGTGTGTGTGTGTGTGTGTGTGTGTGTGTGTGTGTGTGTGTGTGTGTGTGTGTGTGTGTGTGTGTGTGTGTGTGTGTGTGTGTGTGTGTGTGTGTGTGTGTGTGTGTGTGTGTGTGTGTGTGTGAATGAGTATGTGTAAATAGTGAGGCCAGGACCGACAACTCTATGGCTGTAAGTGTGTATGTGTGTGTAAATAGTATGGTCAGGATTTTAAAATGTGATATGTGTTTTTAAAATGTGATATATTATGAAGAGGGTAATATTTATGACAAAATTGTAATTTATATGACAACAATGTGATACATAATATATGACAAAAGTGTGGTATATGCTTAAGAAAAGTGTGATCTGTATGACATAAAAAGCATTCGTCCTTGCAGACCATGAGACAGGTGAAGTAGAGTTCATCTGTATCTGTGACCTCGGCATGTGAAGGGATAGTGTGGTCAGCATTATACCAAGCCTTCTATATCACATGTTTCTGCTGTAAGCCTAGAATGTGATATATTTCACACGAATGCAATAAGTTTATAAAATACGTTGTACTGGCTCCTAAACAATAGTAAAGCTGTCAAGGTTTGTGTTGAAGTAAGATTGATTGATTTTAATACAACTTGAATGTTTGCTGTGACGCCGTGCAACGGTACCAGCACATTCCACATTTTTAAATAATTAATACTTGCAATTGTTCTATTGATATCGACTGTCTTTCCTGCTATGTTTTAATTACTTGAAGCGTGATTTATAACAATCGTTAACCACTAATTGTAAATTACTGTGAATAAAATAATGTAAATATACACTGATCTTTAGTCTTTTGATGAATGTACACAACTAGAAGGCAAAAGTTTGAGATTATACAAATGTTTTTTTTTAACTTAAATAGAATAATATTCTAATGTTATTTCCAAACCCTAGCACTTTGTTTTTGGTTGCTGGATTACACTGACACTTTGATGTGTTTACTATTCTTACACACACACACACACACACACACACACACATATATATATATATATATATATATATATATATATATACGTATACATATATACGTATACGTATATATGTATTCGTATACGTATATACGTATATATGTGTGTGGCTTCTACTGTCAATTTTAAAGAGCATATTTTTAAAAATCACATGATGCGTATGTTGCATATTTCTACGGTCCTGTAATTTCATTTCTGAACTCGTCAAATTAAATACAAAGTTGTGTCCCTTGGTCTGTTTTTCCATAATGACTAATGTCAATAATAAACAATTTCACTAATACAGTTGGGATCATTTGTACACAGTTTAGGTCACTAGCTATGTGAACTATCTGTGAAGAGCGAAATATTTAGTTACATTTTTGTTTTTACTGAGTTGCCAAATTTGGCCAGCAATAAATGACTGTTAATATAGACACTGTGTGTTTGGTTAGAAGTTTATAAAAGTTGAGGTTTGACGCCACATAAATAACAAGAGGGTTTTTTTAAAATATATAATTATTATTAAAAAATAAAATTTATAATTTTATTTTCCGCCATGTAAGTGAGGTAGGGTCTGATTTGTGACAAAAAGTCATGACTGTGAGGTCTTTAAATGTGAAACATGTTGGTTATTAGAATGAGGACAGTCAGTTGTAATCATTTTGGAAGATATTTATATTCGGTGTCAACAGCCCCACACTGTACATCTGATGTGAATTAGTGGATTAAAGATTATCCCTGCGGTCTCTTGGCATCTTGGATTAGTGGAGTTGGTGGCATCATGATTCAGTTGATTTCATTGCGGACTAGTTGTGTTAGATGCTAATTCATGCTGGGAACGAAGTCCAGCTGAGTAGTAGATGTTTAGCTTATGCTAATTCATGCTGGGAACGAAGTCCAGCTGAGTAGTAGATGTTTAGCTTGACTGTTCCTGTCCTACGTCTTCATTGTCCTATGTCTTGACTGGTCCTGACCTACGTCATCACTGGCTAGTGTTGCCTCAATACGTTTGACACAGTGGCTCTTTGATTCCTCCAGCGGTGAAACTCTGCTAACGTCTGGGCCTTGAAGGTTTGCCAGGTTTTAACCGTCTCTAGGTCTTGCTTGAGAACCTTCTCGCTCGGCAGTGGAACAATCTGTTGGGGAGATAATTAATGAAACATCTGTAGAAGATGTGAAGAATTTGGTAGGGGAGGTAATTAATAAACAATCTTTAGGGGATGTAAATTTATGAACAATATATAGGGAGGTAATTTATGAACAATTTGGTAGAGGAGGTAAATTAATAAACCATCTGTAGTGGAGGTAAATTAGTGCATAATAAATACCGGAGGTAAATTAATGAGCAATTTGGTAGGGGAGATAAATTAATGAACAACCTGTGGGGGGGGGGGTAAATTAATGAACAAATTAATTGACAATCTATATGGGAGACAAATTAGCGGAAAGACCTACAGAGGAAACAACTCAGGAGACTATTGGTCAATAATTAGTTGACAATGGTTCTCGTAGTTATATCAAAGACCCTCTTAGAGATATTATAACTTCAGTCAGCGGTTCTCACGGCGATAAGTAAAATTTTTGGTAATTAATACGTTAATCAATGGTAACGCATTCCTCAACAGCTCACCTTTTCTCGAATAGTTTTGAGAGTTTCCTCCGTCAGATATTTCTTGAAGAATTTTTTGTTGATCAGCACCACTTCAGCACCATCCGACACCAGACTACAAGAGGTCAACTTTCTCATGCCAGCCAGCACCACCTGATCCAGACCCTGGGGACAGACGTAGACAGAGAGGTGAGAACTGACAGGTAAGAACAGACAGGTAAACTTTCTCATGCCAGCACCTGGTCTAGAACATTGTAGACAGACAGGTAAGAACTGACACCTGGATTAGCCAGCAATGTGTCGTACCTGTATGTTGACACGGGAGACAGAATATCTAATCATCCTGATGTGTCATAACGCATTAATAAGTCTCTTCTTACCACGTCAAGGCTACCCTTAAATCTGCTCGTGCTTGTTGATCTATATTTGATGGTAGTATAATCTTACAGCACTTAATAATGAATCTACCAAGTCTATAATAATAGTTTCGCTGTCTGTCTATCTATCTATCTATCTATCTATCTATCTATCTATCTATCTATCTATCTATCTATCTATCTATCTATCTATCTGTCTGACAAGAACGCTCTAGAGAAAACACAAGCAATTTAAAAACATGCACAGTGAAACGAAAACGAAATATGACGTCGACACATTTAGCACAGAGTAGAAAATAATCTCAAGCCGGATAGTGCACACATTAATATGACGTCATTGATTATCGAGTAAACAAAGGCAATTTTGTCTAATCTAAGTGGTTTGCGTGAAGAGTTTCTTTCATACAATTCTTCGGGTAGGGGCGAAGCCCCACCCCGCGTAAGAACGTCTGAGCCCCCCCCCCCCCCTCGGGGAGGGGGCGGACAATGGAAAAAGTATATAATTATATTTCGTTGAATGGGACGGTAGACATGTTTTTTAGGGGGGTGGGGGGGGGGGGGGGGTGGGGTGTGTGGGGGGGGGGGGGGGTGGGGTGGTTTTAATTTAGACTTTTTCCTCCCCGGAGAGGGGTGGGGGTACTTGAAATTTTCGGTGGCGGGGGTAGAATTTTCGGGGAGGGGGCGGACACTGGAAAAAGTATATAATTATATTTCGTTGAATGGGACGGTAGACATGTTTTTTTTTGGGGGGGGTGGGGGGTGAATGGGACGGTAGACATGTTTTTTTTTGGGGGGGGTGGGGGGTGGGGGGTGGGGTGGTTTTAGTTTAGACTTTTTCCTCCCCGGAGAGGGGTGGGGGTACTTGAAATTTTTGGGGGCGGGGGTAGAATTTTCGGGGAGGGGGCGGACACTGGAAAAAGTATATAATTATATTTCGTTGAATGGGACGGTATACATGTTTTTTGGGGTGTGGGGGGTGGTGTGGGGGGGGGGGTGGGGGTGGTGTGTGTGTGGGTGAGGGGTGGTGTGTGTGGGGGTGTGGGGTGGGTGGGGGTGTGTGGGGGGGTGGTTTTAGTTTAGAGAAAAGAGACAGCACTATCAGCCTAGCGCCCGGTGTATCCTTCCTCAACGGGCCATTTTTCTCGTGTAGTTAGAATAGTCTATAGAGGCTGATAATAGTTGATCTACAGACAGTGGCGTAGGCAGGGGGGTTAGGGGGGTCATAACCCCCTCCCCCCATAGACCCCTCGATATATATATAAAGTATGAGCGGGGGTGCAAATCGAAAATTTGAGGGGGGGGGGGTGCAAATCAAAAGTCTGAGGGGGGGGTGCAAATCGAAAGTTTGTCCCCGGGTAAAAATTGGAACCCCCTCCCCCCTTGAGACGATCCTGGCTACGCCACTGTCTACAGAAGTGATCACAAAAGTGATTTATAAGAGTCAGTTCACAGAAGCTGATTAATAAAAGTTGCAATAGTTGATTTACAGAAATTGATTTTAAAAGTTGACTTACAAAAGTTGATTTTTAAAATGTTGATTTACAGAGGTTGATTTTATAAAGTTAATTCACAAAAGTTGATTCTAAAAAGTTAACTTACAAAGGTGGCACCAGACTCAAGTCTCGCCACTTCTATGAAAACCTTCCTGGATTTTCTCTGACGCTGACTCTGCGTCCCCACCCCCAGCTGTGGCAGTGCCGGGGGGTGGAGGCCGTAGGACTGGCGTTTGGGCTTGTAGAGGGGGGAGATGGGGGGCAGCTGGAGGCTGGTGGGGGAGGTTCCAGACGGCGTGCCTGGGGGTCGCGCCTCTACCTGTGGGGACACCCGGGATGTTGACCTGATGTCTCCGTGCATCTCTCTGCTCGGCTGAAAACAAACGAAATTTTTAAAGAGGATTATTTTTTATAGTCAGAATCTCAGATATTAAATTCTATCATAAATATAAAACTAGCTGTTGACTTTAGGTCAAGTTTAAGTTCCCTTTCAAACCTGACGGTCAATGCGGCAGGTAAAGCAGAGTTCACCTTTTTGTGACCTGGGCATATAAAGGGATACTGTGGTCAGCAACATGCCCTAGCAAGGTGCCCATTAGAGGTAGGCGGACTCATGAAAGTCTTATGGACTTAATTCCGGATTCGAACTCAAGATTTTTGGGTTAGCAGAAGTATGCTCCACCTTTCGATCATGCCGTCCTATATATGCTGATATGCTACCGTAAAAAGGTGTAGAACGAACATGCTTCGATTGAAAGGTCTAAGGCAGATATATTTTAGTTGTAAGCCCAGACATTGGTGATGCTCGTAAATCTTCTACCTACACATTTTCTGCGTATGTATTTTAACTACATAAGTAGTGTGCTGCAGGTATGCTACAGGTGTGTTATAAATATGTTACAAGTGTGCTACAGGTGTGCTGCAGGTGTGTTACAGTTGTGCTATAGGTGTATTACAGGTATGATACATGTGTATTACAGGTGTGCTACAATTGCACTTCAGGTGACCCACCTTGGTGTGTATGGACGGCAGAACGTGACGTCTGAAATAAAGCTCTTCAATCTCCAATTGATGCTGTGACCTTGACATAGAGACTGAAATAAGCACATGCTATTAAGAATGTTGTCAACGTTTTCAAATAACGACATAGATCTACCTCCGATGGTTTCTTTTTTAAATGGTAATTGGCACCTCACGACCAAAAGTTTACCTCACGTGGTATCTCACTTAAAGGTATGACTACCCTGGTGTCATAGTTATCTGCCTGGCATAGGGCCGTCTACTCACCCTGTTATGTGGCCGTCTACTCACCTTTCTCTTCCGTCCTATCTGAGAGCAGATGTATCGTGGCCACAAGGTCACGTGGTCTCTGGACAATTCCTTGTCGTCTGACACGAGTTGTGGTTCTTCCTGTAGCAGTGTGACTAAGTGATGGGTTACTTCCCTTGATGTTAGTTGCACGGTTGCCGCCCTTGGTGTAGATGGTCGAGAAACCAGAAGCCAGTGGAGCCAGACTGACGGCTGATGGGTGGGGGTGTGGTGGGAGGGGGGTGGGGTGGGAGGAGGGTTAAAAATCATTAATTACATTATTTTAGTTCCATCAACAACTGTCTAATTAAATCAGCCGGGTGTGCCTCATTAAGCAATGTCTATTTATAAAACAATGACGCAATTTAAAGCTCATCAATTATTTCATTTAGGACAGTTTCTTAAAATAGCCTTCATAAACCACAATTATTGGCTAACGTTTATAACGAATAATTGTTAAATTGATGCTTTTATAATTAGCACCAAAAAACTTTCTTGTGAGTGAAGTAAATGTGGATTTCTAAGACGAATTGATTGAACATTTGTTTGTTTAAGTTTAATGGACAGTTTTTTAGAGTGAAAAAAATTAAATGAACCCAATTTGAATCCAGCTACATTAAATGACAGGTATTTAAATGATTTTGTAGAAATTTTAAGTAATGTACTGGGCGACTTTGTGGAAAACTGGTCGTTGACGTACCGAATGATTTGTAAAGTGAATTATATGAGCTTAATGATGTTGGTAGTAAAGGAGATTCGGTGTGTCGAATGATGCGCTAAAAGAAGTGATTTTGGTGTATCGAATGATGCTCTAGAAAAGTGTTTTTTATGTGTCAGATTATTATCTAGAAAAGTGTTTTTAATGTGTCGCATAACGATCTAGAAAAGCAGTTTTAATGTAACCAATGTGGGCAGCTTACATTGAGGAGTCTCCACCGTCTTGTCCGGCTGATTGTAAAGAGCCTTGAGGATCTTGCAGGAGCCTGAGACGATCACAAAGATCCAGTCACTCTTACAGCTGTCACGGCAGAGTGTCACACCTCGTCTGAAATAGTGTCATCATGTTTATGTCAGTGTCATCATGTTTATCTCAGTGTCATCATGTTTATATGTCAGTGCCATCATGTTTAATTCAGTGTCGTCATGTTTATATGTCAGTGTCATCACTTATGTGTCAGTGTCATTACATATGTGTTAGTTTAATCACATCTGGCAGTGTTAAATGGCCACCAATAGTGTCTGCATTTCCATTTGTCACTGTCAGAATTTCCATTTGTCAGAGGGACCATAATTGTTGGTTGATTTTTGGTCATGGTTTGGGTTTTGTCATGGTTTGGGTTTTATCAAGGTTTGGGTTTTGTCATGGTTTGAAGACGCACTGTTTAAAGATGTGTTAGATTGGGTTAAAAAACTGGAGGCACTATATCATATGCGCCAGCTTTTTTTTTTCTTGTGGGGTACCTCACAATATCATGTGAACCATTTTGTTATATCTTGTGAGGTAGGTTACGTTAAGTTTGAGAAAATCATGATGTGTGTTTTGATAAAGATATTTAAAACAGTTGCTAAAGATATTTAAAACAGTTGCTAAAGATGTTTAAAACAGTTGCTAAAGATATTTAAAACAGTTGCTAAAGATATTTAAACAAGTTGCTTATCGGTAAATTTTAGTGCGCTCGTTCTAGTATTTCTTTTGATAACTTATCTTTTAAAATGCTCCGTTTTTCTGTGTAAATTTAATTTAGCTTAAACTAACTTTCGTCCATTAGAATGATTTTGATAACAAAACCAAAAGCATTAGAAGAGGTTTGTATAAATTTGAAATTGAAAGAACAATTAGCAATAACAGCAGATTTGGTCGGTGGAAAAATACAAAGACATTTTGAAGCAAAGGAAGGAGATAGGACAATGCGAAAACTTTTCTTTGACGGAGCAAATTTCGGTAAGGACGTGAAATGTTTTCTACACTTAACATTTTCTAGTTCGGTGCAGCCAGTCGCTACACTTTTGTCTTGAGCCAGTGCAGCAAATCAACAACTTTTGACCGGATGTTCTATGCACACTCACCCAACCGGCATCCGTTAAGTGGTTGACCTGGTTCCAGAACGCGGTTAATGATGCCGTAACGGGATTGTTGGGGTCGTGTTAAGTGATTTCACGGCTCAGTCGCTGATTGGATACTCACAACAAAACACGTGAGCAAATATCCAATCAGGTGGAGCCATTAATCTGATCGTTGCGGAACAACAGCATCGGTGAAGGTCGTTTTATTTTGGGAAGTCATTTGTTGATGGTAGGTGTAGTCGAGATGGGGTGTAAGTGTTGTTGTTGGGGTATTATTTGTCTATATACGTTGTGTGGTAGTTGTGATAGGTGTAGTCGAGATAGGTGTAAGTGTTGTTGTGGTATTATTTGTCTGTACGTTGTGTGGTTGTTGTGGTCGAATATATGTAAATATTGTGTTGTAGTTGTCGTCGTACACTCGAATGTCATTGGTTATGTTCCTGTACACAGTAGTGGTGTATGTCGATGATGTACACTCGGATGTCATTTGTTATGTTCCTGTACACAGTAGTGGTGTATGTCGATGATGTACACTCGAATGTCATTGTTTATGTTGCTGTAGTGGTGTGTGTTAACCTTTGACACCGACACACGTGCTACACAAAGCTACACACCTGACGTAGGTGAAGGCGCAGATCTTGGGGTTGTCCTGAGGCAGCTGGTTGACAGGCCAACCCTGCAGCAGGTCAACGCCCTTGAGGAAGGCGATGTGCTCCGCCTCCCGACCTTTGACCCCGCGCATGAAGATGTCGATGAAGTCCTCACGTTCAATCCAGATCAACTCAACTTCCTCCCGACACGTCACGGTGGCTGATCTCAAGGCCATGTTCAGAATCGCCAGCTCCTGGGGGGGGGGGGGGGGGGTGGGGGGGAGGGCAGACGTCAGGAATTAAAGAAACCATTCAGAGAAACTTACGTCAACAATACGTCACAGCAATTAAGGGTTCCATTAAGACGTACAATACGTCACAGCAATTAGGGGTTCCATTAAGACGTACAATACGTCACAGCAATTAGGGGTTCCATTAAGACGTACAATACGTCACAGCAATTAGGGGTTCCATTAAGACGTACAATACGTCACAGCAATTAGGGGTTCCATTAAGACGTACAATACGTCACAGCAATTAGGGGTTCCATTAAGACGTACAATAAAGCCAATCGGCCAGTGACAACGACTTTAGCACTAACGTCTTTTGATTACTTTAAAACACAAACAATGAAAACATTAAACTGTTTACTCCGTGGCTAAAATAGTCCATCAAATTTTACAATTGATGCCAGAAATAAAATTAATTGTTTGTTTATAATTGACGTATTTTAACAGTATTCGTTTAATAATATCATCTCAAAAATGGTATAACTCCAATCGTGCATAAACTGAACTGTATGAAAGAGACATTTAAAATGACTTGATAACAACGAAGTTAAGTCAGCATTAGTAAACTGATGAATGACAAAGAAGTCAGCATTTAGTAAACTCATGAATGACAAAGAAGTCAGCATTTAGTAAACTGATGAATGACAAAGAAGTCAGCATTTAGTAAACTCATGAATGACAAAGAAGTCAGCATTTAGTAAACTGATGAATGACAAAGATGTCAGCATTTAGTAAACTGATGAATGACAAAGAAGTCAGCATTAGTAAACTGATGAATGACAAAAGTCAGCATTAGTAAACTGATGAATGACAAAAAAGTCAGCATTAGTAAACTGATGAATGACAAAGAAGTCAGCATTTAGTAAACTCATGAATGACAAAGAAGTCAGCATTTAGTAAACTGATGAATGACAAAGAAGTCAGCATTTAGTAAACTCATAAATGACAAAGAAGTCAGCATTTAGTAAACTGATGAATGACAAAGATGTCAGCATTTAGTAAACTGATGAATGACAAAGAAGTCAGCATTAGTAAACTGATGAATGACAAAAGTCAGCATTAGTAAACTGATGAATGACAAAAAAGTCAGCATTAGCAAACTGATGAATGGCAAAGAAGTCAGCATTAGTAAACTGATGAATGACAAAAAAGTCAGCATTAGTAAACTGATGAATGACAAAAAAGTCAGCATTAGTAAACTGATGAATGGCAAAGAAGTCAGCATTAGTAAACCGATGAATGACAAAGAACTTGTCGCGAAAGTGACGTTGAGTGACGTGTTTACTGAATGCAAGATGTATCGAAATAAAAGATTTGTTTCTAATGGCAGGTAATTTTACTGATCACAAAATGTTGAATTAGTATAGCCATTGTTTACCTAAGTGTTTTGATAATTTAAAACATTTGAAGATTAGAAGTTAATTAGGCTTGGTTCGGTGCTTTCCCTCTCTTATCGACGTATGATTTACGACTTATGACTTAAGATAAATGACTTATGACTAACGACTAGTAACTTATGACTAATGACTTACGACTTAATAAAAACTTACCCCAAAGCTGTTTCCTTTTCCCAAAACATTGGTGGTTAGTACGTGGTTAGCATTGAGATCCATCTCAGTCACGACAGCTGATAAAATATACGAGTGTCTCAGTCAACAATCAAGACATACGAGTGTCTCAGTCAACAATCAAGACATACGAGTGTCTCAGTCAACAAACAAAACATACGTGTGTCTCAGTCAACAAACAAGACATACGAGTGTCTCAGTCAACAATCAAGACATACGAGTGTCTCAGTCAACAATCAAGACATACGAGTGTCTCAGTCAACAAACAAAACATACGAGTGTCTCAGTCAACAAACAAAACATACGAGTGTCTCAGTCAACAAACAAAACATACGAGTGTCTCAGTCAACAAACGAAACATACGAGTGTCTCAGTCAACAAACAAGACATACGAGTGTCTCAGTCAACAAACGAAACATACGAGTGTCTCAGTCAACAAACAAAATATACGAGTGTCTCAGTCAACTTTTAGGAAAGATGGGTCCCATTAATTTTGGATGTATAAGCTATTCGTAAATGTGCGTTAAGGTTTATAAAGTATACATAAACCAAATTTACTAAATAATGTATACACTATTTATAAAACAGGACTTGCTAAATGATTTATAAACTAATCATGACACTGAACTTTCTCCATCAAACTATCCCCAACATTGCCATACCAGTTAACCTGAGAAGTGTAAAGAATTGAACATGAAACGAAATGCTGAAACGACGTTCAAAGCTTCGCGGATTGCCGAGTTACCTCCCCTGATACAAGATGAAATGTTTAGCCAAGTTGTCAGTGTACACAACAAAAGGGAAATTACTCTCAGCGGTATAGACACGATAAAAACACAGGCTATTTACTGGTCTGTTGCACTCTCGTAATCAAACGTACATCGGCGTTACATGTTTTATTCATGTTAGAAAATATATTGAAAGTTTCTTGTAAGTCAATATATCAGAAAGTTTATCTATCAAAGGAAATGGTATCAGCTTATAGAATATAGACCATACCTATACAGATCACGTGACCGTACCTAATCAAATCACGTGACCATACCTATACAGATCACGTGACCGTACCAACACAAACCACGTGACCGTATCTATATAAATCACGTGACCGTACCCCCACGAGTCACATGACCACACTCACCACAGCCAGAGATGATGAAGTAGAAGTTCTCAGCTCTGTGACCTTGTCTAATGATGACACGACCAGGTTCAAACCTAGGGACAACAGGTGGCGATAAGGTTTAGGTTTAACAGGTGTAACAGATGGCGGTTAGGTTTAGGTTTAACAAGTGTAACAAACATTACTTAACCCCACCCCCACCCCCGCTTGCACTCCACCCTCACTCTTCCCCCACCCCCCCCCCCCCCCCCCACACACACACACACATCCAGCAGTCGTTTAATCTACCCTGACCAGTGGAAGAGCTTTGAGAAAGGCATTATCCCCGACACATATCTCTAGATTAATTATGCCAAAACCTCATTAGTTAATTAAGAAGCGAACCGACTGTCCACAATCATCGAATCAAGAAATAATTAATCCATATATAAAAACTGTTAAATTAATAATCAAACGGGAGTTGAAGCCTTTCTATTAGTTTCCTGTTCAGGAAGCCGGTATTTATCGATTTCCAGCCTCGCTCTAAAGTCTATTTTACAATGTTTTAATAAAAAAATAGTTTTTTTTCTAGTTCACAATATTTAAATAGATTTTTTTTGTAAGTTTATTTTTAAAATCGAATGGTATCAAAATATTAGTTAAAAACCAAAATATTTACTAAATAATTATTTACTAAATAATGAATATTTAATAAATTTTAATAGCAAAATAACTTTTTCTAAACATCTCATTCTGATCGATAATCATATAAAAATCAAGCCATTGGTGATAAATTTTGTTTATCAACATTCTGAAAGGGCAATTAACTTCAGACATTCGTTATTCAACTCCACATAATACGACTTTTTAATCCTAAGAGCTATATACAACCATTTACTTTGGTCACTTTATCTGTGTCTATGTATCTTTCTGTGGGTGGGTGTGTAATCAACTTGACTCAATCAGTCAGATGAGTTTTGTTGACGGATGGTTTTACACATAGAAGCCGATCGTGCACGGTTAGAAGGGGCAGATAATTGTCCTTTAAAGCAAGTTTTTCAAAGAACTAAAAGGAAAATACATCAACTGAGATATTCAGACGACCAGGACTAAGATTCCAACAACTTACTTCTCGTAGGTGCAGACCTCGGATCATTGACCACATTGACCACATTGACTACATTGACCACATTGACCACATTGACCACATTGACCACATTGACCACATTGACCACATTGACCACATTGACCACATTGACCACATTGACCACATTGACCACATTGACCACAACTTACCTCTCGTAGGTACAGACTCGTATCATTGACTCCTGTATACGGATGGGAAACTCTGAAAACGAGGGCGCCACCTGCTTGAAACATATCCTGGCTGTATGGATGTGACCGTCCGTTCTTTGACTTGCCGGCAACCGGAGAATCTCCTTTGTTTCCTCTGTGATGGTGGACTGCAGGAGCAGACGATAATCACGATGTAATAAGAATATATATATATATATATATATATATATATATATATATATATATATATATATATATATATATATATATATATATGTGTGTGTGTGTGTGTGTGTGTGTATATATATATATATATATATATATATATATATATATATATATATATATATATATATATATATATATAAATATATATATATGTATATATATTTTTATATTATGTTAATAATAATCACATGTGTGTAACCTACTTCGTTTTTCGCTTTGAAGACTTGTGGGTCGAAGGTCAAGGCACCACTGTCGTAATTAAGACGAGAAATGCCCAGAACCTCGTCATAGACCACTGTCCAGGACAGGAAGTTGTAGCTGTCCACTTCCGGTTTTTGCCTGGTTAGAGTTTTAGTTGATACAGTAGGTCGTTATTTGACTACACCTGTGTTTGGTGGGACTCTACACTAGGTAGTTATTCGACTACAGCTGAGTTTGCTGGGGCTCTACAGAAGGTCGTTATTCGACTACAGCTGAGGTTGGTGCGACTATAGTTTGCTAAAGATTCTAGTGAGGTTTGGGACTCTAATACAAAAGTGTATTTTACTAAAGCTGTCAAAAATGTAAGCAAAATGATTTAGTTAGTGTACTGACATCGTTTTTTTTTTAAATTTGTGTTCAGTTGAAATGGATACTAGCACACACAAAGTGTTTTTCAACCAATCAGAAGTCAACCAATCAGAAGTCTACTCACGGCTTTAAATATTTCAACCAATCAGAAGTCTACTCACGACTTTAAATATTTCAACCAATCAGACGTCTACTTACGGCTTTATTCCAACAGCTCTCAACAAGATTATCGTCAGGCGAGCGGCGTGACGGAAAATGGCCAGAAAATCTTTCTGAGGGAAAAGGAAACACTAAAGCAATAAAGATATATCACCCCAAAATGTAATGTGGCGCATACTTAAAGACATTTCAAAAGTAAAACTTAATGAATAATGGAAATTGTGTTCTAAATGTTTGAGGTCGTGATACTCGCCGATACTAAATAAAGATTGGGCGTGTCTCACCTTTTCTTCAAACTGTTGTTGTGTGCTGGCCAGGTAGGCGTTGACCTCATCTTGAAGCTCCTCCTTGGTCTTGCTTTTCCCCAACACATCCGGCCTAGAGGACGCCCGTCCCCGGGCCCACCGCCACTGCATCAGTCGCTCCGTCAGGGTATCTCCGAGAGAAGCTCTCCGCTCCGCCACAGAGTTGAGCTTTAAGCTCGAGTTCAGCATACCTTCAGGTTTCGACATGACCTCAGAAGACTCGGTTACTGTGTCTGTAGGTTTGTCTGTTGCCTTGACGGCCGCGTCGCGTTGTTTGGGAGAGCCAATGAAGTGAGCTTCAATCTTGGACAGTTTAGAAAGGATTCGTTTGACGTTTCTCTGCTCGAAATGCTTCACGGCCTCTGGGGAATGTTTTTGTTTCGCCACTTCCTGTTTTCTGTATCCGTCTTCTCTCGTGTCTCGGGTTAAGACCTTTGTTTTGGAAGCGACGCTAGAGTTTGGGTTTAGAAATTTTAATTTTTTTCTCTGAAGTTTGGAAGAATCCGGATCTTCGAAATACACAATGTTCTCCGCGGAAGATTCGCGGCTTAATTTCATGCGCTCTTGCTCCAAGAGAAATGCTGCCAAAAGCTGCTGATAAATTGTGTCGTAGTAACTGGTTCTGTCTTGTAAGGTTGTTGGGTTCAAACCCATTTCGTCTTCCGCCGGCGTCAACTTCAGTTCGTCGGTATTTCCTGCATGGGTTGTCTTCTCCTGGGATGAGTTACCTGCCGCTGTGGTCGTCCTCTTGGATTTCCTTGGCCTGATTTTGTTCCTCCTCTCCGGCGGAATGTCAAGCTCGTTTACGTTGGAGTCAGGAAATGTCCAGTCCCAGGAGTCAGCGTCGCCAATGTCTGACTCGACATCCGGCACCACAACGCCGTTGACGTAGTCGTAGTTGTTGGGGTCGTAGTCGGACAGGGATTTGCTGAGGTCGAGGATCCTGTTGGCGATGGTGATGTGGTCGAGGGAGGTCTCCTGCGGGTCGTCCGTGACGATCTGCACGGCGATCAGCTGTTTCCTGTAGGCCCTCTCTAACTCCTCGTCGTCCATCGCGTCCTGGTCCGTCTCGAACGTCTCGTCGGTTGTGTCGCCGTCGTCGTGATGGTCATCTTCATCGCCGGGCATTGTATTATCATCATCCACCTCTTGACTGTCGCCGCTGCCCTCGTCTTCACTCTCATCACTTTCGTCACTTTCCTCGTCATCTGAATCTGTGTCGTCATAGCTCCCCTCGTCTGCTGTACTGTCCTCATCTCTTGCACTGGGGGTCTCAGTTTGATGGCCAATGTCCTCAGTTTGATGGCCAATGTCCCCACTTTGGGCCTCAGTTTGATGGCCAATGTCCCCACTTTGGGCCTCAGTTTGATGGCCAATGTCCCCACTTTGTACCTCAGTTTGATGACCAATGTCCCCACTTTGGGCCTCAGTTTGATGGCCAATGTCCCCACTTTGTACCTCAGTTTGATGACCAATGTCCCCACTTTGGGCCTCAGTTTGATGACCAATGTTCCCACTTTGGGCCTCAGTTTGATGACCAATGTTCCCACTTTGGGCCTCAGTTTGATGGCCAATGTCCCCACTTTGTACCTCAGTTTGATGGCCAATGTCCCCACTTTGGGCCTCAGTTTGATGGCCAATGTCCCCACTTTGTACCTCAGTTTGATGACCAATGTCCCCACTTTGGGCCTCAGTTTGATGGCCAATGTCCCCACTTTGGGCCTCAGTTTGATGGCCAATGTCCCCACTTTGTACCTCAGTTTGATGACCAATGTCCCCACTTTGGGCCTCAGTTTGACGACCAATATCCCCACTTTGGACATCCGGTTTATCGTCGATGAGACCGTCCCTGTGTGTGTCTAAAGGACCTTGACCATCAGCTTGTAAAGTTGGTGTGTTCAGCCTCTCCCCCGTGTCCTGGTCCATGTCTATGTTCCGGGTGTCCAATACTTTAAGGAGGCGGCTCTAGTTTTTTCTGAAATGTTTTAGTTAGTTTATAAATTACCCTTCAAGCAAAAAATGCCAAAAATACAATGTTCTATTTATTACCTGAAAGTGTTGATGTTTGAGATTACTTTCTTTGAGGATGTCTGACACAGACACCAACAGCACACTGCCGGTCGACTGCAACAACAGCTACTACCACCACAGTTGGTGGAAATGGATTGATCAAATTGTGGTCAGCGTTTCCGTTATTTTTTTACATCTTACCGGGGGATTACTAAATTTTTGGGATTAAGTGAGAATCAGCTAAACTAAAACGTGGGGTCCTGTCTACATTAGCAGACTTAAAATATCTCTTTCTTTAATGATCTTACACTACTCAAGTGCTCGAACTTTAAATCTGAAATCTTTAATTAAATAAACTTAACCTATATCAGGACATTTTAAATTTAAATTGATAATTAAGTGGGTGAAGCAAGATGTAATTATCATTAAAGGCTATCCCAGAATCAGAAGTTAAAGAATGTTCTAATTATCGTATTGATTTAACTTAATGTACTGTGGACTCGACATTCTATTGAGCGCTTGTTAAAATATGGTAGACAACTAGTACCACTACAATGATGAGTTACCGCTCTTGTGAATCGAAGCTTTTTTTTTTCATTGAATTTTTTTCTGAAAAGTAAGACTCGCAAAAAGTAAAGAATGTATTTAATTGGAAGAGATCTTCACAAAACGATTTAAGTTTTATTGCAATCAATATAAATTAAGTAATTTAACTTTTTTTAAAGAGATATACCAAATTTAGTTGCTCAAATTAAATTGACTGGAAACAGATATTGATAGTGGTGCACTGGACTTTAAACTGGCGCTGTAAGATATTGGGTTCCCAACAGATACATATAATACAAAGATAGATACATCATAAATACCTCAAGGATACCCCACATAAGATACCACATGTATAGATACCACATAGATACCCTATATATAGATACCCAACAGATACACAATGATACCCCACTTAAAGATAACCCACAGATATACCACAGATACACCACAAATAGATACCCCATACATAGATACTCCACATATAGATGCCCCAAACATAGATACTCCACATATAGATGCCCCAAACATAGATACCCCATACATAGATACCCCACATATAGATACCCCAAACATAGATACCCCATACATAGATACTCCACATATAGATGCCCCAAACAGATAAATCACAGATAACCAAGGATACCCCACTTATAGATTACCTTCAGATAACTGACCACACACACATTGCGTTATATACGTCAACACATGCTACAGTACACGTCCTATACACATCAACACATCAACACACGTCAACATAGACATCAACACACGTCAACATAGACATCAACAAAACCCTAACACGTACTGCTCTAACGAAACCCCAAACCCAAACCCCAACGCCTACAGTTCCATCCGGCCAGGAGATGCGAGCTCGTGCAATGAGACAGGCCGGTGCCGGTGAGCTATAAATAGCCGGTCAGCAGTTGTCGTCTGCGAATTTTCTTACACCTGCCGGCCATCTCAGGTAAATAAGTCAAACGTTTATTTCATATATATATATATATATATATATATATATATATATATATATATATATATATATATATATATATATATATATATACGTATTTATGAATTTATGTATTTATTTATTTATTTGTTTATTTATTTATTTATTTATGTATTGATTTGTTTGTTTATTTGTCTTTATATATATATATATATATATATATATATATATATATATATATATATATATATATATATATATATATATATACATATATATATATATATATATATATATATATATATATATATATATATATATATAATTTGGTGTGTATTATTAATATGCCTAATGACAATTTCGGTAAATGTTAAATAATTATGAAGATAATTAGAATAACTTTTGACGTTGTTATTCGGTTATTCATATTAGCCCCTAAAAAAAAAGTAATGTCCATCATAGACACGCTACTATTATTTGTAACACAGTTAGATGTACTTACCTCATTAGGTAGACGACATCTTAAACTAAGTTCCAGTATACTTCCAGCAGAATCACTGTGTTTTTTTTTTTTGTAATCCTACAGTGGTGAACCAACTTTTTAACGAATCTTGTTTGTGTTATTCACATTTCACTCGTCCCAGCTACCTACTGTAGCACAGCTGTGTGTGGGGAATGCTAGCTCTGTGTTTGTGTGGGGAATACTAGCTCTGTTTGTGTGGGAATACTCGCTAAGTGTTTAACCCCCTCTATAGACAGTTCAATAACTTTATCTATTACACTATGTCAATAGTTCGCCCCCTATTTATGGGGAACCAAAAGGGGAGACCACTTTAAGGAAAATGTTTTATTTTTACCTCCCCTTTTGAAAGCGAATAAAACCAACAACACATGAGAGGATTAGCAGTGATAATGGTATGTTTAACTTGAGGCTTCAACTGGGTATTAGCGATGTCTATAACAGAGACAGTCAAAAACGTAGACACGGTGTCAATGAGATTGACAGTCAACGTGAAAAGGTTGTCCGTTGGTAAACACTCCGGCTAATTGTTCCAATACGGGGCAAACACTTGACTTAATTGTTCCGATACGGTGCGAATAAAAACCTCCGATATCCAAATCAATAACCTGATCAATACTTGCGATCAATCTCCGCGATCAGATATTTTGACACTTGCCTGTTTGTGTGGAAGTGATTACATTTTCGTAAAAAATAATTATAACACATATTGTTTTCTTTCTAAATGTATTTTAAATTACTTAAATTTTAAATCTTTGCAATTTTTAATTTTCATTACAATGTTTTCCGTCTGTTTTTATTTTTTATGTTTTGTTGTATTTATTTCAACTTTAACTTGTGTCAACAAATGTAATCAAACTGACCGCGGGTTTAAGTCAAGAGAAAGAGAGTTTTGGTAAAGCTTAAGGGTTCAGGTTTGAGTTTTAGTCCAGATTAAAGTTTGGTTCATGTTCAAGTAATACAAACCTTATTTAAGAGATAAAACTAATTTGTAATGACTTTCGCTGATAGATCTGGGAAATGTTTTTAACGTGTTAATAAAGGGAAATAATTACGATGATGTTAATTAGATATTCTTTTAAAATAATAGCACATTTATAAACTGTAAACAAAAATTGCTGTGACGCTTTCGCACAAACATAAAAGGTGCACTATCCCCACCCTAGGGTGCACTATCCCCACCCTAGGGTGCACTATCCCCACCCTAGGGTACACTATCCCCACCCTAGGCTGCATTATCCCCACCCTAGGCTGCACTATCCCCAGTCCCCACCCTAGGCTGCATTATCCCCACCCTAGGGTGCACTACCCTCAATCTGTACCGCACCCTTTTATGTTTTATATCAGTTGTGTTCTATATTATAATATAAAATGTGTTCATAAAATGTGTGCTCATGAATGTCTACCCCCCTCCGAGTGGGATGAGGGATGACTTTGTGGCTCTGATGAGACCTCTCCCCCCCCCCCAAACCTCCACGTATCAGGCCAACCCCCACAGCACACAGCCATCCTCTCGGTAACCTAGGAGACGTGACTATCACATGACGTGACAAACGATAACTGTCACATGACCTGGCTGCACCGACCAGACGTTTCCAGTCCATTTACATCTGTCACGGCAAATGTCTTTTACCGGCCAATGACGTAGATCTATCCCCCTTCCCCCCGGTGTTACCTCCCTTCCCCTGCTTCTGGGTGCGATAAGTACGCAATGCCTTTGCTGATTACCTCCCCACCAGAAGTTAACTATTCGATCTCGAGAGCATAAAAAACAGAATATATGTTTCACAACTTGAGAAACAAGTGAGGTTCAGTGGACTAGAACCAGAGCAGTTCTAGAACACTCCATGTCCCAACAGTGTCGACTGTTGTGTAGAGAGCCGGGTCGTCCTGGGTCCGTCGGGTCGACCTGGGTCCGCCAAGTCGAGCAGGACATAAAAGCTGATCTACGTCCTATCTAACGGTTTTTATTATGCTAATTAGCGGCAAGACGAAGAGATTCGTTAATAAAACTTGAACGGTGTCCACGAAATTTTGTGCCGGTATTAAGAGCGACAAACTTGTCAAAAAAAATTCGATCGTTTTGTTCGTATGAAATCGATTTTTCAATCTTTATGTGAAACATTCCTTAAGATTTATATAACGAAATCGGCTTGTAGATTTTGAAAGTCAATTTCTCCACCAGTTAGATAGTATTAGTACAGATCGGCCTATAGATCTAGCATTGGTGATTGTGGACGTTCGATAGAAATCAGGTAGAGGAATGTGTTGTAGGGTTGCAGTCAGTTGGGCTTACTGTCAGGGGCTTTTGTCATATGGTTGTCAGTTGGGCTTACTGTCAGGGGCTTTTGTCATATGGTTGTCAGTTGGGCTTACTGTCAGGGGCTTTTGTCATATGGTTGTCAGTTGGGTTTAATGTCAGGGGCTTTTGTTATGTGATTGTCAGTTGGGGGCTCAATGTAGGGCTTATGTTATGTGGTTGTCAGTTGGTCTCAAATGTCAGGGGCTTCTGCCATGTGGTTTAAGAGAGTGATAGCAAACGTTTTAAAACAACCAAACGCCTCCACCCTACCCCACCTCATATGAGACGTATGTCTTCACTGTCAATCTACGTCTGCATTCAAATGTCACATGTCATATGTTAGTGATTCAATGTGTTGAGTATAACCAGGTGGTTATCTGTGATAACCGTCTGGTTAGGTCTCCTGACCAGAAAGATGAGGGTCATAACCAGGGGTTAGGGTTTGTTAAAGGTGGTTAGGGGTTGTCAGTAAGGGTTAATAGGTCACCCCACCAAACTCCAAGTTCTGCAACTGTTGAAAAAATTCCGCAACTCACCTAAAGATTCCTGGACTTAGAAATAAAATCACCCACCCCTTCCCACCACATAGCCTACGTGTCTTGATTTCTCTATCCTGGACACGCCGCCAACCTACCCAACCTACCCAACCTACCCAACCTACTCACGAACAAAGTGCTGTGTTAAATCCTTCAAATCGTAACCACCAGAAATGGCCCTCATTAAAACGGTATCACCACTTTACCCGGACTTTAAAGCCTCATCAAAGGTTAAATGACTTCCGCCATCACCCCCCCCCCCCCCTCTCCCCCTCCCCCGACACCAACAAGGACATCAGAAGTGTGAACTTTTCGCGGGTATTTTAATGTGTGCCAGAAAAGTGTTGAGATGTCATTGGACAGATTTTTAACACGTTTAAAACCTAATCTGATACATCTTGTGATGTTTTCCAGGTAATAATTTTATTTTAATGAGTCGTTAATTCTTGCACTTTACATCGGTGAAAACTTAATTGATTTACAGAAAAATTCTAAATTCCGATTGTAGTTGCTAAAGTTTACATCAGTAAAGATGTAATTGATTTACAGAAAAATTATAAAATTCCGATTGTAGTTGCTAATGTTTACATCAGTAAAGATGTAATTGATTTACAGAAAAATTCTAAATTCCGATTGTAGTTGCTAATGTTTACATCAGTAGAGATGTAATTGATTTACAGAAAAAATCTAAAATTCCGATTGTAGTTGCTAATGTTTACATCAGTAGAGATGTAATTGATTTACAGAAAAAATCTAAAATTCCGATTGTAGTTGCTAATGTTTACATCAGTAGAGATGTAATTGATTTACAGAAAAAATCTAAAATTCCGATTGTAGTTGCTAATGTTTACATCAGTAAAGATGTAATTGATTTACAGAAAATATCTAAAATTCCGATTGTAGTTGCTCGTGTTGACATCAGTAAAACATCTGAATGTTTGAAAATGTTCCTCACTCCGATGATGTAAACTTTTGACACTATTTCTTTTTTAACATTATGTCAAATTTCTGAAACAAATTTTTATAGAAGGGTTTAGACACTGCGTCGTTACAATAAAAGCAATGTGTATTCGGATACCATGTAGGTATTCAGTACTTGATGTGGTCTTTTTCCAACCCCACGATTTCGTGGCCGATCGCTGAACTTTTGCCTGATCTGATTCTCTCCACATTGGAAATCAAGTCGTCAATTTTAAAAAAAATTTTTTTTTTAAATATTGCATATTTTCAACCATCCTCGTCCCTGTACTAGTCTACTCCTCCACTCACTCTCCCCCTTCCCCCCCCCCCCCCCCCATCGTATTCACAGACAACATCCTGCCGAGTTGTGACCGAAATAAACTGCTTTATGACCCAAGACAAAAATCTCCCATTTTCTTCCCCACAAGACAAAAAACTTTCCCGCTGTGTTTGTAGCGGTGCCAGATGAAAGACATGTTGATGACGTCATGGCACGTGACCCAGACTCCCAGGAGTCTGTGACAGGAAGTGACCAGGGGAATTAGATGTTCCAGTTCTAGTCGTTACGACACGTCACAAAAGATGGATAAAACAAAAGGTTCTATCCATCGCGATAAAGCTCTAGTGTAACTAGTCAATCCATCGCGATAAAGCTCTAGTGTAACTAGGCAATCCATCGCGATAAGCTAGTGTGAGGGCAGTTACATGGATGGTTAAATTACTAAAACTGCTCGGTAGTGAGCAAATCTTTTTAAAGGTTAATTTTAAAATCTGATGAAGTTCTAACAGGAATGATTGACTTGCATTTTGTACAGAAAAAAAAATTGGCCATCGATAATTTAAAATTTTGATAGATTAGAATTTTTTTTTTAATCGGTGCTTAATTAAAGAATTTTTTATTTCTTCTTCATTAGCTAATCACTTTGTAATTTAGGGACCGAAACAGGAGAAGATAACTAGCTATGACGTCATCTGGATTTGATTTTTATAGCTCCGTCAAGGTCCTCTCTAATTATAGCTCCGTGTTCAAGGTCCTCTCTCTAATTGGCTGTAGAAAAAAAAACATCCGAGAGTATCTACACGCATCTCACCTGCATACATATATACATGCAAATATACTCAGACAAACATATATAAACAAACGCAGACACATACATGTTTCAACACGGATAAACACACAAATACATACATTTTTTTAAAAGTACTTTTTCATTTAAAAAGTTAAAACAGTTCCCCTAAATTAAATTGCAATACAAAAAAATGTTAGTTTCGAGGTAAAGTCTAAATACCCATCTCATTTCATTTAAATAAATATTTTCGTCCAACCACGCTACACATTATTGATACTTGGATAGAGTTGGATATCCACTTCCCCTTTTTTGACACGACTGTATCAACCTCACCCTACTCTCTTCAACAAAATCCTTACTCTAAACCTGACCCTTCCTCTAAGAACGATACCGACTGGAAAAAAAATGACACGGTACTGTATTGAATAATAAAAGTTCAAATAAAGGATGAACTATCGCATCTTTTGTCTTGTTGAATGGATTAAATATCACCTCAAGTTTTTCGGCAGTTTGGACTGTCACGATTGCTCTCATCAAGGAAACAAGACTCATTAACAAGCCCAGCATAATAAATTGCTTACACCATTTGACCATCACTAGATCATGGATTATTTATAATTAGCCTATTCTCTGCAGTAAAAATAAAGTATATGAAGCAGTAAAATGTATTGGGCTTTCACAAAGACGACTAAAGATCAATGTTTAAAATTAGCATCAATTTTTTAAAAATAAGACTGCTAATATTTTCTAAACTAGTAATTTTAATGAATTTTAAGCGAACCTCTGAAGGGAATTAACTCTGTTATTTGACGCCGATACCCCCGACATACATCTTGTGTGTACAAAATACGGCTTGCTTCCCCTGGTATAGACCTCACGAATTCCTTCAATAGGCCGGCCATTTTGTTTAATTCGCGTGCTACCTAATGTCTGAATAACTCGGGTTAACCCGCCAAACGTACACAACAGCCAATAGGAAAAAACAAACTCAAAACCTTTTGGCACAAACTGCAACAGCACACAATTGTCACTTCTATTCTCTATAACACGAATACTCTGTGACTCTTGTTGTAAAATTAATTTTGTGATCTCCCCTGAGTATGGTTTATAGGACTGGTAGAGTTCTCTATCCACTGCCCCCACTGTTTTTGTTTCATGTTTATTGAGTGCTACATTATTGCGATGGATAAACACAATACAAAGAGCGTCATTAAAATTAACATCTACTAGTACTAGATTTAATTAAAATTTAATTTTTAAAAATGTATCTTGGCGCGGCTAAAATGACATAAATTCAAGTTATCAAAATTAACGGTTGTAAAACAGTTGCTTTTTTTAATTTAACTTAACAAGTACAAATCTAATATATAAAGCTCAGTTCTGTATGTAATGCATGTTTGTCGTTGGTCTTGGATGAATTTAAGTGTTAGAAAATTATCGTGCGCATTTGTCTAAATTTATGAGCTAAAAAATTACTATTGAAAGTGTTGGGAAATAATTTTCATTTTTCAAATTATAGTAATAATTGTCGGCATGTTCAATAAACACAAGTTTTTAAAAAATATCATCTTTTACAAAAAGTCTAATTATGTCTTTATTTAGTCCTATAGCACTTACTTCCCTTTGATAAATTAGGAAAACAAAATTACTTCCCTTTATTAAACCATTGCATTTTGTGGAAAATAATTTACTTTTTAATTACTTTGTTTTGGTGTTGGGAAAAAAAAATAATTACATAATTAGCGGGGATTGATCAAGTGCAAATGTTGTAGGTATTTTACGGATAAGCTTGGAGTATTAAAATTGTTCATTAAATTGAAACAGGCGCGTTCGTTTAAGTGAGTGCAAAAGACTATGAATAAGTTGGGGTACTATAGTCGTTTATTAAGCTAAAACAGGCGATTCCGTTGGGTTTGCGTTAGTGGTTGCGGTTTGATTTGGTTCGTTTTTGTTCTTTCTTTTTTCGTTTTTGTTTGTGTTTTTTTCTTTGGGTTTGTATTTATGTTTTTGGTTGGTTTTGCGTTTGGATTTGGTTTGTTTTCGTTTGCTTTTTCGTTTTTTTGTGCGTTGTTATTGGTTGGTATTGGTGTTTGTGGTTGTGGTTGGGTTTGTTGTTAGGTTTTTGTTTTCGTTTGCTTTTTTGTTTGTTTTTTCTTTGTGTTTGTATTGGTGTTTGTGGTTGTGGTTGGGTTTGTTGTTAGGTTTTTGTTTTCGTTTGTATTTGTAATTGTGTTAGCGTTATGTTTGCGTTTTGTTGTTTTGGTTGGTTGTGGTTTGGGTGGGCAATGCCGGGTTTATGATGATTACTAAACACACAGGTAATGGTCTTTAACAGATAGGTTTTTCACAGAAGCCAGAGCAGGGCCTGGCCGGGACGACTAGTATAACATAAAGGTCAATAACAGTTTACATTTTTTAAGAAAAACGAACATATTATGATCAATTGATTTAACAGACTGAATCCATGAAACAAGTGTATAATAGTTGATTGAAAAAACAAATGCACATTTCTACAACACAAGACATGTTAAATACAATCCAGACGTTGCTTCAAGCGGATAACCAAGATGTCAGTCCTATAAATGTCATGTCATTGATGTCACTGAACACGACAAACCCAGCAGCCGACCCCATGGACGCGGGGGTGAGTACACCCCAGGGCGTTCACGTGAGCACGCCCACCAGCACACAGCTGTCCGGACTCATGAGCACTGACCTCCAGGAACTGCTCAATCTCATCACCTTCATCGTCATCCAAGCCGTCATCTTGTTCCCGGGGATCTTCCTCAACGCCCTCAACATTTACGTCTTCCTGAGGGTGGGGCTGGGGGACACGGTGGCCGTCTCCTTCTTCGCCCTCTCCCTGACGGACATGGGCTGTCTGATCATCGCCGCCTACAACTGGCTGTGCTACACACTGTACCGCCTGCCCGGGGGGTGGTCCGTGGACATGTTCTCCCTCATGTACCTGGGGGTGTGGTACTTCCAGGCCGTCTACGATGTGTCAATGCTCATCACCACCTACACGGCCGTCCAAAAATGCTGCTGCATCACCTCCCCGCTGCACTTCAAATCCGTCTTCACAAAAACCAGAACGAAAATCATCATCACAATCTTCTGGGCCTTCTGCATCGCCTCGTACGCGCCGCTTCTAGCGACTCAGGGCCTGCAGAAGACATTCAACTCCAAAACCAACTCCTCCATCTACACCATCTGGTTCGCCGCCAACAGAGAGGAGATCGTCGGCGCCAACGACATCATCGTCCGCATCATCCTACAGAACGCTTGTGAGGCTATCGTCATCACTTGCCTTTTTATTCTCATCTACAGTCTACGCCGGCAGTCCCAGTTCCGCCACTCCGCCTCCGTTCAAAGCTTCAGCTCCGGCTCCCAGTTCAGCAGCCGGGACGCCCTGAACAAGATTTCGGCCAAGGAACTGCAGGTTATCAAGTCCGTGACGCTCGTGTCCACCATCTTCGTCACGTGCAACTTCCCGCGCATCGTGCTGTCGGTCGCCCGGACCGTGGTGCCAGAGATGGACACTTTCAGGCGGTACCACAACATCCACCTGACCCTGCAGATGATCCGCCGCGTCATCGAGGTGTCGGGGGCCAGTGGCAACTTCATCATTTACTACAGGTTCAACACCAGGTTCAAGGACGTTGTTTCTAGTATCTTCACCTAGTATTGAAGTTCAAGGACGCTGTTTCTAGTATCTTCATCTATTATTGAAGTTCAAGGACATTGTTTCTCGTACCTTAAGCTGCCATTGATACTCTAAATCTGTGTGCAGCCTCAAAAGAGACACATTTCAGATCCTATTCAGACACTATCTGACTCCGCGCTGCCGAGGACCGTCTATTTTTGGAGTGCGAATAGTAGAGTTCAACCGGTGATGCAGCATCCAGAACAATAACGGGGAGAGAAGGGAGACAATCTGATCAATGTCACGTACTGTAATATTGCTTGAATGTGTGTATTTTTATATAGTAGAGGAAGCATAGATAAATGACCAATTCATATGTAATCTTCGTGTTTTTTATTATAAATACTAGTTAGAATTGTATACAACTATAGGCAGGAGATGAATATAAAACAATTTCAACATCAATTTATTTCGAGAGCTATAAACTTGATATTTGATAGACGTTCGACTCTGCATCGGCAACATAGCCGCCATTTTGACACGTGACCGACCCAGCAGAGGCGAGTTGTCTCTCCTGTAGCAGATGGTGCAGGCACCGTTCGTTCTCGTCTGCTGGTCTCTTCTGGTGCTTCTCGAGGCTGTAGGGCACAAGCAGTAGCTTGAACACCTGGGGGGGGGGGGGGGGGCGAGGAGAGACAATTAAAATATCTCAAATTCAAAATAATTAAAACAAATTTTTTGTTTAGTTTTAACATATTTAATAACGGTGAAAAACAATTGTTCTGTGGAAATTTGTTTTGAATCAGGAATTGCGTGTGAAAAATAATTTAAAAAATCTGATTGTTTTATGTTTATTTTTTTTTTAGAACGCAGCTACTTTTTTACTGATAATAATGTAATAATTGTAAGTGAAAACAGTCATTTTAAAAACCACGTAAATTAAGTCGAAATGTAAGTGACAACAAATATTTAGAGCATGGAGCTCTAAGTAATTAATATTTTTTTTCCGAGAAACCGCTACACAAGTTGCCAATAATAGTTTCTAAAAACTTACTTTATTATAGGTTTTACAATTTGTAGGAGATAATGTCTACATTTATGCTAATTTAGTTTACAAAATAAATTTTTGATGTAAAACTGTAATTATAGATATTGCTTTCTTATGACAATAATAATAGAATACTAATTCCATTAAACAAAATACTTGTATTGATCACCCTGTATCATTATGTTTTTTTTTACGATTTTTAAATTATAAAGTTGTTGTGTCCCTTGGTTTATTTATTTATGCATGGGAAGTAATTAAATTTTAATTTCAATATTTAAAAAAGGTTTTACTGTACAAAGTATCTAATGTAAAGAAAAAGATGAAATAAGATTATTACTAATTATTCAGTAACACAACAAAAGGAATTATATATCTTAATATTGACTTGTTTATTGACTTGTTTAACCATGCTATAGACAACACAAGTCATTCGTTGTAACCTTTATGTATGTTTGAAGGTTGGGGGTGAGGCTTAGATTAAGGTTAGATTGTGGTGAGGCTTAGATTAAGGTTAGATTGGGGTGAGGCTTAGATTAAGGTTAGATTGTGGTGAGGCTTAGATTAAGGTTAGATTGTAGGCCATGAATTAGATAAGTTTAAGGGGTGGGGGCTTGTTTGGTTTGTTTGTGAAGTCTTGTGATGGGTAAGTTGCTAATTACCTCCCATGTTGCGCCGTATCTGCAGAAATTATACAGACCAACGACAGGAATCCAAATGGCGGCGAACCCAGCCATTGTCCAGCCAATGGCCACACCCCATGGAGGGTAGACGTACATCCTGTGGCCGGGGCGTGAGTAGGTCAGCTCTGAGTAGTCGATGGTACTGAGAACAAACACGGCCTGGGGGGGGGGGGGTGGGGGGGGTGGGGGGGGGGGGTTAGGAGTGTTAACAGGGTGATAGTAGGGAATGGGGGATGTTAACAATTGTAGTATGGTGGGAAATGGGGGCAACCGTTAGTTGTCTTAGGAGTGCGGTGAATATATACGAATTCGTTACAACACTAACCATACAAAATATGGATAAAAAACTGACCATACAAAATATGGGTCAAACACTGACCATACAAAATATGGGTCAAAAACCGACCATACAACATATGGGTCAAACACTGACCATACAAAATATGAGTCAAACACTGACCATACAAAATATGGGTCAAACAATGACCATACAAAATATGGGTCAAACACTGACCATACAAATATGGGTCAAACATTGACCATACAAAATATGGGTCTAACACTGACCATACAAAATATGGGTCAAACACTGACCATACAAAATACGGGTCAAACACTGACCATACAAAATATGGGTCAAAAACCGACCATACAACATATGGGTCAAACACTGACCATACAAAATATGAGTCAAACACTTACCATACAAAATATGGGTCAAACAATGACCATACAAAATATGGGTCAAACACTGACCATACAAATATGGGTCAAACATTGACCATACAAAATATGGGTCTAACACTGACCATACAAAATATGGGTCAAACAATGACCATACAAAATATGGGTCAAACACTGACCATACAAATATGGGTCAAACATTGACCATACAAAATATGGGTCTAACACTGACCATACAAAATATGGGTCAAACACTGACCATATAAAATACGGGTCAAACACTGACCATACAAAATATGGGTCAAACATTGACCATACAAAATATGGGTCAAACACTGACCATATAGAATATGGGTCAAACACTGACCATATAAAATATGGGTCAAACATTGACCATACAAAATATGGGTCCAACTCTGACCATACAAAATACGGGTCAAACACTGACCATACAAAATATGGATGCCAACACTGACCATACAAAATATGGGTCAAACACTGACCATACAAAATATGGGTGCCAGCACAGTCCAGCAGATCAACATATAGGGCAGGGTGTGACGCATCCAAGAGTGTCCAACCATCATCACCACATTCTCGTAGAACCTTCTGATGCCTGAAACCACGGGAAATTGTTTGTAATAAAAGTATAACTAGATATTGAAACTCATATAATAATTACTTACAATATGTGAAATATTAAGACAAATTATTTAAGTTGCAAGTGGAATTACAAAGAATTATATGGTAAAGATATAAAATAGTTTTTAAAATATTTTGATATTTAAACGAATGTATAAACAATGCATATCTACGTGATCTCTTAGGTGAAGCCACGATAACATTTTAATGTCGTCAGGTTCAAAATGACGTGTCTTCCGTCTTTGGGTCACATCAAAATGACGTACCCCCCCCCCCCCACTTACCGTAGACGTAGGAGATCGCCACCAGCTCAAAGAACGCCACCAGCATGATGATGCGGCTACCTGTGTAGTAGTCAAACACTTGAAAGACGTACATCCCACCCTGAAAGTAGACATGACGTCTTACAAGACGTACTTCCCACCCTGTAAGTAGACATGACGTCTTACAAGACGTACTTCCCACCCTGTAAGTAGACATGACGTCTTACAAGACGTACATTCCACCCTGCAAGTAGACATGACGTCTTACAAGACATACATCCCACATGTAAGTATACGCTTTCAAGCATTACACATCCAAGCCACCTTTAATTCAACCATCGGAAATTACATCAACATCCAATATTTTGTAAAATATAGCAATCAGACAATACCTCATTGACCTCATTTAAACTCTGACATTATCTCACTGACCACGGTTAAACTCATATATTACTTCGATGACCACGGTTTTTACTCGGACATTACCTCACTGACCACTGTACAACCCGGACATTACCTCACTGACCACTATACAACCCCGACATTACCTCACTGACCACTGTACAACCCGGACATTATCTCATTGTACAACCCGGACATTACCTTACTGTACAACCCGGACATTACCTCACTGTACAACCCGGACATTACCTCACTGACCACTGTACAACCCGGACATTACCTCACTGTACAACCCAGACATTACCTCACTGTACAACCCGGACATTACCTCACTGACCACTGTACAACCAGGACGTTACCTCACCGACCACTGTACAACCCGGACATTACCTCACCGACCACTGTACAACCCGGACATTACCTCACTGTACAACCCGGACATTACCTCACTGTACAACCCGGACATTACCTTACTGACCACTGTACAACCCGCATATTACCTCACTGTACAACCCGGACATTACCTCACTGACCACTGTACAACCCGAACATTACCTCACTGACCACTGTACAACCCGGACATTACTTCACTGTACAACCCGAACATTACCTCACTGACCACTGTACAACCCGGACATTACCTCACTGACCACTGTACAACCCGGACATTACCTCACTGACCACTGTACAACCCGGACATTACCTCACTGACCACTGTACAACCCGGACATTACCTCAATGACCACTTTACAACCCGGACATTACCTCAATGACCACTGTACAACCCGGACATTACCTCACTGACCACTGTATAACATTGACATTACCTTACTGACCACTGAACAACCAAGCCATTACCTCACTGACCACTATACAACCCGGACATTACCTCACTGACCACTGTATAACATTGACATTACCTCACTGACCACTGTACAACCCGGATATTACCTCACTGACCACTGTACAACCCGGAGATTACCTCACTGACCACTGTACAACCCGGACATTACCTCACCGACCACTGTACAACCCGGACATTACCTCACTGACCATACTGAGACCGATGAGGAACATGATGGCACAACAAACTGCTGTCAAGATTTCCTTACGCCAACCTTTCCTGAACGTCTCAGGGTACTGGTCAACTATTGTGGTCACCACACCCTCCACACCCACAAACTGGTGAGACAAGTAGAGCGAGGGTGTCTTCAATTGAAACATTTCATTACATGTGTGTGAGAGAGTGCATGCGTATGTGCGTGTGGGTGTTTGTGTGTTTGAGTGCGTATGTACGTGAGAGCGTATGTGTACGTGTGCATGTGTGTGTGTATGAGTGTATGAGTGCGTATGTTTGTGTGAGAGTGTTTACGTGTTTGTGCGTACGTGCGTGTGTGTGCGTGTGTGCGTGTGTGACTCACCTGACTATCCAGGCCCAGCAAGATGAGCATGAGGAAGAAGAAGACTGACCAGAGTGGGGCTAGAGGCATCTGGGCCACGGCACTAGGGTAGGCGATGAAGGCTAGGCCAGGTCCTGGAATGTTTTTGACAAGCTGTATTTAATATTTGTGTTGCTTAAATCTGGCATGATTTACCATGGCGTCGATTAAAGTGTAATACATTTAGCTGTTTAACTTGGGTTGAGAACCATTGGAATATTTTTTTTAACATTTCACCACAATATCAAACCCTACTGATCTTAATGCTATATCAAACCCTACTGACCTAATGCTATATCAAACCCTACTGACCTAATGCTATATCAAACCCTACTGACCTGACAAACCCCGCTGACCTAATGCTACATCAAACCCTACTGACCTGACTCGGCCACTTGGCCAATAGACTTGCCCTGCTGTTTGGCCATGATGCTACATCAACCACTACTGACCTGACTCGGCCACTTGGCCAATCGACTTGCCCTGCTGTTTGGCCATGATGCTACATCAAGCCCTACTGACCTGACTCGGCCACTTGGCCAATAGACTTGCCCTGCTGTTTGGCCATGATGCTACATCAAACACTACTGACCTGACTCGGCCACTTGGCCAATCGACTTGCCCTGCTGTTTGGCCATGAAGCTACATCAACCCCTACTGACCTGACTCGGCCACTTGGCCAATAGACTTGCCCTGCTGTTTGGCCATGATGCTACATCAAACACTACTGACCTGACTCGGCCACTTGGCCAATCGACTTGCCCTGCTGTTTGGCCATGAAGCTACATCAACCACTACTGACCTGACTCGGCCACTTGGCCAATAGACTTGCCCTGCTGTTTGGCCATGAAGCTACATCAAACCCTACTGACCTGACTCGGCCACTTGGCCAATAGACTTGCCCTGCTGTTTGGCCATGAAGCCGAGGATGGTGAAGACGATGAAGCCAGCGAAGAACGACGTGCCAGAATTGACGCAGGCGAACAGGATCGAATCTCTGGAAGACATAAATAAAATTTGTTTCCTCTCTGAATTTGGGATCGAGCTAACGTCAATTGCCTATGGAATCAAACTTTTTTTATAACTTTTAATACTTTACAAATGTTATTTCGCACGTTCTAATATTTAAACGTTGTGTCACCATGATCTCACCTACCTGAAATACCTGACCTAACTACTTGACCTACCTGACCTACCTGACCCCACCTGACCTACCTACCTGACCTACCTGACCTAACTACCTCACCTACTTGACCTACCTGACCCCACCTGACCTACCTACCTGACCTACCTGACCTACCTACCTGACCTACCTGACCTACCTCACCTACTTGACCTACCTGACCCCACCTGACCTACCTACCTGACCTACCTGACCTACCTACCTGACCTACCTGACCTAACTACCTCACCTACTTGACCTACCTGATCCCACCTGACCTACCTGACCTACCTGGCATAACTACCTGACCTACCCACCTGACCTACCCACCTGACCTACCTACCTAACCTACCTGACCTACCTGTAGGAATTGTGGGTAAACTTGTTGTAACTGCCGAGTGCTGTCAGGGTGCCGAGCGCTATGGAGGAGGAGAAAAATATCTGTGTGCCGGCATCGACCCAGACCTGTGGGGTGGAGTGTTAACATTAGACCTGTGGGGTGGAGTGTTAACATTAGACCTGTGGGGTGGAGTGTTAACATTAGACCTGTGGGGTGGAGTGTTAACATTAGACCTGTGGGGTGGAGTGTTAACATTAGACCTGTGGGGTGGAGTGTTAACATTAGACCTGTGGGGGAGTGTTAACATTAGATATGTGGGGTGGAGTGTTAACATTAGACCTGTGGGGTGGAGTGTTAACATTAGACCTGTGGGGTGGAGTTTAACATTTGATCTGGGGTGGAGTGTTAACATTTGACCTGTGGGGTGGAGTGTTAACATTAGACCTGTGGGGTAGAGTGTTAAGATTAGACCTGTGGGGTGGAGTGTTAACATTAGACCTGTGGGGTGGAGTGTTAACATTAGACCTGTGGGGGAGTGTTAATATTAGATATGTGGGGTGGAGTGTAACATTAGACCTATGGGCCCAGCTCTGTGAGGCTATCCCCCACCCACCCACACCACCCCCACCCATCTTACCGTAGTCTCGCCCAACTTGGTCAGGTTAGGCTTGAGATAAAACTCTACGCCGTCAGCAGCACCGTCCAGCATGGAGTTTCTGACCAACAAGATGACCATGAACAGGTAGGGGGAGGTAGCCGTCACGTACATCACCTGGCCAAATGTCCAGTTCAAAACATCATTACGTCAATACGTCTCGCACAACGAACAAAACATCGTTACCTCAGGACGTCTCGCACAACGAACAAAACATCGTTATCTCTACACGTCTCACACAACGAACAAAACATCGTTACCTCAGGACGTCTCGCACAACGAACAAAACATCGTTACCTCAGGACGTCTCGCACAACGAACAAAACATCGTTATCTATACACGTCTCACACAACGAACAAAACATCATTACCTCAGGACGTCTCACACAACGAACGAAACATCGTTACTTCAGGACGTCTCGCACAACGAACAAAACATCGTTACCTCAGGACGTCTCACACAACGAACAAAACATCGTTACCTCAGGACGTCTCGCACAACGAACAAAACATCGTTACCTCAGGACGTCTCACACAACGAACAAAACATCGTTACCTCAGGACGTTTCACACAACGAACAAAACATCGTTATCTCTACACGTCTCACACAACGAACAAAACATCATTACCTCAGGACGTCTCACACAACGAACAAAACATCGTTACCTCAGGACGTTTCACACAACGAACAAAACATCGTTACCTCAGGACGTCTCACAGAACGAACAAAAAATCGTTACCTCAGGACGTCTCGCACAACGAACAAAAAATCTTTACCTCAGGACGTCTGACATAACGAACAAAACGGTGTTCACACAGTTCTTCAAACAACAAACAATTGTTAACTTTAGGTGTTTTATACAACGAACAAAAGTTAACTCTAGGTGTTTCATACAACGAATAAAAGTTAACATTAGGTGTTTCATTCAACGAACAGCTTAACTTTAGGCGTTTCAAACAACAAACCAATTTAATGCACCATGTGTCTGGAAAACCAAATAAAAATGTAATACTAAGTTCCTTACACAACAAACTTAACGATGACAACACGGTGTTTCGCATAACGAACACAACTTTAAAACCGTGCTGCTTCGCACAACGAACTCAACCAACGTGAGACCCACCTTCCCGGAGGACTTGATCCCCTTACAGATACACAGGTAGACTACGACCCAGGCCAGGAGCAGACACAGGGTCAGGTCCCACTTCAGGATGCCCACGTCATCAATGCCGTCTGTGATTGCCAGAACTTTATTTCTGTCAGACATCAAGTTTTAAAACGTCAGAACTTTATTTCTGCCGGACATCAAGTTTTAAAACGTCAGAACTTTATTTCTGCCGGACATCAAGTGGGTTTTAAAACGTCTCAACACATGTGTAAGTTATCGTCTTTCGGTCAGATTTTATTTCACTAAAGTCTGTCTCTCGGCCACCAGTCTCTACTAGTCTATCACGTGACCGATCATTAGAAAGCAGAAAATAAAGAAAAATTTATTACAGTAGCAATCTTTTGCTGAGACAGCCAACAGAAGAGGTCTTAACACAGTGGTCGGTTGCATGATTTCTGAGTTGCATGATTTCTGAGTTGCATGATTTCTGAGTTGCATGATTTTTGAGACTTGTATGATTTCTGAGATTTGCATGATTTCTGAGTTGCATGATTTCTGAGACTTGTATGATTTCTGAGAATTGTATGCTTTCTGAGACTTGTATGATTTCTGAGACTTGTATGATTATAGATTGTGCCGTATGTAACATGTATGCGCTAAATGCCACGTGAGCTCTGCAAGAAGGAAATGTCATATCCCAGGGGCATTTGCTATGAGTCATATGCCTTATGTCATATGTCATATGGTTCCCAGCTTTCGTCCAATATTGGCTTTAGGACAAGACTTTCGTCGAGACTCAGCAATTTTAGATCTACGATTGACGCCTATTGATTGGACCAGCAATCACACAACTACGAGTGTCTTTTGTTTACATCTGGAGTGTTTGTATACAGCTGTCTTACTGTCTGCATAAAATGAGGTCTAGAGGTGAATAGGGCAGGGGCGTAGCGAGGGGGGGGGGGCGGGGGGGCGGACCGCACCGGGTGACACCGTTTAGGGGGGTGACACCAAGGCAAAAAATAGCAAAATATATAGAGCAAAACTTGAGAGGGGGTGCAAATCGAAAGTTTGAGGGGGGTGCAAATCAAAAGTTTGAGGGGGGTGCAAATCGAAAACTTGAAAGTTTGTCCCCGGGAAGGGTCGCTACGCCTCTGGGGGTGACACCATTAAGTGCCGCACCGGGTGACACCCGACCTCGCTACGCCACTGGAACAGGATAAGTCGGGTTGACCTAACAAAGGTCATGTCAACATGGTTTCTTACCTGTGTTATTATTTTATTTTTACCCAAATTTGTTGTCATTACAATTGATTTCAGTCCGTCTAATGGATTAAAGCTTTCAATTAAAATGTAAATAATACTTCATTATATATATATATATATATATATATATATATATATATATATATATATATATATATATATATATATATATATATATATATATATGTATTTATATATATATATATATATAGAGAGAGAGAGAGAGAGACAGACAGACAGACAGACAGACAGACAGACAGACAGACAGACAGACAGACAGACAGACAGACAGACAGACAGACAGACAGACAGACTGACAGACAGACAGACAGACAGACAGACAGACAGACAGACAGACAGACAGACAGACAGACACACAGACAGACAGACAGACAGACAGGCAGACAGACAGACAGACAGACACAGAGAAATACACAAAGAGATACACAGAGAACAGATACGGGCTATGGGACATTAAAAACCTAAACAAAATTATCCTGTAAAATATGTAAATACTCCTGTGGTGAAAACTAAACATTCTAACCCCCACGGACACATTGTAAGTGCACGAATGTCCAGCTGTGCATGGACACACTGCATGAGTGTACTCACTCCCAGTACTCCGTGACGGGGTCGGTCAGCGTGTCCAGCGGCCGTCCAGTCTCCAGCGAGGTCTGGCTGAAGTTGAGCGAGCAGCTGGGCGTGTTCCAGGTGTGGTTACAGCCCTGCCACGGCAGCTCAGAGGTGAAGGACGCGAAGAAGTAGTAGAAGGCCCAGGCCAGGATGACGTTGTAGTAGCAGTTGAGGAAGAAGACGATGATACAGGAGGACAACCCGATTCCTGGAATAGAGGAGGGATATAGGACAACCCGATTCCTGGAATACAGGAGGGATTAAGGACAACCCGGTGACTGGAATAGAGGAGGGATTAAGGACAACCCGATGCCTGGAATACAGGAGGGATTAAGGACAACCCGATTCCTGAAATACAGGAGGGATTAAGGACAACCCGATGCCTGGAATAGAGGAGGGATTAAGGACAACCCGATGCCTGGAATAGAGGAGGGATTAAGGACAACCCGATGCCTGGAATAGAGGAGGGATTAAGGACAACCCGATGCCTGGATTAGAGGACGCGGCTGTAAACCTCTTACACTAAACTACTACACAGTTTTAAAGGTGTTTTAAGACTTTACGAGGCCTTCAGTTATTTGTTCGAAATAGTTGCACAAAAACAGATCAAGACATGACTGGATGCTACAGACAGACAGATGACCTACCCTGAAACAGTGGCACCAAATGACCTACCCTGAAACAGTGGCACCAAATGACCTACCCTGAAACAGTGGCACTATCTTCCATGCTTGTAGACCTCCCTGGCTCATGAACTGACCAATGGCCACCTCCAGATAGAACAAGGGGATTCCCCCAAATATCACAGACAGGAAATACGGGATTAGGAAAGCCCCTGAAACAAAATAGTATTTAGTTTAGCCTATGATGATATACTATGGGTTATTTAGGGTCGTAACACAATCTTATGTAAATGTATTTACATCTATTGGACGTAAACAAACACGTGTGTGTAAACAGGTATGTATTACACACACCTGTAACTTGACCTACCCCCGCCATTTTTAAAACACAGGTACGGGAACCTCCAGACGTTGCCCAGGCCGACAGAGAAACCGATACAGGCCAACAGGAAGTCGATGGCCTTGCTCCAGGTCTCACGAATAGTGCCACGTCTGCTGACCTCGTCTGCTGCTTCAGCTTTCATGACGTCACCTACGGGAGAAAGTCATATGACTATGAACAACAGACGGTAAAGTCAACAGTCAGTAACATAAAGTCAACAATGAGCTACATAAAGTCAACAATGAGCTACATAAAGTCAACAATGAGCTACATAAAGTCAACAATGAGCTACATAAAGTCAGCAATGAGCTACAGAAAGTCAGCAATCAGACTACAGACGGTACCGTTGACTATCAGTAAAAGACAGCTCTAAAATGTACTCGCCTAATGTCTACAGAAACATGAAGTGCCAGAAATTATTTCCTCACTAACCCTCCTAGCTGATTGATCAAGATCTGTATTCAACTGACTTTAACAAACCCCACCTCAGTCCAACAGAACTAGAAAAGGTAAATCAACTTCCCCACCCACTTTTACCCTCCTACCTGATACCCCCACCATTATTGTAACCCACCCACTAGATTCCCCTCCCAGCCTCCCCTATTGTTCCTATATTCCCATGTCATGAATGTTAAAGAGGTTTATTTTAAAGTAGTCACATAAAAACTGCTGAATGACATTTGATTATTTCACTGCATTGTCAGCACAGTGGAGTGGCATGCTAGAAGGACAGTGGCAATAAAATACTTGGGAGACGACATAAAAGTCAAATAAAAACAAGCTGATATTTGGATACAAGTCTGCATGTGGGTATTTCGTTCTTAGACATTTCGTTAGAGCTCCTACAAACCAAACTGTGCTTAATAAAGCCAGACAGACGAATTAGCAGAAAAGCAATTAGCCTCTGTGACAATCTAAACAATTTGGAAATAACACGAGCGTGGAATTATCCATACATATGTCTCAATGTCTGTTGTGACAAATAATCTAAGGGATAACTTAAGCCATATACATGTATGTATATATATATATATATATATATATATATATATATATATATATATATATATATATATATATATATATATATATATATATATATATATATATATATATATATACATACATGTATATATATATATATATATATATATATATATATATATATATATATATATATATATATATATATATATATACATGTATGTATATATATATATATATATATATATATATAATAACGTCAACCAATTCCTCCCCCATTCAGTGTATATTTCTGTTTCAAACTCACAATACCTTTGTCATTTATTGATGGTTTTTCTTTAATGAAATTCTTTAAAATATATTTGACAACACATAATTTGACAACACATAATTTGGCAACACACAATTTGACAACACATAATTTGACAACACATAATTTGAAAAGGGGTCATCCATAAATGACGTCACGCTTTTTTTGACGATTTTTACCTCCCCCCCTCCCCTCCGTCAAACGTCGTCACAAAAAGCCAGACCCCCCCCCCCCCTAAAATGACGTCACACCTTAACCTACAACCCCCCTCAAAATTGCAGTTGAATTTTTTAAAAACATCGATATTTTTCCAAAATCTTGTCTAAACTATTACAATTTATTAAAACAGTTATCTAAAACGCAAAATAACGTCTAAAATTCGTTTTCTAACATTGCTTTTTTTATAATTCAAAAATGTGACGTCGCAACATCTGACCCCCCCCCCCCTCCCCCTCATCACACATCGTCACAAAATTATGGACCCCCCTCCCCCCTACGAGTGTGACGTCATTTATGGATGACCCCAAACACATAATTTGACAACACATAATTTGATAACACGTAATTTGACAACACATAATGTGACCACATAATTTGACAATACATAATTTGGCATCACATAATTGACCCTAAACAACGTTTGTGTTTGTGACACACGACTTACACATTTGCTGGAAATGCTCAAACCTCTGTGAGATATAATGTTACATCGGTCATCATTCATAGATTGATGGAAATCATACCAGTCAAATCGAATATGCTGGGAAATAGCTCTGGTCGTTCCAACACAATATGTCCATAGTACTTCAAGGTTTACATTAACAGGGTTGCTCAAAAATGTCTGAAGATCTGTGGGTTGTACGGCACAACCCGTTTCATGAGATCTAGTCAACCGGTTTAATGGGATTTGCTACGTAAAAAAATCACAAAATTTCTTGTTTTTCGTCATGATGGGTTTCTTGCACTTTTGGGTACTTTGTCCAGTTTTGTATTAAGAAAATAATTACTTTAATGAGAAAAAAACATTGTATGTGTTTAAATTACCATTTTTATGACACTATTAATTAAAAAATAATCAATTTTTTCCGATCTAATAAGCTCTCAAATAAAAGTTTTATATCAATCATCATATTGGATTTTGGTATCAATGGAAAGCTTGACTTCTTGTGTGTTTTATAATCCTAATTTCTATATTCTCATAAACACCCAAAGCTTACAATCCGCTTTGCAGTTTTTACAGATATGGTATTTTCGTGACCTACTTTTCGTTAATTTTTGCTGTTTTTCTCAGTTCGCAGGTTTTTAACACTAAAAAGCCTACTACTTTTTTATTTATTAAACAATGCCAACCATTTTTTCAGTAATTGTTCTTCATGCAAAAATACAACTTTAGTTACGAGGGAATTATGGTGGCTTTCATAGAAAAAAAAGTATTTGGTAACTAATACGCACATTTTTTAAAATTTTGGATACTAAAAAGGGTACGATTTTTTACACCTTGTGAAATTCTTACTAGTAGCTATTTCAAAAAGTTGTCGTGACAAAAGTTTTAAAATATACTGAAATATAAGCAGTTTAAATTTGATTGCTATAAGTGCATAAATAAAAAAGCCTTCGCACTTTTAAAAGTACCAAAAAAATTCAAAATGGCGGAGGTTTTTTTGGGTTTCCATGACAACCAAAATTGTTTTCAACCCTTTTTTGTGGGTTAATACTTACTTTCATGTGCCAAACATGGTAATAGTATTCAAAAGGCCTTTGATCTTTAATTGTAAAAAATAAATTAAAAAAAACGAACGTTTGAGAATTTTTTCTCATTGTCATTAGTTGAAGTCTCTGCTGAATGATTGTCACAGTCCAGTTCTTGTAGTATAGGTCCAGTCACCTGCCTCTCAACGCTTGACTGGTTACAACTGCCGGCGAATTGAACACACAACAAATACAGTTTTATATTTCAAACAACAAACTGGGCGTAAGAAAGAAAAAACAACACAGTAAAGGGAGCAGGAAGTGAATCCTCAGTGAAAACAAACTGTAAACAAGAGACTGGCTTTAAGCTGTGTGTGGAATAACAGGGGTCAGGGGTCTCTATATAGGGGTCATAGAGTCTAGCAGCCCATTTTTCATAAAGGTGGTTAATCGTAGGTCAACGTTACAAACTGAAGTACCATAACCTCACCACAAACATCACCACAAACATCACAACAAAAGCACCACAGAATCACCACAAACAGCACCACAAACATCACCACAAAAGCACCACAGAATCACCACAAACAGCACCACAAACAGCACCACAAACATCACCACAAACAGCACGACAAACATCACCACAAACATCACCACAAACATCACCACAAACATCACCACAAACAGCACCACAAACATCACCACAAACATCACCACAAAAGCACCACAGAATCACCACAAACATCGCCAAAAACATCACAACAAACATCACCACAAACATCACCACAAACATCACCACAAACAGCACCACAAACATCACAACAAACATCACCACAAACAGCACCACAAACATCACTACAACCCGCACCAAAAAAAGCTGAAAGAAAACAACGAGTGGCTAGTAGCACCACAAACAACAGCATGTTTTGGCGAATGAGGATATACAAACTTAAAAAAACAAACAAAGGCTGTATCAGCGTAAGATTACCCCGACTAACAGTTTAAAAACCAAAGAATGTGTTTTATTTCATCTATTGTTGTAAGTTACGCTTACCTTAGGCCACACATACCGTGGGTCAGTCGTCTGCTATACCACACTCGTCTGCAGGTGTGTGCTGAATTTAGGGCCCACACAATTTTGTCGCGGTAAAACAGGTAAAAATTCGTGCTCTTCACAGTAGTTTATATGTCAAAGTACAAGCAGTATAAAACCAGTAGATAACTCAAGTATATTTTTTTATCTTCGTGAGATCAGTGTCGTACAAGCAGAATTCTAATTGGCCTATTCTATATATATATATATATATATATATATATATATATATATATATATATATATATATATATATATATATATATATATATATATGTATGTACAGGATATATAAAGAGAGAGGGAGAACATATAAATGTATGTATACAAGTAAACATCGCCTAACAGGTAGACTGCTAACCCAAAAGTAGCGAATTCGAATCCGAATTCAAGTTAGTCAAACGTCCCTGAGTCCACCCAGCTATTATGAGTACCTAGCTCACTTTAGGGAAATTAAAGGCGGCTGGGCATAGTGCTGACCACATCTTCCCAATGGTCTAAAGAGGATTCTTTACTTTATAGATATAAGCCTACATAAAAGAGAGGTCTGTGTTTGAATAACAAAGTGGTTTTAAGTTATAGAAATTTTGTTTGGTAAACAATGTTTACAGCGATAGGAGAATGATTTCGGAATGGCCTTGACCCTATTGATAGTGACACCTTAGCCTTGGTCCTGTTGATAGTGACACCTTTATCCAACAAACTTGATGGTGTTAAGCTGTCGTTCACTATTAAAATGTATCGTTACGTCATCAGCACAATCATCTCCAGAAGGTTTGTTAACATAACAATGACAGCCTACGACTTCGTGACCACCCCCCCCCCTCCTCCCCCAGCACACACACACACTAACCATAACTGTATTACTAATCAGCTAATTAAGTCTAGATTTTTTAAAATATGAGATTCAAGCTAATCTATTTGAGTCGAGTGACAACTGTTTCGTCTATGTTTTAGGTTCGTAAATTACACTACCCACTGCCTCTACCAACATTCATGCTTGATTCTTGATCGTGTGATACGTGATTGTTAGTGTGATTTTTACTTTCTCGTATATACGAAGTATAGAGAAAGTATTGTAATCGTGCACAAAAATAACATGAAATTTTGACAGTTTTCACCGTTTTACTCCTCAGTCCTTCATCACATCCTGAGTATAGGGGACTTATTTTAATTGGGTAAAAATTATAAATACAAATATATAAACGTTTTGGCGTTTTATGCGTTATCGAGTCGTAAAAACTGGACTTGGCAATTCTGCCCGTATGTCTGTGTGTCTGTGTGTCTGTCTGTGTGTAAACACGATAAATTGAGTACCGTTACAGCTAGGTTGATGAAATTTCATATATAAGTATTTTATCAAAGTCGTAGATCCTGATAAACTTTTGAGCGATTCCCGATAACCGAAAGCGGTACTTTTTCTACTTTGAATTTTTCAAAGGCATATAAGTTGCGTACTATTTTAGATAGATGCATGAAATTTCACACGTAAGTAAAAGATCTAATTCTCTACCTTCTTTCAAATTTTGAGTAATTTCCGTTGAACGGAAGTACTAATTTACGCTATTTCCGATTTCTCAACTGTCAAAATTTCATGTTATTTTTGTGCACGATTACAATACTTTCTCTATACTTCGATATACGAGAAAGTAAAAATGGATAACAAATATTGTCTATGTCCTGAGTTGCCATCCCTCGTAATTTTATATTAGAATATTCGAGAAAGTTTAGGGGAGATCACTCCCGGTTTTTTGAACCAGCTGCTAAAAATATCCGCCTCGGTTTTACCCGCTGACGTTACCGAATTGAAGGAATCGGGTAGTTCACACACACACACACACACACACACACACATTACCTTCCCCGCACACCCTCACACCCCACACATAACATACTGTGTATCAGTGTGGTACGTGTTCAGTGGGGATCCCCGAAGGCTAGTTACACATTTTTTAATCTATCATAATAGAGTTAGCATTGTCGATCGCTATAGCACGCTACTGAACCAAACCACAAGTCATAAACATTGTACTAGCAACAAGCCAAACAGCTTAACTGTAATCCTAAATCCTAATCCTTGGTCTAACACTAACTGTAATGTCTATATACAGAGTTAAGATATCGAGGTTTAATCAACACAGGATTTTAGTAATCGATTCCAGAACGATTTAGGTGGCCACACGTGATTGTATGGTGGTGATTGCGTGATTGTGTTTGTATAGTGATTGCTTGATGGTGATTGTGTGGTAAACTGCTTTCCCAAATATGACGTCAGATTGTTTTTCAACAAAACGTCACGAAGTCAGTAACTGCCATCTTGTCTGGATGACTTTGACATTTTTAAAGTCATTCAACCTAAGTCATGCAATCTTAATGATCGACACATTTTACTATTTTGATTTGACATCAACATTTTCTCTGGAAAAAAATCTGGGCACTTGAAGTAGTGTAAAAACGTGGGTAACTTCCCAGATTTAGCAGATAGTGTGGGTTTCAGAATGTAAGTAGCAGATCTAGAATGTTCCATAAGATAGACTTTTTTAAATTTTTTGTTTAATATATGTGATGCGTTATGATCTTTCTTCGTTTTAGAATTACTCATACACTTGCAAAATACTTGATGTAATTCATAGGTTTAGGACAGGGGTCGGCAACCTTTCGAAGCGGAAGAGCCAAAAGTTACAATTTTCAAAATTTCCCTGGTTTTAAAGAGCCACTAACATACATTTTTTTATTACAAGTATTTTATTTTTTTATTAAGATTATTAGTATTTGTGCAAGGAGCTGGAGAGCCGCATCTTGACATCAAAAGAGCCGCATGCGGCTCGCGAGCCGCAGGTTGCCGACCCCTGGTTAAGGACACTGTCTAAAGTAGACTTGATTCTACTGCTCATGATGTCTTAAGTAGATTTGAACCTACTGCTCATGATGTCTTAAGTAGATTTGAACCTACTGCTCATGACGTCTAAAGTAGATTTGAACCTACTGCTCATGCTGTAGTAGGCGAATATGTTGACGCTGGAGCTAACCGCCTCCAGCAGGAGCCCCAGGCTGTATGACGTCAGGAAGAGATTCTTCAGACGACCGAAGTCGTTGAAGCCAGGGACGATGTTTCTGGCGGCAACCACCACGTTGCTTGGCAGGTTGCAGGCGATGAATATCGTCATGATGACGACGATAAGTTTGGAGGTTTTTGTTTCCTTCGTCGTCTTCACGTCGCCCTTGGAATACCCTTGACCTTTGGTATCATCACAACCTTGACCCTTGACGCCAGTGGTAGAGTCTCGTTTTGTCTTCCTCTCCTGTCTCGTGAGATTAGCTTCAGCGTGGCTGGGTATCTCTGATCCTGAGATCACTTTGTACCGCCATTTTGTTGCCCGTTTCAATGACGTAATCATGACGACCGTGCACATGAGGATGAGAATAAAGTTGGCGAAAGGTAAAACAAGAAAGAGTGCCACGTTGACGATTTCGTCGATTTTTCCCTTAGTCACGTAGACGTAGAACAACTTTGTCACGTTCGTGGTCTGGTCGACCTTGACCTGGATCTCGCGGACAGTAAACATCCACAGGTAGCTAAAGGCTACCGCCAGGGTCACTGTGGCTACCGTGGCTACCGAGCTTCTAGCCGTGATGATCTGCCTGGACCTGAAGGGTAGCACGACAGACAGACAGCGCTGGACAGAGATGATGGCTGTCATCCAGCACGTCAGACGCGACACGACGACGCGCGGCAAGGCGGCCGTCATGACGTACAGGCTGAAAGGGTCGAAGGTCAGGTATGGGGGGTCGAGAAGTTCAAGGCCGTAACAGACGGATGACCAGAGGGTGATGAGGACAGAGACTAGGTCGAGGACAGACAGCCCAAACAACAGGATGGTCACGCTGTCCTGGAGGCCTGGGGGAAAAATGGGAAGTGTTAACTGGTTTATGTTGTGTTTTCATTCTGTTTGTGTTGTGTTTTCATTCTGTTTGTGTTGTGTTTCCATTCTGTTTGTGTTGTGTTTTTATTCTGCTTGTGTTTTGTTTTTATTTCTTTGTGTTGTGTTTTCATTCTGTTTGTGTTGTTTCCATTCTGTTTGTGTTGTGTTTTAATATGTTTGTGTTGTGTTTTCATTCTGTTTGTGTTTTGTTTTCATTCTGTTTGTGTTGTGTTTTTATTCTGCTTGTGTTTTGTTTTTATTTGTTTGTGTTGTGTTTTCATTCTGTTTGTGTTGTGTTTTAATATGTTTGTGTTGTGTTTTAATATGTTTGTGTTTTGTTTTAATTCTGTTTGTGTTGTGTTTTAATATGTTTGTGTTGTGTTTCCATTCTGTTTGTGTTGTGTTTTAATATGTTTGTGTTGTGTTTTCATTCTGTTTGTGTTTTGTTTTCATTCTGTTTGTGTTGTGTTTTTATTCTGCTTGTGTTTTGTTTTTATTTGTTTGTGTTGTGTTTTCATTCTGTTTGTGTTGTGTTTTAATATGTTTGTGTTTTGTTTTAATATGTTTGTGTTGTGTTTTCATTCTGTTTGTGTTGTGTTTTTTATTCTGTCTGTGTTGTGTTTTAATATGTTTGTGTTGCGTTTTAATTATGTTTGTGTTGTGTTTTAATTCTGTTTGTGTTTTGTTTTAATATGTTTGTGTTGTGTTTTAATATGTTTGTGTTGTGGTTTAATTCTGTTTGTGTTTTGTTTTAATTCTGTTTGTGTTTTGTTTTAATATGTTTGTGTTGTGTTTCAATATGTTTGTGTTGTGTTTTAATTCTGTTTGTGTCTTGTTTTAATTCTGTTTGTGTTGCGTTTTAATTCTGTTTGTGTTGTGTATTAATTCTGTTTGTGTTTTGTTTTAATATGTTTGTGTTGTGTTTTAATATGTTTGTGTTGTGGTTTAATTCTGTTTGTGTTTTGTTTTAATTCTGTTTGTGTTGTGTTTTAATATGTTTGTGTTTTGTTTTAATATGTTTGTGTTGTGTTTTAATATGTTTGTGTTGTGGTTTAATTCTGTTTGTGTTGTGTTTTAATATGTTTGTGTTTTGTTTTAATATGTTTGTGTTGTGTTTTCATTCTGTTTGTTTTGTGTTTTAATATGTTTCTGTTGGTTTTTCATTCTGTTTGTGTTGTGTTTTAATATGTTTGTGTTTTGTTTTAATATGTTTGTGTTGTGTTTTAATATGTTTGTGTTGTGGTTTAATTCTGTTTGTGTTTTGTTTTAATTCTGTTTGTGTTGTGTTTTAATATGTTTGTGTTTTGTTTTAATATGTTTGTGTTGTGTTTTAATATGTTTGTGTTGTGGTTTAATTCTGTTTGTGTTTTGTTTTAATTCTGTTTGTGTTGTGTTTTAATATGTTTGTGTTTTGTTTTAATATGTTTGTGTTGTGTTTTCATTCTGTTTGTTTTGTGTTTTAATATGTTTCTGTTGTGTTTTCATTCTGTTTGTGTTGTGTTTTAATATGTTTGTGTTTTGTTTTAATATGTTTGTGTTGTGTTTTAATAAGTTTGTGTTGTGTTTTAATTCTGTGTGTGTTTAGTTTTAATTCTGTTTGTGTTGTGTTTTAATATGTTTGTGTTGTGTTTTAATAGGTTTGTGTTGTGTTTTAATTTGTTTGTGTTGTGTTTTCATTCTGTTTGTGTTGTGTTTTAATATGTTTGTGTTTTGTTTTAATATGTTTGTGTTGTGTTTTAATTCTGTTTGTTTTGTGTTTTAATTCTGTTTGTGTTGTGTTTTAATTCTGTTTGTGTTGTGTTGGTTTAGGAAAACTTTTATCTGCTTATTGTTTTATTCATTGAGCTAGATGAAATCTACTATCTAACAAAACATATAAATCTGCATTCATTGTTCTAGATGAAGTCTACTCTTTAGCAAGACATACATAAATTTGCATTTATTAAGCAAGTTAAAGTCTATTCTCTGTTCAAACTGCTAGGTTAAAAACATATAAAAATGAACGTGAGAATATTTGTTGGCAAGCCTGAAGAAAGTTCTAGCTCAAGACATCGTCCCACAGCAACAGCCTGCTGTTGTACCCACAGTGTTCAGCCAAATATCGACTCGGTACTTGTTCAGTTTCTTGGGGTGGGGAAGGGGAAAGGGAAGGGGAGGGGGGGGGGCTTTAAAGACCAGAGCTGTAGAACGTGTGCCGTAGAGAATTATAAAAACTGGATCTACCTGTAAATGACTTATCTGGATAATGACCTTCCTGTCAACGACATATGTCAATGACCAACCTACCAATGACCTACCTACCAATGACCTACCTACCAATGACCTACCTACCAATGACCTATCTGCCAATGACCTACCTACCAATGACCTACCTACCAATGGCCTATCTGCCAATGACCTACCTACCAATGACGTACCTACCAATGACCTATCTGCCAATGACCTACCTACCAATAACCTACCTACCAATGACCTATCTGCCAATGACCTACCTACCAATGACCTATCTGCCAATGACCTACCTACCAATGACCTACAATGACCTACCTAACTACCAATGACCTATCTACCAATGACCTATCTACCAATGACCTATCTACCAATGTCCTATCTAGCAATGACCTATCTACCAATGACCTATCTACCAATGACCTACCATGTCTTTTAAAGACCATGATATTGATGACGTTTGTGACGATGCCCAGACCGCTGACCCCAGCAGACAGAAAGACTGGCACCAAGATGTTGAACCAGAACTGGAACTGGTCACTCAGGTCAGCTGACATGCTGGGGGGAGAGGTCGCTGTGACCTGTCCTTGACCTGGTGACGTGGCAAAGGTCAAGTCACTCAACACGTGACGTGTGACAGTCACATCCATGGTGTCAGCAAGCGGGCGCAGATAGTACACAAACGGTATCTGTAGGTAGTACACAAACGGTATCTGTAGGTAGTACACAAACGGTATCTGTAGGTAGTACACAAACGGTATCTGTAGGTAGTACACAAACGGTATCTGTAGGTAGTACACAAACGGTATCTGTAGGTAGTACACAAACGGTATCTGTAGGTAGTACACAAACGGTATCTGTAGGTAGTACACAAACGGTATCTGTAGGTAGTACACAAACGGTATCTGTAGGTAGTACACAAACGGTATCTGTAGGTAGTACACAAACGGTATCTGTAGGTAGTACACAAACGGTATCTGTAGGTAGTACACAAACGGTATCTGTAGGTAGTACACAAACAGTATCTGTAGGTAGTACACAAACGGTATCTGTAGGTAGTACACAAACGGTATCTGTAGGTAGTACACAAACGGTACTACACAAACGGTAGTACACAAACGGTATCTGTAGGTAGTACACAAACGGTATCTGTAGGTAGTACACAAACGGTATCTGTAGAAAATCTTAAGACTGTTATTATATTAATAATGATGACGATAACATTGTTTTATTTCTACAAATATTGAACACTACACCTAATTATATCGATTTTTTTAAACTTTGGTTCATTCTCAACCAATTACAACACAGATTTTGAAGACAATGTTGTAATTCTTTGTTTACAAAGTGCAGAACTGTGTTCATGTATTCTCCCTATGGAAATTACATCGCGTTTGTCTTCGTATTAAAAGAGATCTGACTGCAAGAGTCCAATTAATTTTAATTATTTCAAAGGGGGAAAATAAAATTTCGATACACAAACAAAGCCATACCAATTAGTGATGTCACTGACACTGTAATTAACATAATTGATCAGTGGACGGGGGGGGGAGGGGCGGGTTGAGAAACTAGCGTCATGATCTAGGACACCAGGACTTTATTTTGTTTCCTAAAAAAAATAATTTTTAGGTTATAAAATTGTTAGTTTAGTGTCGAATCATGTGTGATTGTATTAATTTTGTTTTTTAATTAAAAGTGTGTGGTGTTATTAAAACCGTCATTATAATTGAAATGCAATAAGGCCATATAGTTATACTATTAATATCCGATGGTAGAATTATTATGGTAAACATTGAATACAAAGCATCAAGATTTGGGGGGGGGGGGCGTTTAGTTCTAAATAAAATGTGGAGCTTTCAAATACAGCTCTACGTCACTGAGTCCTCTCAGCAGTTTTGGGTACCTGGCTTGAAAGTAATGCAGGGCACAAAAACTGAGACCGGTAATGGCATAGAATGGGCATAGGGTTGGGCATACACATGGGCATAAAGTTGGCACATATAGTTTACTCTCTAGACAGTCAACTCTATATGGCTACAAATATTGATCTCTTTGAGGCGGATAAACTACCCAACACGCCGTGTATTTAATGTGTGTTTACCGTATAACGATTTCCTTATTGATTACCTCACTGACTACCTCATTGTTGCCGTACACAAAAAGCTGCCAGTATAAGGCACAAATAAAATACTTCAAAAAAACGTATTAAAAAACCACGTTTTTCTTGTGGACTAAAAAGTAGAAAATAAATTTTTCTTCCGACCCTAGGGGATCTACCAATGACTGCTCGTAGATTTTGTGCTTCCTCGAGCTGTGCAGGTTCTTGTGATGACTGTACCTACCTCTCCCCATCCCCCACCCCACCCACCTTGCAGTTAAAACAAGTTTTAAAACTGTACGATCATAAATTTTCTCCTATAAAATTTTACAAATAACCTTGATTTAATAATGTTTGTGTGTTCACCTGTCGTGTTACGGCCACCTTTAGCCACCTTTAGCCGCTCACCGTGTGTGTCCCTATGACGTCAGGGTGATACATTCACCTCAAGGTGATTCCTCCCACCATCATCAAAGTTAATCTAATAAATGTTGACAAGCTTGCCGTCACCAAAAGCCGACTTGACGCGCTACCATGTGACATGAATGTTTGCAGCTTCACAAAAGTGCAAGCTCAGAGATTTCACAAGGCAGTAACCCCGTTCACTAACACCCCCACCTGCGGTCACCACCCAATTAAACCAGTTCTAACTTGGTCGTCAGACGGCCGTTCGCACTCGATAAAAGACGCGCTCACATGTGTTACTGTCTCGAAGTTTAGGGCCGCATGGGTTACTTCCCTCCTCTGTGACATGGAGTTGCTCGCCCTTTGATAACACAATAAACAACAGAACTACAAGGGGTGATTTCAAATTTCTTATTTTTAACAGGTATGGGTGAAACTGCTAAATGCACACTATATATATATATATATATATATATATATATATATATATATATATATATATATATATATATATATATATATATTCGAAAAAGTCTCGAGTTCGAACCCTCTCGCAGATACGGCTCAATCCCTTCCAACACCAAAAATTAAGAACGAAGAAGAAGAAGAAAACCAACATAAGAGCTTGCGTACACATGGATTTAACCAACAATTGTGTAAGGAAAAACTTGGTTTAACCATTGCAACTACTAAATAACTTGACGTAATGCAAACGAAAAGGTTTGAGCTTTTATTTTTACGTACGTTCAATACTAGTTTTACATTCTCATACAAGCTAGGCGGTAGGATGGGTGATGGTAGTACAAGAGAGTAATTCGTGGAATGGTATATGTATTGGTGGTAATATAGGATGGGAGCAATACAGCTGATAACATGGGATGGTAGCAAAATGGGTGGTAACATGAGATGGTAGTTATACAGGTGGTAACGTTTGATGGTAGCAATACAGTTGGTAACATGGGATGGTAGAAATGCAGGTGGTAATATAGGATGGGAGCAATACAGCTGATAACATGGGATGGTGGCAATACAGGTGGTAACATGGGATGATAACAATACAAGTGGCAACATGGGATGGTAACAATACAAGTGGCAACATGGGATGGTAACAATACAAGTGGTAACATGGGATGGTAACAATACAAGTGGTAACATGATATGGTAGCTGTAGTGAAGTATCTAAACACGCTCTTTAGTTGAATTACCTGTGGACATTTTTAAGAATTAATTATTTTTTAATCATTAAGGTTATAGTCGTGGCATATTTGTATGTCTTTCATGTCAGTGTTGCGGTTGTACAAATGTCAAGTCAACAAGCAGTTAAATTTGTGTTAACACTTCACCCATCCAAATGTCAAGTCAACTAGCAGTTAAATTTGTGTTAACACTTCACCCATCCAAATGTCAAGTCAACTAGCAGTTAAATTTGTGTTAACACTTCACCCATCCAAATGTCAAGTCAACTAGCAGTTAAATTTGTGGTAACACTTCACCCATCCAAATGTCAAGTCAACTAACAGTTAAATTTGTGTTAACACTTCACCCATACAAATGTCAAGTCAACTAGCAGTTAAATTTGTGTTAACACTTCACCCATCCAAATGTCAAGTCAACTAGCAGTTAAATTTGTGTTAACACTTCACCCATCCAAATGTCAAGTCAACTAGCAGTTAAATTTGTGTTAACACTTCACCCATCCAAATGTCAAGTCAACTAGCAAGCTTAATATTATACACACTTAATAAAGTTCTTATTAGAGTTAAACTCAACGCTTAACTGAGTACTAGTGTTAAAATAAACGTTTCACATAGTGTTACTGTTAAACTCTGTTTAACCGAGTGTTACAGCTAAACCAAAGTTTACCGATTGCTAGAGTTAAGTCAACGTTTACTGAATAGTGTTACCGTTGGGGTCAACTGTTGAGTTACCTCAGGTGTTCAAATGGGACTAGATCGAACACTTTAGTTTACCTCAGGGGGTCAGATGGGACTAGATCGAACACTTTACCTCAGGTGTTCAGATGGGACTAGATCGAAGCAGGGGCGGAACTACAGTGCCGCCAGACCCCGCAATGCGGGGGGGGGGCCACGCCATTTAGGGGCCCACGACCGACCATAATAATTTTTTTATAGTTACATTTTTTTTTCAATGTTCTTGCATTTTTGACTTGATGCTTGTTTTGTAAAAAAGATTACTATAGCTGCGGTTGGATTATCTTTATTCTGTAGACACCACCCCACGCTCTTGTATCTTTTTCCCATTGTTTTTAAACCACTGTGAAAGCCGAGTCCTCTTTATCCTACAATCAAACTTATCAAAGATAAGCAAACGTTTAAACCACTTCCATGACTTATTTCCCTTTTTTAAATAGTCAAATAAGGGTGCCCATAAGCTCCTTTTAATAGATTTGTACTAAACAAATTAAAAAGAAATTACTTCTCTTATTTTTTTATAAAGTACTTACTAAAGAATGACATTGTATAAAAAGGAAATGTATTTAAAATTAATAATATAAATACAAAAAAAAAACATAAAAATAAACATAACACGAGACACCATTACTTATATACAAAGCTTTCATGGTTTATATTCTTTTGACCGAATAAAGGTTTCTAGGCCCTATAGCAGAGATAAAATAAAACTGATTTTCATAAAACAAACTAATGCATTTACACTCATGACATGCTGTTGTAATTTGCTTTGATTGAAATTTGTATTTTTCAAAACACGAACAGGCCAGCAATGAGTATCCTATTTTCGCATTTTGTGTTTGTATATATATATATATATATATATATATATATATATATATATATATATATATATATATATGGGGGGGGCCTAAAAAAATTTTGCGGGGTGGCCCTTTTTTTCTAGTTCCGCCACCGGATCGAAGACTTTAGTTTACCTCAGGGGGTCAGATGGACTAGATCGAAGACTTTAGTTTACCTCAGGGGGTCAGATGGACTAGATCGAAGACTTTAGTTTACCTCAGGGGGTCAGATGGTACTAGATCGAAGACTTTAGTTTACCTCAGGGGTCAGATGGGAATGGATTGAAGACTTTAGTTTACCTCAGGGGGTCAGATGGGACTAGATCGAAGACTTTAGTTTACCTCAGGGGTCAGATGGGAATGGATTGAAGACTTTAGTTTACCTCAGGGGGTCAGATGGGGCTAGATCGAAGACTTTAGTTTACCTCAGGGGGTCAGATGGACTAGATCGAAGACTTTAGTTTACCTCAGGGGGTCACATGGGACTAGATCGAAGACTTTAGTTTACCTCAGGGGGTCAGATGGGACTAGATCGAAGACTTTAGTTTACCTCAGGGGTCAGATGGGACTAGATCGAAGACTTTAGTTTACCTCAGGGGGTCAGATGGGACTAGATCGAAGACTTTAGTTTACCTCAGGGGGTCAGATGGGGCTAGATCGAAGACTTTAGTTTACCTCAGGGGGTCAGATGGGACTAGATCGAAGACTTTAGTTTACCTCAGGGGGTCACATGGGACTAGATCGAAGACTTTAGTTTACCTCAGGGGGTCAGATGGGACTAGATCGAAGACTTTAGTTTACCTCAGGGGTCAGATGGGACTAGATCGAAGACTTTAGTTTACCTCAGGGGGTCAGATGGGACTAGATCGAACACTTTACCTCAGGGGGTCAGATGGGGCTAGATCGAAGATTTTAGTTTACCTCAGGGGGTCAGATGTGACTAGATCGAAGACTTTAGTTTACCTTAGGGGGTCAAATGGAACTAGATCGAAGATTTTAGTTTACCTCAGGGGGTCAGATGTGACTAGATCGAAGACTTTAGTTTACCTCAGGGGGTCAAATGGAACTAGATCGAAGATTTTAGTTTACCTCAGAGGGTCAGATGTGACTAGATCGAAGACTTTACCTCAGGGGTCAGATGGGACTGGATCGAAGACTTTAGTTTACCTCAGGGGGTCAGATGGGGCTAGATCGAAGACTTTAGTTTACCTCAGGGGGTCAGATGGACTAGATCGAAGACTTTAGTTTACCTCAGGGGGTCAGATGGGACTAGATCGAAGACTTTAGTTTACCTCAGGGGGTCAGATGGGACTAGATCGAAGACTTTAGTTTACCTCAGGGGTCAGATGGGACTAGATCGAAGACTTTAGTTTACCTCAGGGGGTCAGATGGGACTAGATCGAAGACTTTAGTTTACCTCAGGGGGTCAGATGGGGCTAGATCGAAGACTTTAGTTTACCTCAGGGGGTCAGATGGGACTAGATCGAAGACTTTAGTTTACCTTAGGGGGTCAAATGGAACTAGATCGAAGATTTTAGTTTACCTCAGGGGGTCAGATGTGACTAGATCGAAGACTTTAGTTTACCTTAGGGGGTCAAATGGAACTAGATCGAAGATTTTAGTTTACCTCAGGGGGTCAGATGTGACTAGATCGAAGACTTTAGTTTACCTCAGGGGGTCAGATGGGACTAGATCGAAGACTTTAGTTTACCTTAGGGGGTCAAATGGAACTAGATCGAAGATTTTAGTTTACCTCAGGGGGTCAGATGTGACTAGATCGAAGACTTTACCTCAGGGGGTCAGATGGGACTAGATCGAATACTTTAGTTTACCTCAATGGGTCAGATGGGACTGGATCGAAGACTTTCCATTTCGTAGAAGGAGGGCTCAGGTGAACTTGAGGAGACCTCAGGTGTGGAGTTCGCGCCCTTCCGTTCACGTCTGTACGCGCGCAGGTTCCTCTCCTTCTTGTCCTGCTCCCTCATCTGGTGCTCGTGCAGGTGGTACGGCACCATCATCAGCTTAAACACCTGCAAATATCGGCACCATCATCAGTTTAAACACCTGCAAATATTGGCACCATCATCAGTTTAAACACCTGCAAATATTGGCACCATCATCAGTTTAAACACCTGCAAATATCAGCACCATCATGAGCTTAAACACCTGCAAATATCAGCACCATCATCAGTTTAAACACCTGCAAATATCAGCACCATCATCAGCTTAAACACCTGCAAATATCAGCACCATCATTAATTCAAACACCTGCACATATCAGCACCATCTTCAGTTTAAACACCTGCAAATATCAGCACCATCCTCAGCTTAAACACCTGCAAATATCAGCACCATCATCAGTTTAAACACCTGCAAATATTGGCACCATCATCAGTTTAAACACCTGCAAATATCAGCACCATCATCAGTTTAAACACCTGCAAATATTGGCACCATCATAAGCTTAAACACCTGCAAATATCAGCACCATCATCAGTTTAAACACCTGCAAATATCAGCACCATCATGGATTTAAACACCTGCAAATATTGGCACCATCATGAGTTTAAACACCTGCAAATATTGGCACCATCATGAGTTTAAACACCTGAAAATATCAGCACCATCATGAGTTTAAACACCTGCAAATATTGGCACCATCATGAGTTTAAACACCTGCAAATATTGGCACCATCATGAGTTTAAACACCTGCAAATATTGGCACCATCATGAGTTTAAACACCTGCAAATATTGGCACCATCATGAGTTTAAACACCTGCAAATATCAGCACCATCATTCAAGAGATTAAACAACAGCAACTGTATATTACATTCTTAAAATCCTTACCTTACCCCATCTATAATTGTGAAATAATTAAACCCCCACCTGTCCCTGCTAATTACAGCCTACCTCCCAAGTGAAACCATATCTGCACCAGTTGACCAAGTAAGACCATATCTACACCAGTTGACCTACCTCCCAAGTGAGACCATATCTACACCAGTTGACCTACCTCCCAAGTGAGACCATATCTACACCAGTTGACCTACCTCCCAAGTGAGACCATATCTGCACCAGTTGACCTACCTCCCAAGTGAGACCATATCTGCACCAGTTGACCTACCTCCCAAGTAAAATCATATCTACACCAGTTGACCTACCTCCCAAGTGAGACCATATCTACACCAGTTGACCAGTGCACCAATAGGGATGCAGATGGCGGTGGTTCCTGCCAGACACCAGCCAATCGCTATCGCCCACTGCGGGTATTTATAGATCTCTTTGTTTTCTCGCATGTACTCAATCTCAGCGTAGTCGGTCAGTGTGAAGTAAATTATTGCCTGGTGAGGTAGTGAGGTAAATTATTGCCTGATGAGATGGTGAGGTAAATTATTGCCTGGTGAGGTAGTGAGGTAAATTATTGCCTGGTGAGGTAGTGAGGTAAATTATTGCCTGGTGAGATAGTGAGGTAAATTTTTGCCTGGTGAGATAGTGAGGTAAATTATTGCCTGGTGAGGTAGTGAGGTAAATTATTGCCTGGTGAGGTAGTGAGGTAAATTATTGCCTGGTGAGGTAGTGAGGTAAATTATTGCCTGGTGAGGTAGTGAGGTAAATTATTGCCTGGTGAGGTAGTGAGGTAAATTATTGCCTGGTGAGGTAGTGAGGTAAATTATTGCCTGGTGAGGTAGTGAGGCTAATTATTACCTGATGAGGTAGGGTGGTGTAAATTATTAACTGGTGAAGTATTGGGTAGTACTTTATTGCCTGGTGAGGTAGTGTGAGGTAAATTATTACCCGACGCCTGAATGTGTAATAAAACATGCCATCGATTGTGTGAGTAATGTGCTAGAGTATCTTGAGCTTAACAAACAAAATATGGGTGTTAGGATTAGGGTTAGCTTGAGCTTACCAAACAAAATATGGGGGTTAGGATTAGGGTTAGCTTGAGCTTACCAAACAAAATATGGGGGTTAGGATTAGGGTTAGCTTGAGCTTACCAAACAAAATATGGGAGTTGGGATTAGGGTTAGGGTTAGCTTGAGCTTACCAAACAAAATATGGGGGTTAGGATTAGGGTTAGCTTGAGCTTACCAAACAAAATATGGGGGTTAGGATTAGGGTTAGCTTGAGCTTACCAAAAAAAATATGGGGGTTAGGATTAGGGTTAGGGTTAGCTTGAGCTTACCAAACAAAATATGGGGGTTATAACCGTCCAACACGCGAGCATGAAGGGGAGCGTCTTGCTGAACCTGGAGTAGCCTATCATCATCATAATGTTGTCATAGAATCGATGAATTCCTGATCAATACAAGACGATTGAGTATTGTACCAGATTTACACTTTAAACAAGGAAGTCTGGTAGGGGTAAGGCCTACTATTAAAGTAATTACCTTAATAGGTAATTAATTTACTCTTTATGATTAGTATTCCCGTTACAAAATTATAAATGTCACCAATCCATCAATGTCACCACCTACCAATGTCACCAACCTACCAGTGTCACCAACCTACCTCTGTCACCAACCTACCAATGTCACCAACCTACCAATGTCACCAACCTACCAGTGTCACCAACCTACCAATGTCACCAACCTACTTGTGTCACCAACCTATCAATGTCACCAACCTACCAATGTCACCAACCTACCAGTGTCACCAACCTACCAATGTCACTAACCTACCAACGTCACCAACCTACCAATGTCACCAACCTACCAATGTCACCAACCTACCAGTGTCACCAACCTACCAATGTCACCAACCTACTTGTGTCACCAACCTACCAATGTCACCAACCTACTTGTGTCACCAACCTACCAATGTCACCAACCTACTTGTGTCACCAACCTATCAATGTCACCAACCTACCAATGTCACCAACCTACCAGTGTCACCAACCTACCAATGTCACTAACCTACCAACGTCACCAACCTACCAATGTCACCAACCTACCAATGTCACCAACCTACCAGTGTCACCAACCTACCAATGTCACCAACCTACCAGTGTCACCAACATACCAATGTCACCGACCTACCAACCTATCAATGTCACCAACCTACCAATTTCACCAACCTACGAATGTCACCAACCTACCAGTGCCACAAACCTACCGATGTCACCAACCTACCAATGTCACCAACCTACCAATGTCACCAACCTACCAGTGTCACCAACCTACCAATGTCACCAACCTACCAGCCCCACCAACCTACCAATGTCACCAACCTACCAGTGTCACCAACCTACCAGTGTCACCAACATACCAATGTCACCAACCTACCAATGTCACCAACCTACTTGTGTCACCAACCTATCAATGTCACCAACCTACCAATGTCACCAACCTACCAATGTCACCAACCTACCTCTGTCACCAACCTACCAGTGTCACCAACCTACCAATGTCACCAACCTACCAGTGTCACCAACCTACTAGCCCCACCAACCTACCAGCCCCACCAACCTACCAGTGCCACCAACCTACATGTGTCAGCAACCTACCATAGACATACGCTACAGCGATGAGCTCTGTTAGGCACACTACTACGACGATTCGGCTGGCAGCGTAGAAGTCAAACAATTGGAAGACGTACATCCCACCCTAACAACAGAAGTCAAACCATTGGAAGACGTACATCCCACCCTAACAACAGAAGTCAAACCATTGGAAGACGTACATCTAACAATAGAAGTCAAACAATTGGAAGACGTACATCCCACCCTAACAATAGAAGTCAAACAATTGGAAGACGTACATCTGACAATAGAAGTCAAACTATTGGAAGACGTACATCCCACCCTAACAACAGAAGTCAAACAATTGGAAGACGTACATCCCACCCTAACAATAGAAGTCAAACAATTGGAAGACGTACATCCCACCCTAACAATAGAAGTCAAACAATTGGAAGACGTACATCTGACAATAGAGGTCAAACAATTGGAAGACGTACATCTGACAATAGAACTCAAACAATTGGAAGACGTACATCTGACAATAGAGGTCAAACAATTGGAAGACGTACATCTGACAATAGAACTCAAACGATTGGAAGACGTACATCCCACCCTGACAATAGAAGTCAAACAATTGGAAGACGTACATCTGACAATAGAAGTCAAACAATTGGAAGACGTACATCTGACAATAGAACTCAAACAATTAGAAGACGTACATCCCACCCTGACAATAGAAGTCAAACAATTGGAAGACGTACATCTGACAATAGAAGTCAAACAATTGGAAGACGTACATCTGACAATAGAGGTCAAACAATTAGAAGACGTACATCCCACCCTGACAATAGAAGTCAAACAATTGGAAGACGTACATCTGACAATAGAAGTCAAACAATTGGAAGACGTACATCTGACAATAGAGGTCAAACAATTAGAAGACGTACATCCAACCCTGACAATAGAAGTCAAACAATTGGAAGACGTACATCTGACAATAGAAGTCAAACAATTGGAAGACGTACATCCCACCCTGACAATAGAAGAAACATTGTGTGATAAGATGTACCTGAAAACACATTGTGTGGTAAAACTGACCTGAAAACACATTGTGTGGTAAGACTGACCTGAAAACACATGGAAATGCTGACCAAAAACTTGAAGATACAGGCGAGTGCTGTGCCCACCTCTCTGCTGTACTTGCTCCTGTTGAGTGTGTTGGGGAACTGGTCCAGGAATGTCGTCACGAAGGCTTCTACACCAACAAACTGTGGGGGGGAGGGGGTACAATAAATAAATAGAGTTGACGGATTATATATAATTACAAACACACATGTTCATTTACATACATAGTAATATCGGTCTAAACATAAGTATATTATGCATATACATAAAGATATATGTTTGAAGATATATTTCTGTACATGTATATGTAAGGGGCTGGGGAGTTATTTAATTATTATTTTATTACAAAAAGTTGAAAAAGGTGAATGTGTTCCTTTGAGGATTGTTGTGGTTTTTAGTTAAGTAGTCCGCTATTATGGCGCTGATATGATTTTTATTTTAAAATGATTGATAGCCTGGTTATTGTGTCTTGCTTATATTTTGATGTTATTATTTATGCAAACTTTGTTTTGGAGTGTGGCTCCACTCTGCTTTATATCCTGAATGTAAGTTATTGTTGTATTAGGGACTATTTCCTTGTGCGTGACAGGGAGGGACATTCAGCGGGAATGTCGAGGCCTGTGTGTTGAAGTGTTCCTGTAACACATTTATATGGTGACCGTGGTCCGAAATTGGGTGTTTTGTTTCGTTGAGTTCTGTTTGTTTTGTATGTCTTGAGTGTTTTGTTTTGTCTAGATCTAGATTCTGTTTTTTTATAATAACTTTTGGTTCCATATTTTGTTAAATAAATTTTATTATATTGTTTTTGTTTTATTTTAGTAGTTTTTTATTTAGACTAAGGTTAGGTTATTAACCAGTCTGGGTTTAGCCGGGCTTGCACTGACCGGACAGTAGTTAGTTAGATAAGCCTAGAAGTATAGATTTTAGGTATCCCCCCCCCCTAGCAGGGCTTACATATATATATATATATATATATATATATATATATATATATATATATATATATATATATATATATATATATATATATATATATATGTCACCTAACATGGCCAAAGTTTCTGTGAAGACTAGCATGACTTACCATGACCTACCATGACCTACTATGACCTACCACGACCTAACATGACCTAACATTCTGTGAAGAAAACATGTGTGGGTCCCCACACTACCTGCCTGGCTATCTATCCCGAGGAAGATGAGCATCAGAAAAAATAAGACCGACCAGAACGGGGCAAATGGCATCTGGATGACAGCTTTAGGGTAGGCTATGAATGCCAGACCAGGACCTGAAAGTAGAAAATTTGTGGCGTCACTAGGTGGGGTGTCACACGTGGACGTTATCCACACCCCCCCCTCCCTTTCTTTCAGCACTTTCGATTTGGTGTCACCAATCTCTACCAACTATTGTTTTGTATGATATCTCTAAAATTTTGTTTCTGTTTTTCTGTTAAACTTGATTTGACAGTAAATTTTATGATTTTTCTACATGGTGTCAGTCTGTAACGACCGCCACCGCCCCTGCCCTGCGTCACCACTGCTAGTACAGTAAGCTACTGCCCCTCCCCACTGCAGCCACCCCAGTTCAGATGACCTCTTGACCTCTTGCTCCACCCATCTGACCATTTTGTAGGGGGAGCTGTCGGTAGAGTAAGATTGGTGGAAGTGTCAAGAGAGTAAACAGTAGCACGATAGTGGGGCTTGTCGTCTCTGTATACCTACTGACGCCACTGGTACCAACTGACCTGAGCCTATACCTACTGACGCCACTGGTACCAACTGACCTGAGCCTATACCTACTGACGCCACTGGTACCAACTGACCTGAGCTTATACCTACTGACGCCACTGGTACCAACTGACCTGACCCTATACCTACTGACGCCACTGGTACTAAATGACCTGAGCCTATACCTACTGACGCCACTGGTACCAACTGACCTGAGGCTATACCTGCTGACCTATTGACGCCACTGGTAACAACTGACCTGAGTCTACACATACTGACGCCACTGGTACTAACTGACCTGAGCTTATACCTACTGACGCCACTGGTACCTACTGACCTGAGCCTATACCTACTGACGCCACTGTTACTAACTGACCTGAGTCTATACCTACTGACGCCACTGGTACCAACTGACCTGAGCCTATACCTACTGACGCCACTGGTACCTACTGACGCCACTGGTACCTACTGACGCCACTGGTGCCAACTGACCTGAGCCCACGACGTCTGCTATAGCTTTGCCTTGCTGTTTGGCCATGAAACCCAGGACACTGAACACGACGAACCCAGCAAGGATGGAAGTCCCTGAGTTGACCAGAGTGTAGACCAGAGAGTCCCTACAACAAGAAAACACCAGTTGACATTTAGAAACATCAAGACAGCTTTGACAAAAAGAAATTTTGGATAAGTTCATTCGAAACTTAAACAATAGACAGCTAAAATCGGAAAAAAATAAAGGATTTATGTTAGCAATAAAATATAATATATCCATGTCAAAATATGCAATTAATTCCAAAATCAAAAGAAAAAATTAAAAAGCAACCTATTATTTACTTTCGTGTATGCCAGTGACCATCCTTTACCTGTATGAGTTGGATACGTCATTTACCTGATCACATGATTTACCTGTATGAGTTATGGTGGTCACGTGACTTACCTGTATCAGTTGTGGTGGTCACGTGATTAACCTGTAAGAGGCGGTAGTCACGTGATTTACCTGTATGAGTTGTGGAGGTTACGTGACTTACCTGTATGAGTTGTGGTGGAACTTGTTGTAACTGCCGAGGGACGTCAGGGTGCCAAGACCGACGGAGGTGGAGAAAAAAATCTGGGTGCCAGCGTCTATCCAGACCTGCATGAGACGGGATGTAGGCAGAATCAGTTTGTGGCAAGGTCAAAGTTTGACGGATTGTAGACACGGTCAAAGTTTGACGGAGTGTAGACACGCTCAAAGTTTAACGGAGTGTAGACACGGTCAAAGTTTAACGGAGTGTAGACATGGTCAAAGTTTGACGGAGTGCAGACACGGTCAAAGTTTGACGGAGTGTAGACACGGTCAAAGTTTGACGGAGTGTAGACACGGTCAAAGTTTGACGGAGTGTAGACACGGTCAAGAGAAACGAGGTCTAGAACAGTCCTCTTCCGTGAGAAAACACCCCATGTCATTACCTCCCTGCCATTCACATCTCCCCACCCCTCCACACCTCAGTGACACAGGTTTACATCCATGGTACATCTAATACTTGACTAGCTTAACCCATCGACTAATTTGACTGTCCCAGTGACCTTGACCCCACTGACCTTGCTACTGGTGAGCATGCTCATGTTGGGTTTCATGTAGAACGAGATCCCGTCCATGGCACCGTCCAGCAGCATGTTGCGGATCAGGAAGATGGACAGGAACACGTACGGTGCCAGTGACGTCACGTAGATCACCTGCAGAAGGTCAAGGCTGGTTAAACATGTGGAAGTCGTATGACATTCCCTGTCCAAACACTGACATTCCCTGTCCAAACACTGACATTCCCTGTCCAAACACTGACATTCCCTGTCCAAACACTGACATTCCCTGTCCAAACACTGACATTCCCTGTCCAAACACTGACATTCCCTGTCCGAATACTGACATTCACTGTCCAAACAATGACATTCGCTGTCCGAATACTGACATTCCCTGCCCAAACACTGACATTCCCTGTCCAAACAATGACATTCCCTGCCCAAACAATGACATTCTCTGCCCAAACACTGACATTCCCGGTCCAAACACTGACATTCCCTGCCCAAACACTGACATTCCAAACACTGACATTCCCTGCCAAAACACTGACATTCCCTGCCCAAGCACTGGCATTCCCTGTCCAAACACTGACATTCCCTGCCCAAACACTGACATTCCCTGCCCAAACACTGACATTCCCTGCCCAAACACTGACATTCCCTGCCCAAACACTGACATTCCCTGTCCAAACACTGACATTCCCTGTCCAAACACTGACATTCCCTGTCCAAACACTGACATTCCCTGCCTAAACACTGACATTCCCTGCCCAAACACTGACATTCCCTGCCCAAACACTGACATTCCCTGCCCAAACACTGACATTCCCTGCCCAAACACTGACATTCCCTGTCCAAACACTGACATTCCCTGTCCAAACACTGACATTCTCTGTCCAAACACTGACATTCCCTGTCCAAACACTGACCATCCTAAACACAACAGCCTCTCATGACAAGTGTGTTTACTGGCCCACAAGGAACAATGATGCCTGTGCTGTCAAAACAAAATAAGGTCTTTAATCTGCTCGTCCACGACAACAACAGACCATCAACCACACAACACTGACAACACTGACAAGTCACTGACCTTCCCTGACAAGACACTGACCTTCCCTGACAAGTCACTGACCTTCCCTGACAAGTCACTGACCTTCCCTGACAAGTCACTGACCTTCCCTGACAAGTCACTGACCTTCCCTGACAAACCACTGACCTTCCCTGACAAGTTACTGACCTTCCCTGACAAGACACTGACCTTCCCTGAACTCCTGATTCCTTTGTGTATGCACAGATAGACGATGAACCACGCCAACGACAGACAACCAAACAGATCCCATTTTAAAGAGCCCATCTGGTCTATTCCGTCGCTTAAACCGAGGACTTTGTTTCTGAAAGTAAAACATCAGATAAACTAACTCAAGCAGCTAACTCAAGCTGTCAATGACCTACTCCGTTAACACCTAGCCCAATCAATCAATGACCTACTTACACCAACACCTGACCCAATATGTCAACGACATAGGCCTACTCCACCAACACCTAACCCAGTCAGTCAATGACCTACTCCATCAACACCTAACCCAATCAATGACCTACTCCACCAACACCTAACCCAATCAATGACCTACTCCACCAACACCTAACCCAATCAATGACCTACTCCACCAGCACCTAACCCAGTCAGTCAATGACCTACTCCACCAACACCTAACCCAATCAATGACCTACTCCATCAACACCTGACCCCAGCTGCCAAAGACCTACTCCACCAACACCTAACCCAATCAATGACCTACTCCACCAACACCTAACCCAATCAATGACCTACTCCACCAACACCTAACCCAATCAATGACCTACTCCACCAACACCTAACCCAATCAATGACCTACTCCACCAACACCTAACCCAATCAATGACCTACTCCACCAACACCTAACCCAATCAATGACCTACTCCACCAACACCTAACCCAATCAATGACCTACTCCACCAACACCTAACCCAATCAATGACCTACTCCACCAACACCTAACCCAATCAATGACCTACTCCACCAACACCTAACCCAGTCAATGACCTACTCCACCAACACCTAACCCCAGCTGTCAATGACCTACTCCACCAACACCTAACCCAATCAATGACCTACTCCACCAACACCTAACCCAATCAATGACCTACTCCACCAACACCTAACCCAATCAATGACCTACTCCACCAACACCTAACCCAGTCAATGACCTACTCCACCAACACCTAACCCCAGCTGTCAAAGACCTACTCCACCAACACCTAACCCAATCAATGACCTACTCCACCAACACCTAACCCAGTCAATGACCTACTCCACCAACACCTAACCCCAGCTGTCAAAGACCTACTCCACCAACACCTAACCCAATCAATGACCTACTCCACCAACACCTAACCCAATCAATGACCTACTCCACCAGCACCTAACCCAGTCAGTCAATGACCTACTCCACCAACACCTAACCCCAGCTGTCAATGACCTACTCCACCAACACCTAACCCCAGCTGTCAATGACCTACTCCACCAACACCTAACCCCAGCTGTCAATGACCTACTCCACCAACACCTAACCCAATCAATGACCTACTCCACCAACACCTAACCCCAGCTGTCAATGACCTACTCCACCAACACCTGACCCCAGCAGTCAATGACCTACTCCACCAACACCTGACCCCAGCAGTCAATGACCTACTCCACCAACACCTGACCCCAGCAGTCAATGACCTACTCCACCAACACCTAACCCCAGCTGCCAAAGACTTACTCCCAGAATTCCACCACCGGATCTCTCAACAAATGAAACCTGGCGTCGTGCACGGACATGGAGAAGTTGTGTGTGCAGTGTTCCGTGTTCCAGTCGTTGTTGCAGTGAGACCAGGGCAGCACGGAGGTGAAGGAGGAGAAGAGGTAGTAGAATGTCCAGGCCAGAATCACGTTGTAGTAGCAGTTTAGCTCCGTGATGATCAGCAGCGACGCCAAACCAACGCCTGGGGAGGGTGGAGGCCGGGGGTGTGGTGGGGGGGGGGGAGAGATAATTATATGTAAAATATGTCGCTAAAAATTGAAGGTAAAACCTACACAATTACACAAACTACTTTAAAATTATTTTCCGTTTTTATAGAGTTTATTTTTAACAATATGTATTTAGAAATTGAAAGAATAATTATCAGTATACTCTATGGCAATGTATTTCAGACGAATGTGTTTTGCTCCTGGCACCAAAGCAACTTTAAAAATGTAAGAAAATATCTTCCAGATTGGCATCAACAACTTTCCTTGAAGCTAGCGTAAATAGTGGCAGCAACCTACCCTGAAACAGTGGCACCAACCTACCTGGAAACAATGGCAACAACCTACCTGGAAACAGTGGCACCAACCTACCCTACCTTGAAACAGTGGCACCAACCTACCTTGAAACAGTGGCACCAACCTACCTTGAAACAGTGGCACCAACCTACCTTGAAACAGTGGCACCAACCTACTTTGAAACAGTGGCACCAACCTACCTTGAAACAGTGGCACCAACCTACCTTGAAACAGTGGCACCAACCTACCTTGAAACAGTGGCACCAACCTAGCTTGGCACCAACCTACCTTGAAACAGTGGCACCAACCTACCTTGAAACAGTGGCACCAACCTACCTTGGCATCAACCTACATTGAAACAGTGGCACCAACCTACCTTGAAACAGTGGCATCAACCTACCTTGGCACCAACCTACCTTGAAAGAGTGGCACCAACCTACCTTGAAACAGTGGCACCAACCTACCCTACCTTGAAACAGTGGCACCAACCTACCTTGAAACAGTGGCACCAACCTACCTTGAAACAGTGGCACCAACCTACCTTGAAACAGTGGCACCAACCTACCTTGAAACAGTGGCACCAACCTACCTTGAAACAGTGGCACCAACCTACCTTGAAACATTGGCACCAACCTACCTTGAAACAGTGGCACCAACCTACCCTACCTTGAAACAGTGGCACCAACCTACCTTGAAACAGTGGCAGCAACCTACCTTGAAACAGTGGCACCAACCTACCTTGGCATCAACCTACATTGAAACAGTGGCACCAACCTACCTTGAAACAGTGGCATCAACCTACCTTGGCACCAACCTACCTTGAAAGAGTGGCACCAACCTACCTTGAAACAGTGGCACCAACCTACCCTACCTTGAAACAGTGGCACCAACCTACCTTGAAACAGTGGCACCAACCTACCTTGAAACAGTGGCACCAACCTACCTTGAAACAGTGGCACCAACCTACCTTGAAACAGTGGCACCAACCTACCTTGAAACAGTGGCACCAACCTACCTTGAAACATTGGCACCAACCTACCTTGAAACAGTTGCACCAACCTACCTTGAATCAGTGGCACCAAAATACCTTGAAACAGGGGCACCAACCTACCTTGAAACAGTGGCACCAACCTACCCTACCTTGAAACAGTGGCACCAACCTACCCTACCTTGAAACAGTGGCACCAACCTACCTTAAAACAGTGGCACCTACCTACCTTGAAACAGTGGTACTAACCTACCTTAAAACAGTGGCACCAACCTACCTTGAAAAACTGGCACCAACCTACCTTGAAACAGTGGTACCAACCTACCTTGAAACACTGGCACCAACCTACCCTACCTTGAAACAGTGGCACCAACCTACCTTAAAACACTGGCACCAACCTACCTTGAAACAGTGGCACCAACCTACCTTGGCACCAACCTACCTTGAAACAGTGGTACTAACCTACCTTAAAACAGTGGCACCAACCTACCTTGAAACACTGGCACCAACCTACCTTGAAACAGTGGTACCAACCTACCTTGAAACACTGGCACCAACCTACCCTACCTTGAAACAGTGGCACCAACCTACCTTAAAACACTGGCACCAACCTACCTTGAAACAGTGGCACCAACCTACCAATGAAACAGTGGTACCAACCTACCTTGAAACAGTGTTACCAACCTACCTTGAAACAGTGGCACCAACCTACCTTGAAACAGTGGCACCAACCTACCTTGGCACCAACCTACCTTGAAACAGGGGCACCAAGTTCCAGGCCTGTAGACCACCTTTCGTCATGTACTGGCCAATCGCCACCTCCAGATAGAACATGGGGAACCCGGCAAAAAATACAGCAATAAAATACGGAATGAGAAACGCCCCTGTAGATTGAAGACGAACGGATTAATTAACAACTAAGTAGATTTCACTTTGCTTTACATAAATAGGGGCGTGGAGTAGGAGCTTGGATATTTTATTCCAGCAGTTCCCAGTATATGACTTGCAGACTGGTCATCAGGTATAAAGTAAGTAAATCAGCAGTTTCAAAATCTGTGACACAACATTTTAGCAAATTATTTGTAACACTTAGTAACAGCGACAAAGTTTGAATTCAACTAAGGACACTATATTGTCCACAACCAAACGGATACTGTCTTGATCGACTTCTTTTTCATGGAATTGGAAGTTTGGGGGTCGAGCAAAAACCTGAAAAATCGGATTAGGAACCGCTGTTGTAGACGACTGGTGTTATAAGTGAAGTAGTCTCAAGTTCCCACCAGTTATACCCCCGCCATCTTCCTTCATTTCACCCCATTCTAAATTCTCAATTTTAGTTCATCCATTTTTTTGTCTAAGTTTCCGTCTTACCCCCGCCATTCTTGTCTAAGTTTCCGTCTTACCCCCGCCATTCTTGTCTAAGTTTCCGTCTTACCCCCGCCATTCTTGTCTAAGTTTCCGTCTTACCCCCGCCATTCTTGTCTAAGTTTCCGTCTTACCCCCGCCATTCTTGTCTAACTTTCCGTCTTACCCCCGCCATTCTTGTCTAAGTTTCCGTCTTACCCCCGCCATTCTTGTCTAACTTTCCGTCTTACCCCCGCCATTCTTGTCTAACTTTCCGTCTTACCCCCGCCATTCTTGTCTAAGTTTCCGTCTTACCCCCGCCATTCTTGTCTAAGTTTCCGTCTTACCCCCGCCATTCTTGTCTAAGTTTCCGTCTTACCCCCGCCATTCTTGTCTAAGTTTCCGTCTTACCCCCGCCATTCTTGTCTAAGTTTCCGTCTTACCCCCGCCATTCTTGTCTAAGTTTCCGTCTTACCCCCGCCATTCTTGTCTAAGTTTCCGTCTTACCCCCGCCATTCTTGTCTAAGTTTCCGTCTTACCCCCGCCATTCTTGTCTAAGTTTCCGTCTTACCCCCGCCATTCTTGTCTAACTTTCCGTCTTACCCCCGCCATTCTTGTCTAAGTTTCCGTCTTACCCCCGCCATTCTTGTCTAAGTTTCCGTCTTACCCCCGCCATTCTTGTTTAACTTTCCGTCTTACCCCCGCCATTCTTGTCTAAGTTTCCGTCTTACCCCCGCCATTCTTGTCTAAGTTTCCCTCTTACCCCCGCCATTCTTGTCTAAGTTTCCGTCTTACCCCCGCCATTCTTGTCTAACTTTCCGTCTTACCCCCGCCATTCTTGTCTAAGTTTCCCTCTTACCCCCGCCATTCTTGTCTAAGTTTCCCTCTTACCCCCGCCATTCTTGTCTAAGTTTCCGTCTTACCCCCGCCATTCTTGTCTAACTTTCCCTCTTACCCCCGCCATTCTTGTCTAAGTTTCCCTCTTACCCCCGCCATTCTTGTCTAAGTTTCCGTCTTACCCCCGCCATTCTTGTCTAAGTTTCCGTCTTACCCCCGCCATTCTTGTCTAAGTTTCCCTCTTACCCCCGCCATTCTTGTCTAACTTTCCCTCTTACCCCCGCCATTCTTGTCTAAGTTTCCGTCTTACCCCCGCCATTCTTGTCTAACTTTCCCTCTTACCCCCGCCATTCTTGTCTAAGTTTCCGTCTTACCCCCGCCATTCTTGTCTAAGTTTCCGTCTTACCCCCGCCATTCTTGTCTAAGTTTCCGTCTTACCCCCGCCATTCTTGTCTAAGTTTCCGTCTTACCCCCGCCATTCTTGTCTAAGTTTCCGTCTTACCCCCGCCATTCTTGTCTAAGTTTCCGTCTTACCCCCGCCATTCTTGTCTAAGTTTCCGTCTTACCCCCGCCATTCTTGTCTAAGTTTCCCTCTTACCCCCGCCATTCTTGTCTAAGTTTCCGTCTTACCCCCGCCATTCTTGTCTAACTTTCCCTCTTACCCCCGCCATTCTTGTCTAAGTTTCCGTCTTACCCCCGCCATTCTTGTCTAAGTTTCCGTCTTACCCCCGCCATTCTTGTCTAAGTTTCCGTCTTACCCCCGCCATTCTTGTCTAAGTTTCCGTCTTACCCCCGCCATTCTTGTCTAAGTTTCCGTCTTACCCCCGCCATTCTTGTCTAAGTTTCCGTCTTACCCCCGCCATTCTTGTCTAAGTTTCCGTCTTACCCCCGCCATTCTTGTCTAAGTTTCCCTCTTACCCCCGCCATTCTTGTCTAAGTTTCCGTCTTACCCCCGCCATTCTTGTCTAAGTTTCCGTCTTACCCCCGCCATTCTTGTCTAAGTTTCCGTCTTACCCCCGCCATTCTTGTCTAAGTTTCCGTCTTACCCCCGCCATTCTTGTCTAAGTTTCCGTCTTACCCCCGCCATTCTTGTAGCACAGGTACGGGAACCTCCAGACGTTGCCCAGGCCGACAGCGAACCCGATGCAGGCAAACAGGAAGTCGATGCCGCGGCTCCAAGTCTCTCGCTTCGCGTAATGTTTCTCCACGTCAGCCTCCTGCACCGACTGCCTGACGTGATCGGGCGGAGGCGGGTCAACCGAGTCGGACAACTCGACGTCACCCTCGGTCACTTTGACCACGTCATTTTCAGTGACTGCCACCACGTCATGTTCAGCGGCTACGTCATTCTCGCTGCCCGAAACTGCGTCGTTCTCAGTGATGGAGACTGGGGATGATCGTGGTGCTGCTAGGTCTGCCATCTTACGGCCGTCTGAGAAATGCTGATCCAACACTCACACAAGCTGAAAGAAAATTCTTCATTGACTTAAAACTTTGTTCCATATTACAATGTTAACATGATCTGATGTACCAACTGGCTTAACACTTCTAAAGATAAACGGACACAATGAATGTCACAAAACGCAAATCTGTGGTCTATTTATGGAATCGCTTTCTTTGTCTCACGGTCTCGGTATAAATAAAAATATGCGTGTGGGAAGAACGTTTGCACCCAACCCCTCAAAACATATTCCTGCCGCTGCCCACCCAACCCCACTTTCCACACTCCTAAAAATATGCCATCGGAATGTTTCAATCCTTAGACATGCAGGTACCGCTGTCTTTGATAACCAGACATGTAGGTACCGCTGTCTTTGACAGTTCGACATTTAGGTACCGCTGTCTTTGATAACCAGACATGCAGGTACCGCTGTCATTGATAGTTCGACATGTAGGTACCGCTGTCTTAGATATTTCGACATGTAGGTACCGCTGTCTTAGATATTTCGACATGTAGGTACCGCTGTCTTTGATAACCAGACATTTAGGTACCGCTGTCTTTAATAACTAGACATGCAGGTACCGCTGTCATTGATAGTTCGACATGTAGGTACCGCTGTCTTAGATATTTCGACATGTAGGTACCGCTGTCTTAGATATTTCGACATGTAGGTACCGCTGTCTTTGATAACCAGACATGCAAGTACCGCTGTCTTTGATAACCAGACATGCACGTACCGCTGTCTTTGATAGTTAGACAACAGTGCCTGAAATGTGTTTTGCGTGATTTAAAAACTAATGCAAATGAAATATCAATGATACAAAGTAGAGTCTAGATTCTAGATCCAGTATTAAAGCTACCAACCTAAGTCACGCAATCACCTAAAGATAGAAGTCAAGTACAAATTGATGGTTCAACAAGCTATTATGTTGTTTAAAATAACGTAGCATGGATCTATATAAACATTTAGATCGTCGATAAACAACTTAAAATGTATTTTGGCTGTTACTTTTTAATAGGATTAACTAGATCTAGTTGTTCGTGGTCTAGAGATCCAGAAATAAAAACTAATGCCTTTGTTTATAATTTTAAAATCACGAATTTGCGCAACTCCACATCTCGTACTAGGGCTGAACAGTGCGCCTCTAGATAACTTGCACAGCTTTGATGTGCATCGCGAGATAGTGTTGGTGCATTAAGTCAGACTATAGGGGAAAGGGTGGGTCTGTGTTGTGTCAGGAGAGTGGAAGAACGTAGCTTATATTATATTTTATTTTTTAACGACAAAAACAACGAGACAGGTTTTCAAAAGATCATTTTAGGAAAGGGTAGGGGGAGGGTGAAAATGAGTGGCAGTGAGTCACGTGAATTGTGAGGGGCAAGGGGGTGTTACCCTTTATAAGGCCATCATATGGGGTGACACCCTTTTATAGTGCAATCACAGGGGCGACACCCTTTTATAGTGCAATCACAGGGGTGACACCCTTTTATAGTGAAATCACAGGGGTGACAACCTTTTATAGTGCAATCACAGGGGTGACAACCTTTTATAGTGTAATCGCAGGGGTGACACCCTTTTATAGTGTAATCACAGGGGTGACAACCTTTTATAGTGTAATCGCAGGGGTGACACCCTTTTATAGTGCAATCACAGGGGTGACACCCTTTTATAGTGTAATCGCAGGGGTGACACCCTTTTATAGTACAATCACAGGGGTGACACCCTTTTATAGTGCAATCACAGGGGTGACACCCTTTTATAGTGCAATCACAGGGGTGACACCCTTTTATAGTGCAATCACAGGGGTGACACCCTTTTATAGTGCAATCACAGGGGTGACACCCTTTTATAGTGCAATCACAGGGGTGACACCTTTTTATAGTGCAATCACAAGGGTGACAACCTTTTATAGTGTAATCACAGGGGTGACACCCTTTTATAGTGCAATCACAGGGGTGACACCCTTTTATAGTGCAATCACAGGGGTGACACCCTTTTATAGTGCAATCACAGGGGTGACACCCTTTTATAGTGCAATCACATGGGAGTGACACCCTTTAGAATACCATCAAAGGGAGTGTCCTATATAATGCCATCACTCTTAATATCAAATCAAACATTAAAAGAATCAACATAATATAAACACATAAAAGTAATTAAGTCAAAGTACAATCAATGCTTTAATTAACATAATTTAAATATACTTCTATGACAGAAGAGGTGGAGGCTAAATAAAATTGAAAATGTGCAAAAACAAAAAGTTTAAAACACGTTGCACTCTATGATAAAAGTTCCTATAGAGCCGCAAGACTGCCAAAATATCTGAGGTTTGTCTAGAAGTGTCTATCTCATACCCAAACACTGAGATAGTGTCTACCTCATACCCAAATACTGAGATAGTGTCTACCTCATACCAACCCAATGATATATATCTTAAAAAATTTACTTCATCTTAGCCTTTAGAACACTGGCTAGTCCGGTTTATTATACATAGACCATATCACTCAATATCACCACAATCACATATGTATAGTAGGCTAATAGTAGACTACAAAACTGTAGAATGGTTACAGTATTTACAACTGTTTAAATATATATATATATGTTGTGTGTTTATATGTATGCAAATATGTGATGGTATGTGTCCTAAAAAGGTTCTACTAAGTTCACTAGCTTTTGGTTTCTGTCTATTGATAGAGTTAGGGTCTAGTGACATGTAAAGGGTGGCCATACCAACCAAAACTGTTGAGTAAAATACTGTCAGAGAACACAGATACACCAATCATGTTGTCTCATGCACACAGTTCTTCCAATATTTCTATATTTCTACCTGAAAATCTGCTGGTCTATTGTGATGTGTCTTTTTAATTGCCACTAAAATAAAAAAAAATCAGAAAACACAGCTCAGAAAAAAAGACTTAAAAATTTGAGAATAAATAAAGCTCACAAAATGGACTCAGAAAAAATCCACAGAACAAAAGTGTAATACACGCATGTTTTAAAAACAACTTTTGCACACAAAAATTCACCTTGAAAACTTAAAGAAATACAAACAAACGAGCCGGCCCGCGGCATAACATACGCCGCTATTTAGTTGTTTCTAATTTTCAATAATTCATAATTTGTGAATTCGACAGTACCAACGCTGACACTGAAAATATTTCTTTAAAACACTATAAGTAGCTCGTTAAGGACCATAACCCCCCCCCTTCCTTCCCTCCCCCCTCCCCCCCCCCCCCCCCCCCCTACGGCTCGAAGAAGAGAATTATATATATAGATAGATTAAAGGAAGAATGCCAGAAAAAAATCTTAAGAAATAAAAGAAACATGAACACCTTTGGAAAATGAACATACAGAAAGAAAAAAAAACAGAATTTATAAAAAAATGTAAACAAGTTTAGGCATGAAACAAATCAGATTATTAATTTAAAAATTAAGTTCAGATTTGAATGAAGCAGATGTTGTAACAAAAATATTATCTTAAATGTAGTATACGAAGTTTATGTTGGTTTCCTTCTAACATTTATTCATCACAAGAACATTTTAAACCAAGATTTCTGTTGCCTCACTATGATGTGCATGAGAATATGTAAAAACTAATTATACAATAGTAAGAAATTATTGGTGAAATACATGGCATTCTGCATTTTTAATTTCAAGCAAACAAAAATATAAAAGAAACCCACACCTCAGCATATTAAAACTGAAGAAAATATCTGCAACTAATATGATACATGCTTATATGCAGGCGAAATTAAAATGATATAAGCATTGTTGCATAAATGATTATTGTGGGGGGAAGGGGAGAAGGGGCAAAATTTATAATGTTTATGTGTTTATCTCTGACATATTGATATGAGTAGCTTACATTAAATATATAAATGTAAATATTTCACTTTGACAATTTCTGTGTATATTAATAACACAATTATTCAACAAATTATTTCAATGTACAACTTCATCTTCCATATATTTCTTTGAACAAACCCTTGAAAGAGAACTACAATTAGCTGCCTAAATCCAGGGACTCTAAGAAAGCACAAGAATTGATTAGTTGACAGCAGAGAAAAAATTCAAGATTTAGCAGGAATAAAAAAATCACATAAAGAATTACAAACTAAAAAAGCTACATGTGAGAGCTCATCATTCAGGAAATGTGAACCGAGTTCATAAAAAACAAATTACATTTTTGCTTCCAATTGTACAAACAAAATAATGCTCATTGCTTGAACAATTACAAAATTTCATTTAAATTTACTATAAAAATACATTGTTTTTATATCTCATGTATTTTTTTTCAGAGGACTAGACATATAAAATAACACCCCCCTAAACTTTAGAAGTTAAGAAGTAGCTTTAGATACACTTACCCTATATTAACAACACCTGGTATAAAAAAACAACCCCCCAGTTTACAAGAAGAGATTGCTAGGTGTCAAAATGCTGTATTTTGACTATTTAACTATCTGAGTTTTTGCTAAATACAATAAAATTTTGTTGTTTGGCACATGAAAGGCATAAACACAAATATAATTTTTAAAGGATTTCAGTTTGATTTGTGCCTTTTAAAATAAATGGCTGATGTATACATGAATTGTACAGTTGAAAATATAAGTTACAATGGTTCAAATATTTTGCATTGCTTGTGTCAATCCCACCTCACAGACCAAAATATACAGTCAATAGCTTTGAGGAAAGTCCAGAGAATATTGATCAATATGAATTCTGCTTGCTTTTCACTGAGTCACATATTGTACATAAAAATATTCAAGATTTCATGACTAGTTAAAGAATATATAATAAATTTAAATAAATATGCATATTTTTTAAAGAAGAAGAATTTGTAATATGAGTAAAAATGACAGAAGAATAAAAATTATATTATTTTGAATTGGTCTCAATAGAGAGCCCATATTTTAACTCCCCTTTTAACAAAAACTTAAATCTTTGAGCTCTATTGCTAGCGTACAGAAGAAACAGCACTAGTAAAGAGAAAAGTTGTGAATAAACTAATCACTTTAACAGACAGCTCCTACACCTAGCCAGTACCACACCCTCAACACAGCAAGACAACCAGAAGAATAAACTAACAAGAACATAGGTCCTACATCTAGCCAGTACCACACCTCAACACAGCAAGACAACCAGAAGAATAAACTAACAAGAACATAGGGTTACATTTTGTAAAACACATTCTGCTCAGCTCTTTTCAAACCCAGAAAAATTGAACAGGTGATAACAATAATAATAATGAAACAATAATTAAAGTGATACATGAGTTATTGATGAAATGTTACAAACATATATCTTGATGATTCATTAATTTGTTTTCCAAAAATGTGTCTTATGTGAATGAGTAAAGAAAAGTTGTGACCGTCTTCAGATGAAAGGAGATCAAGGAAATGGGTGATTTGATGTTACAGAAACTGGAATGCAAAGTAAATCATCTAGCCTTGATTGTATGTACACTTAATCTGGACAAGTAATCCGGCTGACTTGACTCAATCTCTTGCTCTAATCGGGTCGAAAAATTGGCACTTTGGGGATAAATTCCAAAACCAATACCTGAAATTTTAAAAATATGACAAAAATGTATATTCTTCTTCTTTGTAGTTTTACAGGGGATTTTCTCCAACACAATTTAATACAATATGTTACCATCTTGTGTGCCATATAGCTTGTTGATTCTGACTACAGCTTGCTTTTCTTTCTGAGTTTACTTCTATGGCTTTTGTCCACGCAAAAAAAATCCGCAAGGCAGCAATGTTTTTTTTTGGAGTTTTCTGGATGGGTTGTAGTCCCCAGCTATGAGCTCATCTACCCAGGATATGAACTTGGGACTTAGCAATCAGACGTTCTCTAACCCTACCATGTCGTCCTCTCAAAAATGTTGATAATTTTTTTTTTTATTTTAACTCAAAAACTTAAATATTCAATCACCAACAAAACTTTTGAATATTCTAATTCTACTACCAACCAAAATCTAGATGACTCTTCTAATACTTACATATTCCATCATACTACTGGAATCACAGCGCTGCTTATTCAATCTCCAATGTAGGCCCAACTGTTAAAATTAATATTTTTAACTTGACATAAACTATTTTAGCAGAATATTTTTTTATCTAAGGATCTAGGAACAACGCGACTTTAATTTAATGTAGTATCTCAATAACTAGGAAACTGCGTAAATGTATTATCTTGTAAGCTGCAAAAATGTTGTATCCAATTAGAACCTACTTTTTGATATAAGTGACTGTTTTCCCAATCTAAAACTTTCTCCAGAGAATGGCGTGTCTGTAAGTAATAAAATATTAGATTAAACAGATTTTAAGGACTATTGTGACGTCAAATATTGCAAGTTTTCACATTATTATTAAAAGCTAGAACTGAAACCTACCCTTTTACTTAAACAGACCACTGGCCATAAGGAACAGCCCAGTGTACAACAGCAACAAATGCACCCACAGAACAGCCACTTGACATTGACAGGGAGAGCCTTGCGCAGAACATTGTTGATTCTTGTGATGGTTGCTTTAAACTCCTCTGGTGCTACCTTTAAAAGCCAAATTAAAACTATTAACTCTGCTGTGGTTTTAAAACATTTCCTAAAAGCCATTATTCTCCTTTAATCTAAGACTAAAACTGGTGCCTTAACATTATAATAAACATTTGAATTGAAACATTTCTCTAACTACTGTTATTCCTGTAAGTTCTTTTAGAACATGTTTTTTTCAGTGTTTCTGTCAATAAATATTTTTCATACCTTTGCTGAAAGACCTGGAGGGAAATCTGTTTCAAACTTGTTACTTAAACCAAATCTAATGAAAAAAATGGTTTTATTAGTTTACAGTTAAACATGTCATCTGTTTCAAACTTGTTACTTAAACCAAATCTAATGAAAAAAAAATGGTTTTATTAGTTTAAAAACTTGTTACTTAAACCAAATCTAATGAAAAAAAATGGTTTTATTAGTTTACAGTTAAAATTGTAATTTGACATTATTCAGCATAACTCAGATAATAGATTTTGTTTAATTAAATGGTTCTTAAGGCTCACTTAAGTTATCTTTTAAGTGGTTCAAATCTCTGGCATAAGGTGGGTTAAAACCACAAACTGAAAGTCATCTCACTTTAAGTTACAGTTATAGGAATAGGTGTTATTTTATGTTTATAATTTCATGTAATTATTAATTAGAATGTCTCCTGACGCTAGATGGCAGAACAATCATAAACAAAAACATTTCGACTAGCACATGCTCATTCGGTTGACAAAACACTGTGAACGAGTCGTCTGTCGCTGAAATTTAATGTGATGACAGTTTTTAAAAGATAATAAAATAGATATAAATTTTAATAAACTATTTTAACCTCTGCATGAACAAAGCTTTGAGAATATTGCACCAGTCCTAAACCTGGTATGGGAGGAAGGTTAGATTTATTTGAAATGACATTTCACTCACTTATAAATTATCAAATTTCATTGCTAAAATAACTAAACTGGTTAATCAAAAGTGAATAAAGCGTGAATATGAATATCTTTAAAAAGTTTATATATTTTTAAATATTTAAAACATTATTTCTTTCTTGTTTAGGCCTATCCATAATACTAAAATACAGACAGTGAAAAGAATACTTAACCAGATTATGAGTATATCTGTTCAATTATGTTTTAATGCTGCATCGTAGAGTAATACCTCCACTCCTCCCCCCCCCCCCCCCCCCCACACACCCAAACACTTCACTTGAGTGAAAAAAACTAACATTTAGATAATGGCTAGAATCAGCCTTTTTATTAATATTGATATCTGTTTTTTTTCATTAATTTTTAATAAGTGACTACACAGATTGCCGAGCTTTCCAAGTATTTTTTTAATTCCGTAGGAGCATTCTAAAATTTTGGGATTTGTCATCTTCTGATAAAAAAAGCTTAATATTTCATTTGTTAGCACATCTGGTGTGGTAGAGTCAATAGCGCGGTAGTTAAGTACATAGCCCTGGAGCTACTAGTTCGATCCCAGAGTTAGCAGGACTGGCGTACAGCGCCTTTTGACAATTTATTTTTTCATATTGAAATTGAAAACGACAAGTGTAAATGTTTTTTCTTAGAATTTTTTTTATTTTTATAAAATTTCCAAACTTAGTCACTTGTTTGATTGCTTGCTTAGGCCTAGATTCTATATTTTCTATCCCACTGGCGAAAAATTCCACCACGGTCAGCGGGGTCATTGTGAGTTAGCAGGCCTATAGGATACATCATAGAATGAACACAAGTTCTCTTTGAGATTGTCAGTGTCTTCATTTCTCTTGGCTGCCCCCCCCCCCCCCCCCCAATCCCATTCAAGCAAAAACAGACCTACTTCTGGTCATTTTTGTTTAAGTTCACATAGGCTTATAGACTTAGATATACTACCACTCATGCTAGATCTAGATAGCTCTAGGAGTATGATCTGACCAACTAGATCTAAATTCTTTTTTTAACCTGCGCCTACCTTGGGTATTGAATAAATTTTATAAAACACTTAAACTTTATGTCAACATTGCATTGCTAAGAAGACAAAAAAAAGTCGGCAGTCCTGATATCTATTTTTTAGATTGTGTGCTACCTAGAGAGAAGATTTGACGGACCGTAGAGCTATCCGCGCAAATGTGGCCTAATTTTTAATTAATGGATGATATTTAGAATCGACCCTTTGGTTCTCGGACAGATCGTCCCCCCGGCATGGCCTCAACCAACCGGCGGGCTCGTTGCATTGAGTTAAATATAAACTCAAAACAATAATATAAACAATCTCCTTTTAGGTCGGTCAGGCCACATACCAGGCACGCACAGTGTTGTGTGTCGTGCCTTAACCAAAATAAACTATCTCCCTTCATTATCATTAGATATATTTAATTAATTAATTAATTAATTTGCTAATTATAAAATTATGTATGATGCTATAGAAGTAGGTAAGTATAATTTTTTACTTTGTATTTGTACTATTAATTATATTAAAGAACATCGTTGTTTCAATACCACCCTCTCCCCTTCTTGAGCTCAAAGTTAAACTTTTAACCCCGTTTGTAAAGACTAGCGGTATGCTGTAAGGCGGCGGGTGGGTAGGGTATATACTCATTGGAAAAAAAAATCCTCCGTGGTTCGTGTTATTGGCCTTGGGCCTTGGGTGACCGTTGTTGGCACTTGCTGTGAGGGGGAGAGGGGTGTGTGTTATACTCGTGGAAAAAAAAAATGCACCGTGGTATTTGCCTATGATGACGTTGTCTGCGCAAGCGGGAAAGGGGGGGGGGGAGACGTTTTTTTTTTTAAACCAAGAACTAGGCGTTTCAAGGCAGTAATGAAAATCAAGGACTGGTATATCCATGATGTCGAATTTAACGAGTGATGCTTGCTGATCTATCATCATACGATTGCTTGGCGATGGGAATCTCGTCAAGCTCAGTTTACATTATTAACAGTGAACTATTGGGATGTTGTCTTGCACAAAGTAACAGTACCGAATGTAGCACTTAAAACATCGAGTGCATCCCGCTCATTATAAATCTTTGAAATACAAGTTATGGATAGTCCAATAGGCAATAACTACTAATACTTGAAGGACTGCCAGAATATATGCATTGTATTATAAAATTAATCATTACGATATAACTAAAATGTGCATCCAAACATGTTTAGGCTAATGGGATCTGCATTTAAATAAACAAAGTCAAATACCTACCCCATTCAGTAGAAATATTAGGATACTTTTGCATGGTAGCACAACGACATTTTTTTTAGATTTTGTAATGAGTAGCCTAGTAGTGCATTAAACAAGAATAAAGGGTGTTACTCAATAGCAATGACAATAATGAAGTGCCAGCTTCAAATGACGGCTTCCCTGTATTCTTCGACTAGAAATATAGCTCCGTCGTTTAAATGACCCCACCCCTCCACCTTTTGCCTAGTTGAATATAAAGTTACACTTTCAACCCTGTTAGGATGCGTGAACTACTGATGACCTAACTACTAAAAAAAAATCTATTTGGTGTTAAATTCCCCTCCCTACACATAGAAAAAATGGCTTTCTCTACCCTTTTTAGCTCCAAAAACGCCGTGTTTACGGGTCGCGTGACGTCATCGTGACGTCAGCTGCCAACCAAAACGCGTTGAAAGCACGCGTTTGATTGGTTGGCGGCGGATACTATGAAATATCAAGGGTTTTCTCTAAATTTTTTCTATTTAATTAATAATTAAACTTCCTAGAAAAATTTTGTTTTAGAATTTTAAATTAGATAGATCTAGATCTAGTACTATTACTAAGTAGATGAAGAAGAATCTAGGTTTTATTTCTAGATCTAGTCTAGATCTAGTTCAAAATTAAACTTTTAACAAAAAAAAAAGTCTAAAAGAAAAACCAAAACTCAAAACATTTGATTTTCTTCAGTGATTTCAAAACATCCCAATACCTTCCAATATAACTTGTAATAAATACGATACCGAAGTATTTTAATATTTATAACTGCTGCTTATCTGAATACTAACATTGTAACGTTTCCTGCACCCCTTATTATAATAGGATCAGGCACATATATCGTATAGTTGTCTATATTTTCTTCTTCGTCTTCTCTTTCTTCGTAAATTGTGTCAAAGTCAGCCATTGTTTACAATAACTTCCTGAATTTTATGCCCGTTGGTTCAACTTTATAGTATGTTTATATATAAGAAATTAAAACTGAATATAAGCCTTTTCTAATCATTTATTGTTTGTAAAAAATATTACTATATTTATGTTATAATATTCAAGCACTAATCATTTCAAATAGTGCTTATATATTTATATCAAAGAAAATAATTTAAAAGAACATGTTTGGCTTGAACTTCGATTTTTTCTATGGCCTTGTGACTGGAATTTTTGGATAAGTTTTCCCCGGGAGCTAGAGAGCTCCAAATCCAAAATAACCTGTGCCTTCTTTTGAATAGTAGGATTATAACACCACTACTTAATTTGTAACAAATGGTGTATTTTTCTACATATTCTAGATGAATAGGCACAGCAAACAACATTCTTTGTCAAATAACAGTCCTTTATTTTAAAAATAGCATACAGTCGACTAGATTAGCTGTACCCGCTTCAAATATTCTTTTGAAAGTTTATTGCAAGAGAAGTTTTTAGACGGTTCCTTTCCTCAACTTTCCTGACTCTCACATTCTTCAGTATACAATATTTTTAGACAAGTCAAGTGGCTTTGGTCAGTGGTTTGAGTTTGTGGCTAGTAGAGGAAGCAGCAAAGCAAGCTAGGACTAGATGTAGATCTACTTGTTGGTACAGTTTTCAGTTTAATTTCATTTGTCTGGGTAAAACTCCATTTTAGCGTATTTTATCCCCGCTTCACGTTCACCTCCAGTTGAGCGTATCTTATTATAAACACAACCAAAACACACAAAATCGTTAGGAAATCACTCGGCCTATTTCTTTATGAATTTTTGGTTTAGTTTTTTTTTTAATTAATTTTGTCAAAACTTGAGAAAAATCAAAAATTTGGAATATTCTCAATTTGAATATTGAATGTGTACTAGATCTAGATCTAGTACTATTTTTTTAGATGTAGATTTAACTTTTTTTCTTTCTTGAAAATATGTTCGTGTCAGTTAAGATTTTCATGGCAATGGGTAAAGTATAAAGTATGAACACATAATTGCAAGGCATGATTCTATAAATTATTACCTTACATGAACTCACAATGACCCTAAGCTATGACGTATACTGATAATTAAAGTCAATGTGAACTCATGGTGAACCCTTGACCATGTAGGGATTTTTCTCACGCCGACGATCACACGCTATTTAATTGGAACTGTAATGCTGATTTATAGTATTTTTTACCTTTTCTAATTAAAGCGATTTCATAAAAAATAAGTAGATCTATATCTATCATCTATTGATTCTAATTGTAGTGTTATCCTAACATTTTTGTGTGTTTTGGTTGTGTTTATAATAAAATACGCTCAACCGGAGGTGAACGTGAAGCGGCGAATAAAATACGTTAAAATCGAGTTTTACCATTTGTCTTATGATTTTTGGTTAGTGTTATTTATTTAAATAAAATAGTACTTTAATTATTTAAAGTAGTTGTTAGTTACTAACTTAGTAATATACTCATTTAGTTACATTCTAAACAACATCCGCAATATCGTCGAATAAATTCTAGCAAGCAGCTAGATATCTAGAAGTAGAATATACTAGATTAATACAAAATTAATAATTATATTATAGGCCTATTAGTTTCTATGGGACGGTGTGGCCTAAGTGGTAAAGCTCTACGCTGCTAACATGAAAGTCTTGAGTTTGAATCCGGGTCCAGGTCAGTAAAATGTCCCCTGAGTCCACCCAGCTCTGATGGGTATCTAACACATGTTAGGGAAAGTAAAGGTGGCTGGGCAGAGTGCTGACCACACTACTTCTTAATATACTAAAGACACAGAAGTAGGTGAAATCTACTTCACTTGATCCATGGACCATCAAGTTAGAAAGGGAATGAGTTTTTTTACATAGGGTAGGCCAGATTCTGTTTTACCTAGAGTAATTCTTTTTCATTCAAATAGATTATTTTAAGTCAAGACAAACAAGTTAATATAATAAAAATGGAACTTCTTCAAAAAATGGATGAGGCTTTGGCTAAAGGCTTGAGTAAAAAAGAGTTCTTCAACCTGGTTGAACTGGAGTTGAAATGGGCCGGGAAAATAGCAACGGCCCAGGTAAATGTAGACTTACTTTTTAAATATAGGTTTAACAGGTATGCTTCAAATTTTTATAAAACTGCTCAGTAGCCATTAGAGGTCATCCATTTATCCATTTATGACGTCCAAAAAAATTGACTTTTGTGGAAATAAGTGGATTTTCATGGACGGGGGGTCCAAAATCCAAAAAAATTGTAGACGTCATAAATGGATGACCCTTACTGTAAATATCTAATTGAGTAAGTATAATTTGTTTTGTTTTTCATATTTTGTTTTTAAATGTTGTTCTTATTTGCTTAGGGAGCACACTGCAAAGACCAAAGGTAACTGAGCTAAGTCCTTAGATCTTGAAGTTGCTTTCATGCTTGAGTCCATGATTCTCTCAGCTCTATCAAGTAAATTACTTGATTCATTGATAGTAGGCCTATAGAGAGCACAATTCCTAGATTTGAAGTCACAAAAACAACTAGCTATTTCTTCTGCTCATCTAAAAGGATATAGACATATAGTGATCATTTTTCTATTTTAAAATTAGGAAAATTCTTAGTTTACTTATATTATTTTTATAATTTTTGTTAGTTTATTTTTTTCAAAGTCAAGGGAAAAAGAACATAAGCCTTCACCTTTTTTCTTCTTTTTTTTTTTCAGAACTTTTCTGAAGATGGATCTCACAACTCAGTAACCAGTGAGTGCTGTGATTTTTTTAAAGCTTTCATTAACATAGACATATAATAGTCAGGAGATTAACAATAAAAGAAAATATGTGGCTTTTTTGCGCTGCATGCTCATTAAGGTTATTTTCGTGACTATTCTTCAATGATTAAAAGTAATAAAAGTGTTTAATGAATAACTTAAAGTGACCTATGTGATAAATTAGAGGCCCTAGTGTACAACTAAAATAGATTTTCTTATTTTCTCTAATATTAGTGTTGGCTTGTGTTTTTATAAATACTACATAAATTAAAATGGTTGAATAATCTGTATGGCTTCCTTGAGCCACCCCACTTTATTGGGTACCTGGAAAATGAAGGGGCCTGACCATAGTACTAACCCTTAACTCTTCCTTAATGTGTTAAGTTAAAAAAACAGAGGAACTTTCATAATTTATCTTACTGACGGATAGTCAGGTTTAAAAGAGTAGCTCTTTATTAAAGGCTTTCATTCTGTTGAACCAAAGTAACCAAAATCCCATTGTTTGATTGGGCTGAAATTTGGCACAATGCAAGAAAACCTCATTTTTAATCTAATTAGATAGACAATTTAATCTAAAAGTTACTAAATTCCATAATAAGCGTTTAAAAGGAGAGATACGATAAATTTTTTTAAAATGATGAAAATTGAACATAGGTATTATGTTACAGAACACGAGCCGATCCACGGCATATCATACGCCGCTATTTAGTTGTTTTATTTTCTACTTTTCAGTAATTCATAATTTGTGAATTCGACAGTACCAATGCTGCCACTGAAAATATTTGCTTTAAAAACACTATCAGATGGTCGTTAAGGACAATAACCCCCTCCTTTCCCCCTACCCCACCCACCCCCCTTGAAAGCAAACTCCTTTCAGTTACCTCCCCTAAGTTTAAAAATGTTTTAAACTACATTATCTGCCCCTAATAGCCGTCACTAAACCCGGCTCTACAATTGTAAACATTTAGCGTGAACCACAGCTCACCAGACCATGTAGGGGTGGGGGTGGTAGGGAGCGCTGACAGCTTGGTGTTTTCTATCGTCTCCAAGAAGAGAATTATATATATAGATACACCTATCAGTGACCTCCCCTTGAAAGGGAATATATTCTCCATAAGTGACTGCCGGGCTTTTATTTTTAGTCCCACCAGCATATGTTATATAGTATCATATAGTTTTCTAAGATTAAACCATGAAGAACATGCAGAAAGAAAGAAAAATTGTTACAAATCTGGAGAAAATTTATCAAAATGAGTAAATTTTTTTGCAAATAAAATTTGTTATGTAGGCAAACTAAATTTACATTTTTTTTTTTTCATTTGTGACTTTTTGTAATTTGTGAATATAACAAAATCCTTTTTCCTTTAAAAAAAACTGTATGTCAGATTATTTTTTATTGATATGCACTGAAAAGTAGTTTTTAATACTTATCAGTTTACATAGCATTGCTTTTTTTGTTTCCAGCATCTTTTGACGTCATCAATATGTTCCATGAGATCCTAAGCCAAGTGAAGGAATATAGTGGTGAGCTACAGAGAAACAGGGATGCTCTTGAGCAGAGTAATGTGTACCACCAGCAGGCAGTCCAGTTGATATTACGATCACAGAAGCTTGAACTGGATCAAATGTTCCTGGAGCAGAGCCTCAACTCTCAGAAATGTATTGAAGAAATTAAAAATGATATCGAGGTTTTGAAAGACTCAAAGTTGGATTCACAAAATGATTCTAAATATTTGATAATAGATGCTCTAAAACACTCACAGCAAATAATTCTTGATTCTTTAAAAAAGTTAGATGATGAGCTAAATGAAGCAAGGAATAGTCAACATAACATATTTCAAAAGGATAATGCTTACCTACAAAAGAAACTAAGAGAGCTGGCAGGATCATTGGAGGATAACTTTATTTTATTGAACAAAAGTGTCACGGCCCTGAAAGATTCCATAAAACATATGGAGAAGGAACTCCATTCTATAAAAACAGACTTTCACAGCCTGAACAGTAATTCATTAAGCCACAGCGAGGGGGGAGCAGATGGCCAGGAATTGAGCAGGGAGTTTTTTAATGCTCAAGAAACTGAACAACCTAAGCCGTTAGCCAGTTTTAGCTCTAGCCTGGACACTCTGTTTGAAGCCACTTACAGTGTGCCGTACCATTACCTCCAATGCCCAAAATTAAATATCCCGCTACTTGACTGGTTGCGAGAACTGCCGTTGGTCAAAAACAAGCCTTCCCTTCTATTTGTTGTCTTCTTTGTTGCTTCTTACGTGTTTGTATACCTGACACTACTATCCTCAAGGCCCAAGAAAAGATGGCTCAAATGGTGATTAGCTATTTCCTGCTCTGCTTTAAACCTCATTGAAATTTGTTTTAAAATATATAGCAATATATATAGCAATTAAAAAAAAAACTTTTTTTGGTCTAGCCATTTATAATTTGTGATAAAAATAGATAAATTATTGAAAATATGTTAAGAAATAATAATGTATTATCTACAAATACAACCATTAATTCTTTATATAATAGTTTTCAATTTTTGCACTGGAGTACCAGCTTGCCATTTTAAAATTATGTTGAGATCTTGTTGATGCTGAACTGTCTTTTGTTGTGTTCTAAAGACATTGAAACCTTTGATTGTCACTAAACAGTTAATATTTCAGGAAAATAAAATTGATACAACTATTTCAAAAATGGTTTGTTGGTTGATGAATGTTAAATTCATGCCACACTTTGTTTAATTAACTAATTAGCTAGTTTGTGGGATGGTTTAGCTCATGACTGCTAACCCAAAAGTCTCTGATGGTTAGGATACCAGGCATCGAGTCTGTATGATGTCCCTGAGTCCACCCTAGGAAACAAATACGGCTGGGCATAATGTTGACCACGCTATCCCCCCTGTATGCCGAGCTCAGTGAAACAGATGAACTCTAAATCATTTGCCCCATGTGTTTTAGGCACAAAGGGAAAAGATGATGAAAGTAGTTTTGAGTAGGCCTTATAATAGAATGAGTACCTTGTACTATTGAATTAAACATGACTCATGTGACTGCTTTGGTGTGCATCCAAAAGAAATGATGCAATCACACAACACATAAAATGTTTATCATTTGATTGCTTGTTTCATAACACTGATATCATTGTATGACTCTTCAACCTAACTTGTTTATACGTTTGAATCTAACACTCCTGAGGCAGAGTTTGCGTGTAAAGGGGAACAACCAATGAAATACCGAACTCAGAAAAAGCGAGGAAGAGTATTGAAAGGGGGTAAACAAAAAATTGATTTTAAATATTAAAATATTTTTGCTAAATTAATTTGCAGCATCCACGAACCGATCTCTGTGCAGGTATGTTTTCTGTCGCTATGCCTACCCTAGTCCTACCCTAATTACTTATCATAACTCTATCCGTAACTTATTCATATCTAATCCCTATCTATCTCTAAACAACGAGAGAGGGAGTGCAAAGTCATACTACATGTGGGGGGGGGGGGGGGGGGTAATGGACTGGTGTGGGATAATATCCTGCTACCATGCTGCATACAGCCCTTTACTGGCAGTGATCAATTTTAAAATTATAACTTTCATCATGAATGTTAGACACACCTTTGTGTACGGGAATATCGCATATAAGAATAAATATATGCCTGACAACCAAATTTGAAATTAAGCCTAATGTTACCATTGAAACAATTTCTTAAATTGTAGGCAGCGCCTTCGTATGTTATTAGTCTCGAACTCATGATGACAAAAACACTGCAAGGTGTCGTCTCTCTTCTCAGTGGCGTCACTAGGTCGGGTGTTACCTGGTGCAGTTCGCACCCTCTCCCTCCTTGTGACGATATGACGATACTACGTCTTCGGCACGGTTTCTTGTAGCCATTGTGTTATGGGGGGGGGGGGTAGAAATGGTGAAAGTAGCCTACACATTTTCTATTTAAATATTTCTTTCTATTTCATTCTGGGTGGCGGTTGTTAACTTTCTGGCGGGGCTTATCTGTATAAGATCCGCTATGTCGATACTGTTTGACAAGGGACCGTACAACGTATTGTCAAGCGCCGATGTAAGATGGACATCAGTGGTGTTGAAATTGCTCTATTAGTAGTCTATTAGTAGCGTTACAGAATGATTCAAATAAGTATGAATTAGGCCAAATGGCGTCTCTAGATCGGTTGTCGCCCGCTGCGGTAAAAGATGGTGTCAACCTACCCAATTTCAGCTATTTTGCATTTTCGGTTTTGCGTCACCCCTTCCCCCACTCCAGGGGGGGGGCGGGGGGTGCGGACCGCACCGGGTGACACCGTTTAGGGGGGTGACACCAAGGCAAAAAATAGCAAAATATATAGAGAAAAACTTGAGAGGCGGTGCAAATCGAAAGTTTGAGCAGCGGGGTGCAAATCGAAAATTTGAGGGGGGGGGGGGGGGGAGTGCAAATCAAAAGTTTGAGGGGGGGGGGGGTGCAAATCGAAAACTTGAAAGTTTGTCAACGGGAAGGGTCGCTACGCCTCTGGGGGTGACACCATTAAGTGCCGCACCGGGTGACACCCGACCTCGCTACGCCACTGCCCCACTCTCTTATTATTTAGACATTACATTTTACGATTTTTTCGATTTGGTGTCACCCCATAAATGGTGTCACCAAGTGTAGACTGCTGTTTATTTTCTTAACTTTAACTGTGTATAATTAAATAATTGAGTTTAAATGTGCTTTTTAAATTTGTTTCTGTTGGTGCCCCCTGAGGATCGACGCCGTGGACGGGAGCCACATCCGCCCTCCCCTAGCTACGCCTCTGCCCTTAAGCCGAGGCTTTGTGACGCTACTGGTTAGGCGTACTATTAGACTATTATTATAATTGCTTGTTACTTTATGTAATTTATTCGAATTTTTCTAGAGGCTAGTTTGTTTTGTTTTAAAAAGCAAAGATAAAAAAAAATTTATATTAGAAGATAGCTGGTCCGAGATAAGTTTTTGTATTTGCGTCCACAGACAATAACTAGCAATAGCATGGGTTAGTGAATAGGGAAACAATGAAACTTAGATATATGAAAATAAAATTTTGTAAACATGATATAGGGAAAAGTTTAGTTGTGCCCCCTTCCCTCGATACAGGTCTGACCCCCCCCCCCCCCATCCGACAAATACTGTATTTAATAAGATGCATGAGGAAACACGGGTAGACCTACTGTATTTTCGCTAAAGTATGAAAGTTGTCGTCTTCCCGTCTAACAACCCCCCACCTCCATTCTGTCACAGAAGACCCCAATCAGCCATTGGATTGGTCTGAAGGCTTACCAAACTTTTATAATGAGGTATTTGTAGTCAGGGGCGTAGTAACCCATTCCTGCGCCCGGGGCGAACTATCAATTTTGCGCCCCCACCCACTCCAATATTTATATTAAATATTTATATATTTATTCACGTTAGCGAAAAGGGACACCCCCCCCCCCCCATCACACAAACACATCAATCACCGTTAATAGTTTTTTCCCGTATCACACAAGCAACGTAGAAAGCCGTCCGTAGACTAGGACCAAGTAGCTTTCTATTTTCTTAAATTCGACTGTAATGCAGCTCGGAATAAGCATGCTATTTTATTTTTCTACTCAATTTGGCGCCCCTTAAGGTCGGCGCCCGGGGCGGCCGCCCCACCCGCCCTCCCCTAGCTACGCCTCTGTTTGTAGTGTTGGTTATTTTTATAATTGTTTGAAACACCAGCGTGGGTTAGTGACTGTATAAACCACGGCTGAAATATTTTTAAAAGTCACCAAAAAAAACAAAACGCAATCAGTCTTCGATGCACCTAAGTAAGCAGGGGTTGGGACCTGATTTCAACACTTTTTTTCAGACTATAAGGGCTTCTCTATAAAACCATGAGCCTAATGCGCTTACTTTTCTGACGTGCATATCCAGTAACAAGAAAAAGTAAACAGATGGTTTATTTTTATCCGAATGCTCACGGATGAGCAGAACTATTAATGAGACACTCAAAGTGATGAAGCACTTTAAACTGCAGGGAAACGCCCTGGATGGATAATCATGTTGCATTGACTGTACTATAGCTCGTTCAAGACAAACTGAAATAAAAAGTCTGAATTAGTATAATAATAATTTTAACGCAAAAATACTGTAAAAATTATGCTATTTAATTCTGAGTGTTGGAAATTGATTTAGATTCTATTCAACTGGCTTCTACATTTTCCAAAATTTGAAGGCGTTTGGCCTAGCAGTTTTCATTTGTGCTTTGTGTAATAAATAAAAAAAAAAAACCACAACGATTCTGAATTAGTAGTATCGAATTTTTTTTAAAAGCACCGTAACCAGTTTGTTTTTACTTTTATATATTATAAATGTATACAATTCTATATTTTTAATAAACATCAAATAAAGTATATAAAAGGTTGCCTCGTTTTTTAGTGTTTATTTTTAAAGATCAATATTAGTAGACTATATTTGCTTCGATAAGCTACGTCGCGATACTCAATGAAACGATGCGGAAGCAAATGTTCTATAAATAATGTAAACTGTAAACTAGAATCTAGATCTAGAAAATCTAGTTATTTGAACGTTTAAAAAATGGTATTTTAAAACGCTGCCGAGCTTTAAACAAAATAGGAAATAGTTATGGTAAATTTGTTTTAAATTAAAAGAATTTTACAAATGCATGGTATTTAGAGTCATTCTAATCTTTATTTTCCCCAACTTATGTTGATGTTACCTGTTATCGATGGTTGTTAACTGTTTCGTTTTTTTTTTAGTTTTGTTATAAATTCTACAGTAGTGTTGTATACTCAGTGTTGTGTTATTCTTATGTCTTATAGTCTTATACACTAATATACACACCTTACATTGCCTTACAATGAAGACGGCCGAGTTTGACGAGTTCAATTGGGGGTAAAATCACGATATAGCGTCGGAAATTATTGGGTAATGTTCGTTGAGTTTCGGTAACATTCGTTACTGTAAACCATAGTTTATTTGACCGGTGAAATAAAAATGATGTCAAGTGCATTAAATTAATGTTTTAACTTAATTTACAGTTTAATTGACAGAAAATTAATAACAGATAGAAAATCTAAATATTATTAATAAACTCGAGTGTAGTAATTAATTTTTTTTTTAAGAAACAGAAAAAACCTGCAGAAGATTTGCGACAACTAGCTCTTGTTCTGTTAGTAAATAAGACGATTAGATTAACTAAAGTTAAAAGTAGTAAGAATAACTAGAATAATGTTTAGTAGAAGCAATAATTAGCCCATACACTTAAAATAATTAGAAATATAAAATAATTAGCAAAACAGTATTTAAAATGCAACTAAAATCAATCCTTGCACATTTTTAAACATTATGTATTAAAAATAATATGGCGGCAAATAAATGATGGTTTACAGTATTTCCGGTGGTTTCCGGAACGGCTCGACAGACTACGCCATGGTTTTACTGTTTTTTACTGCTGTACAGTTCCGGAATAATAACCGACGCTATATCGTGATTTTACCCAATTGGGTTCGATTATTATTGTTAGCATACTAAATGTGCTTGGTTTAAAAAAAAAACATTTTAAAAAATGGTGATTTCCTATATCTAATCATCATATTATCATTAATAAATACACTCAATCAATACACATTGTGTATTAGTATTACACAATGAAATTGATAATCAGATTTGAGAATAATACTAACTTTAACTTATTGACTGACTCAGTGATTATGTAATAATTATAATAATAGTAGTAGTCTATCTAATAGTAATAGAATCTTCTTTAAAAAAGGATGTTGTTATGTTATTGGTTAACTAAATACACGTCTTGCTAATGTCAATACTAACCCCTATCGGCCTACCTTAGTCCTACCAAATGCCTAACCTTAATAGTTATCCATAATCCATTAAATCGCCTGAAGCTAGCAGGCTTAATGTGAAAAAAAGGACCTCAACTATACCCTCCATATTTCCTGGTTCCTGGCTGTTTGTTAATTTTGCAGTCTCTCTCAAGACATCCCTCTTGTCTTCAGTTCTTAAAGAAGACTCCACCTCCAGGTGGCGCCTTGTGGTGGTGAGATGGCTTTTGCGCCCCAGCTGTGCCTTGGGCTATGCCAGCGAGAGCCTAGTGCTTTGGGCAGGTTTAACCATGCTGTCAGACCTGCGCGGGTAGAGGCCAGACCAAATGTTGTGCCCTGGTCCTCCAGGTTGGGGGTTGTGCAATGGGCTAACTACTCGTCCATATAAAACAAAGTATTGTTAAAGAAACCGAAGATCTAGAATGTATAGATGTAAAGCTACATTAAAAATAACATAAACATACTTAAGGAAGCCTAAACAAAAGTTTAGCTAGCTTAGCTTAGCATTGCACTAGGAGCATAGTTTTAAAACTAGTGTACTGATATATCTAGTTGTTGTTAGTTGTGATCCACTCTATACTTTATCTCTTTAGTCTATGGGCCTAATTCTAGTCATTAAGTTATCTAGAGCCTAATCTTCCCAATCTAATTTTTTCCATTGCATATTTTAGATTTAAAAATCACCAGTGAAAGATAATCCGCATTCATTATGTCTGGGGATAGTAAAGTCACGCTGACCAATGCCCTGGAAAATGTGGACCTGCTGGATGATCTGCCCCTGCCTGACCAGCAGCCCTGTATAGAAGCTCTGTCCCTCTCTGTTCACTACAGAGCTAACTTTGATACAAACTTTGAAGATAAAAATGCCTTTGTCAAGAGTGTGGCAAAATATAAAGAACAAGCAACTGTTCAGGCTGATTTGGTATGCTATTTCACTTTTAATAAGTTCCTTAATTGCATTTTATCTCTGTTGCAGTGCAGATTATCCAATTAAATTGCTGTTTATTTTTACATTCTTGTTTATAAAAGAATTGCACCTTTGGATTAATATTACACTGCTGTAATTTTATTTCTAGTTATACTTTAAATATTTTAATCATCATTTAAAAAAAAAATCCTTTTAATGAAGTATATATATTTTTCTTAACTTCAGAACCTTCTACTTGAAGAAGGAGAAGAATATGCTGTGATGCTGTACACATGGAGGTGTTGTTCCAGGGCAATTCCACAGGTCAGTGTTAAGACTTCTTATATTGGGATGGGGGTGAGGGCTGGGAGGCATTGTTCATAATGAATGTGTCACACCTATTAATATGCTGATTATATTCAGGGCGTATAGAAAGTTCAAGGCCGTTAAGTATTTTGCTAGATATTGTATTATAATGTCATTTAAATGTTTTTATAATCAATGTTGAGGATAAATAAGACACAGAATGCTGGGGTATTGCAGGTAAAGAGCAATGAACAAGAGAACAGAACTGAGATCTACCAAAAAACTGTGGAGGTCCTAGAGCCTCATGTCAACAAACTCATGCAGTTCATGTTCTTTCAGGTGTGTACTTCTTTTCTACTGTCATAGTAGTTACAGTGGGGGACTTGATACTGTCATAGTAGTTACATTAAGGACTTGATAATGTCATAGTAGTTACATTGGGGGACTTGATACTGTCATAGTAGTTACAGTGGAGGACTTGATACTGTCATAGTAGTTACAGTGGAGGACTTGATACTGTCATATTAGTTACATTGGGAGACTTGATACTATAATAGTGGTTACATTAAGGACTTGATACTGTCATAGTGATTACATTAGGGACTTGATACTGTCATAGTAGTTACATTGGGGGACTTATACTGTCATAGTAGTTACATTGGGGGACTTATACTGTCATAGTAGTTACATTGGGGGCTTGATACTGTCATAGTAGTTACATTGGGGGCTTGATACTGTCATATTAGTTACATTGGGGGACTTGATACTGTCATAGTAGTTACATTGGAGGACTTGATACTGTCATAGTAGTTACAGTGGGGGATTTGATATTGTCATATTAGTTACATTGGGGGACTTGATACTGTCATAGTGATTACATTAGGGACTTTATTACTGTCATATAATCCCTTTACTGACTCAACAACTATCAGATTTAGACTCAAAAACTTTTCCATTTTAAGACAATTGTTTATATAAGACACAAGCAATTTAATTTATAAAATGACATGCTATGAGAAGTGTTACCAGTTAGAATAAATTAAAATTTAGCTCAAATTTAAATAAATCTAAAACTAACATTAACAATTATTTAAGCAAAATCAAATTAAAATTGTTTTCTAGATGCACATTTGTGATGTGTTTGTATCAATGGCATTAAAGTTGCTCTAAAATAGCAAAGGTTGAATAATGCTGTAGATAATCACCTCAAATAGACAAAAGGAGGAAGGTCAGGTTGAAACTGCATGCCATTGTATGTTAGGGATGTAACTAGTTATTCTATGAATGATGTGAAAGCCTCTTGTGTGTGCACCAAGTTAAGATGCTCTACCTTCCACATGGTTTTGTCATAAATTGAAATGCAGAAAAGAGCAATAGACCTCTTTTGTGACGAGGTGAAGAGGCTGTGTCACAAGGAGAAACGCCAGGATTTTGTGTCCGAGGCTTACCTCTTAACCCTGGGGAAGTTAATCAACATGTTTGCTGAACTGGACGAACTCAAGAATATGAAAGCCAGTGTTCGCAATGACTACTCAGCTTATAGGCGGTAAATTTCTTTTGACAATGCTTGTGACTATTGCAAAGCTATTCTGGACTAGGTTTTTCAAAAGTTTTCATCTTATCTACTTAGTATTTTTTACAAGTATGTCGTATTTTAAAAACAAAAATGAACTAAAAAAAACTTTTAAGCATAAAAGCTTTTGTCTTACTGTCCAGATCAGCTTTGTAATATCTTTGTTAACGGTTTGCATCTTGTTGTGTTGTACCTAACCCTGCCTGCTCTTGACCTGGTTTCCTTTCAGGGGAGAGCAATAGAACGTTTCTGCAAGGAAGTGAGGCGCCTATGTCATAAGGGTGCCAGAAATGACTTTGTATCTGAAGCGTACCTTCTAACTTTAGGCAAACTGCTCAACATGTTTGCCGTCTTAAATGAATTAATCAACATGAAACCAAGCGTGAACAATGATTTTTCTGTTTACAAACGGTAACAGCGATACTAAAAGGGAGACCAATGGCGCTTCTTGTTTTTCATTCCATCAAATACACGCTTCCTCTTTCAACCATTATTGCTATGATATTATTGTGCTATAGGAAAACTGGTCTTTCACTTATTCCAATGCTTTAATGCACACAATATGTTCTTTAATGAATGTAACTTAGTATGTGGTGTTCATTAGCATTCATTTTGTTGGCCTTTTAATAATTTGTTAAAAAAATATTTTTTACTAGACTTCTTTCTTTATTATGTCCGCATACAATACTTCCTGTCCCATGAAAAGCAGTAGAGCTTCTAAAAGTTTTCTCTCGAAGTATCAAGTGATCTCATAGCAATACCCTCAATAGCTACCCTCACTAACATATCAAGGCTTTCATACAGAATGTTTATGCCACAATGTATTCAGGAAATCTCTTCTGTTTAGTTCCAGTCTTCTGAAGTGATGGGCATTAATTGTGCATGTTGAGTCAGAGTATTTAAGTCATTCTACAGTATGTGGAGAGCTGAGATGTACAAAAATGTTCAGTAAATAATAATCAGATTTCCTGAAAAAATTTGAGTATTTTAATTGGACCAGTCAGCTCACATACACATACTACTGATCTGGTCGTTTAGTTAGAATGACATGTTATTTTAAAGTGATGGTTGGAGTATTTCTGTTTAATATGCAACACCCCATGGTAACATTACAGGTGACTTTTTATATATTAAATGTATCAAAAACTAATATGTTAGTTTGTAATGTAAAATTACTTCCTACTGTGTATACAGCTAGGAGTATATACATTACTAGTGCATGTATTGAACATTTATGGTTTTATTGTAGAAATTCAAATCAAAGGAAATATAAAATCAAAACTATTTTTATTTTTTGCAAAGTAAATTTTGTTTAATGAACTAACAGTTAATTTTATAATAGAATCTACTATCAAGATTAAACATATTATCAAGTCAAACAGCACTTAAACTTTGTGTACCTGTTAGAATTGCTCAAATAATCAAAAAATCTTTTCTGATAGTACACACAGTTTAGTCTGTTGTATTAGGCTGTTTAAGTGATTTTATTCAAACATTTTGTTAAATTAAATGATCTAAAATATATTCCATCAATTTAAAATATCTTTTATAAGAAAGTAACTAAATTAAAAGTATCTTGTTTAAATATTGAAAAATGATAAGGACATTTACAATGTAACTAAGGCATTTATCTAACTTGTAGCATACTAGCCCATTCCATTATTAACTATTAATCTTTTGGTGTTTATTAACTTTCTCATGGATATTCACTGTTGCTAGATAGATGGCTTTAAACTCTCTATAATGTTTTATTTCTAATTTGTTTAAAACATTTAAAATGGAAACTGACTTGGTTGTACAGGATACAGCCAGTACTATTGCTTTCATTGTTTAATTCTGCCAAAGCATTGCCTTAAAAAGTAACAGCCTTAATATGTATTAGTTTAACTTGAAACCAGTAACTTAACCAGCTCTGTAGTTTGCTGTAATGCTGTGGTTGACTTGTTTGTTGCTGATCCCAGGGCTGCCCAGTTCCTGAAAGTGATGGCAGACCAGCAAGCCATGCAAGACTCACAGAACCTCTCCATGAATCTGGCAACACAGAACAAAATTAGGGACACACTCAAGTCACGTTTAGCAGAGATTCAGGTTGGATACAAGTTCCTCACTAGCTTGTGTGTTAAGTATTATATTCTAATTGTTCTCAGATGTGAAGTTTGCTTACTTTTGACCAATATCTTGTCCAGGGTTATGATGAGCTTCTGGCTGATGTCGTCAACATTTGTTTAACCATGTATGAAAAAGACATGTACCTGGAACCAACAGAAAAACACATGCTTGTTAAGGTCAGTTCTCATATTGTGTTAGAGCCATGGTTGATAGATCTTCACTACTGCTGTACATGTTGCTAATACACTGAAAGTTCACCCGGTTTATTATTGAAAATTCTGCAGGTAATGGCATTTGGGCTTTTTATGATGGACATGGAAAAGGGCCCCAACATCTACCGTATGAACGACAAGAAGAGAATTAACTTGGCCAAGATTGACAAAATCCTTAAGGTACCTGAGTTGTCTTGGTAATATCAGCATAAACAAATGCAGGGGTGCCACTTTTCCGGGATATCCCGGATTTCCGGATTCGAGAATCATATTTTTTTCCCTTTCCGGATTCGCAAGATTTGGGTTTGAAAATTTCCGGGTTTGCAGTTTAAAAAAAAATTTAGATCGTTTTAAGCTTGAAAATTTTGGCATTGTAAAAATTGTTTTTATCATCAACACTCCCGCTAATAGCCTTTTCCGAAAAAAATGAATAGTAATTACTATAGAATAGTATTACCAAAAGAAAAGAAAAAAACTATTTGAAGAACTATTTTATGTATGAAATAGAACTGCTGTTTTCACTCAACTTTACCGTCACTTTTTACCATGTCTTACCCGCTTCTTCAAGGTCGCGCTGACCGTAAGACCTACGTCACGAGACCACGCAAACACAGTCTGAGTCGTGTCTCTCGGTCAAGGCAGTTCTACAAGTACAAGCGCTGTTTAATTTTAACGTGGTTATTTTTAATTCAAGAAAAAAAATTAGATCTGCATAGTTTTATATCAGTAAAAAAAATATGTAGGCCTGCTATAATTTAGTTACACGATCTAGCAGGGTCTACATCTAATTTTTTTTTTTTTTACTTTGGTAAAACGTCATTGAAATGTTTAAACAACCTTGAAAATAGCCGCTATCACTGCCCCCTCCCAACCGCTTGTAAAAAAAAAATCAGCTTTTCACTTAGTAGGGCGGCTACATCTCTGACATGAGTATTACTAGCGTAGTTACTTCTAAAATTATTTTTAAAATTAACTTAATTTTGTTATTCCGCGATATGAACTAACTTAAAACTTCCACAATATTTCTTCACGTCATCATGTATATCAAAGGTGGGGGCATTGGGGTCGTTCATAAATGACGTCACACTCGTAGGAGGAGGGGGGTCCGTAATTTTGTCATGAGGGGGAGGGGTTCAGATGGTGTGACATCACACTTTTGCATTATCGAAAAGCTATGTTAGAAAACTAATTTTAGCCGTTATTTCGCGTTTTAGAATATTGTTTCAATAAAGTGTAATAGGAATTGATTAAAATACTCTATGTTGACAGAGGTCAGACAAGATTTTTGGAAAAATATCGTATTTTAAGAAAAATTCGACTGCAATTTTTAGGGGGGGGGGGGGTGTAGGTTGAGGTGTGACGTCATTTTAGAGGGCGGGGTCTGGCTTTTTGTGACGATATGTGACCGAGGTGAGGTGGGAGGTAAAAATCGTCAAAAAAGCGTGACATCATTTATGGATGACCCTTTTGGTGTTGATTGGGAAAACAGGGTTTAAGGTTTTTGTTGTGGCTGTTAATAATTAAAGCCTTGAATAGCTACAGTAAGTCAACCCTGTATTTTAATACAGTGGCAATCTTATTAGGGGTCTGCATATAGTGGGCTTATTATTCAATAACAAGACATAGAGGTTAGCAAAATATTTGTTACTTAACAGTTGGCTGACTACACACTTTAACTCAAGCTAGGAAGTTCTAAAAAATTAAATAGTTATGTTATAAAAGCTGGGGGGGGGGGGGGGGGGGGGGGGTTCTACAATAGCACATTATGGGGTAGGCCTAGAGATGGGAGTAACATTGTAAACTAATTTTGTTGTAAGCACAATCCTTTAAAGATTAATTTTTATTTGAAGCTTGTTACAAAGAAAATAAATCCATTTTAAAGACATGTAAATTGAACATAATAATATATGAATCGAATGTCTCAAAAAATAATGAAATAACAGTGCATTTTATTTTGAAATTCCGCGCGGAATTAAGTTTCAGGGTTTCTTCTTCTTCTTCGTTCTTAATTATTAGTGTTGAAGAAATCGAGATTTATCTGCCAGTGGGTTTGAACTCGAGACTTTGTTCGAATTTATCAACCATGAGCTTTTTGCCGACTCGACCACGCCTCCAACACAATTAAGCGTTACGTGTCAACTGGTTATGCGCCCATGAGGCCATTGACTCCGATTTCAGCCTGCTTTTCTATTTGGATTTGCTTCCATAGCCTTTGTCCAACCAAGAACAAACTACAAGGCAGCAGTTGTTTAATTTTGGAGTTGTCTCTCCTAGAAGAGTGGCTGTCCCCAGCTAACGAGCCTCATCTGCCCGAGGGTTCGAACTCGAGACTTTTCGGTTTAGCAACCATAAGCTTTTACCGACTCGACCACGCCGACCCCCTATCAGGGTTTCAAAAATTTCAAATTTTAGTTTCAGGATTGGTAAAATTTTGGGATTCATTTTCAGGATTCACTTAAAAAATGAGTGGCACCCCTGCAAATGTAAACCGACATTACATCTGGTTTCTTAATGTCTATCATGCACCAAAATCTACAACTGGTTTACATACATATTTAACATGCACCAAAATCTACAACTGGTTTACATAAATATCTAACCTTGTTTCCACCAGCAACTGGAGATGGTGCCGTTGTATGGAGACATGATGATCGCACCTTACAACTATATCAAAAATGGACCAAACTTTGACCCATCCAAGTGGCCAGCCTGTGAGTCCAGTCACCTGAGTCCACAGTCCAACCTGCTGGGTAGCCTGGAGATGATCAGAGACAGACACATGCACTACATCAGTCAGCTTGCTCGACATAACAACGAGGTAGCATCTTCCTCAGTTTCATGCTCACTATTTATATTTCTTCATCGAAAACATCTAATGTAGAAATTGATGTTTGCCTTTAAAAATTATATCTAAATAGTTTTGAGGCATGTCTGATCAGTTTGATGTATGTGCTTTAAGGCGACCACAACAATGAGAGAAACACCAAGAAGTGACGGTGAGAACAGAGAGTTGACAGACCTGGCTCTCAGGGGCTTGACGCTGTTGTCAAGGTGGACCCAGCAAGTTATGGAACTGGTAAGGATGAAGTTTATCTGTGAGTTATAGACCTGCAACACTGGCACTAACCGCTGTTACTTGGGGCTGTACTGTTAACATTTTAAACTTTTGCAGATCAACCACAAAGTTTGTAAGAGTTTTCATAATTTTAAAAATTTATTACATCTTAAAAAATGTTTGGAATTATTTGCTAATGATATATCGCTCAAAGAGCATTATGGTAATTACACTCAGAAGAAGGTACAAGTTTTATTGAACAAAGAAATAAATGATTTTAAAGCATTGTCCTATTGTTTTTTTTTTCTAAAGCTCTAGCTGTGCTTTATACTACTTAATCAAACAAACAAAACTGCCCATTAAAATTAAACCGTCCATCAAAATAATACAAATTTACTTGCCAAGATTTAAGTACTACATTTTTCAATAGCTCAGTCACTAAGTATAAAATTATCAATTTTGTACCATCAGTACTCTTGGAAGCTGATGAACCCAACAGATCCTCATGCTAATAAGGACTGCCCTGAGTCAGCTGAGGAGTATGAGAGGGTTGGTATTCATAATATTTTCTTGTGTTAGAAAGACTCTGTTTGCTTTAATGAAAGGGTTGGTATTCATAATATTTTCTTGTGTTAGAAAGACTCTGTTTGCTTTAATGAAAGGGTTGGTATTCATAATATTTTCTTGTGTTAGAAAGACTCTGTTTGCTTTATTGATATAAGGACTTAACAAGCTATATTGAGAACAGTGCTGATGGTTACAATGTTCATATTTTTAATGATTTTCTTACAGAATATAAGTAGTGCAATAACTTAGTGTTAATAGTGGTAACTTTTTGTATGTAGGCCACACGGTACAACTACAGCAGAGATGAAAAGTTTGCTCTCATTGAGGTCATTGCCATGATCAAAGGTCTACAACTCTTGATGGCCAGGATGGAAACTATTTTCATGGATGCTATCAGGAGACATATTTATGCTGAGCTGCAAGAATTTGTGCAGCATTTCTTGAGGGAACCACTCCGCAAAGCAACCAAGAAAAAAAGTGAAATCATTCGAGTGTAGGTTTTTTGTAAATAAAAAACCCCATCCATGTCCACTTTTTAACACTACCTATCATAAATATTAGTGTATCTGTTCATGAATTAAATTTAGCTCTACATGTTAGGATTAAACCACTGGTACATGTCAAGAACACCTTCAAATAATTAAAATCCACTATTAAAGAGAAATAATTCTGAAAAATTTAAAACATTTCTTATTGAAAATATTTTTTTGTAATTTGGCGCTTTTTTAAAGTTAGATAATATCTGTATACATTTTTATAAACACCAATTTTTCATTTTCTTGATGGTTACTTATTGCTTGTTTACATTGTATTAATTTAATTTTTGAAGATTTATTCTACTAGGAAAATTTTAAGCTAAAATCATGTATTTTTACTCATCATCCATCAGTATCATCATGTATGTTTACTCCATCAGTATCATCATGTATTTTTACTCCATCAGTATCATCATGTATTTTTACTCCCTCAGTATCATCATGTATCTTTACTCCATCAGTATCATCATGTATCTTTACTCCATCAGTATCATCATGTATCTTTACTCCATCAGTATCATCATGTCGGTGCGAGACACCTGTGTTGACTGGTACAGAGGCTCAGAACCCCCTGATGACCCAGCCCTCAGTGGGAAAAAAGATCCTCCAGATGGCTTTCCTATCAAAGTTCCTCGAAGGAATGTTGGACCATCATCTACTCAGGTAGACATTGTTGAAACAAAATATCAAATCTCCGCATCAGTCTCAAGTGCTGTCATTTACATTTTTGTTTAATTAGTGTGGGTTTTTGTGCTAGAGACTTAGATCCGTGTCCCTTGTGTCTGCCCCTCAACGTCATTGGTTTTGTTTGGTATACATTTTTTTTGTATTAACAAAATAGTGACTTATGTTAATTATTATTTTTAATTTGTCTTTTAGAATTAGGCGGTAGGCTGGTTAAGCTTGTATCAGAAATTCTAGTACTGATATAATGAACTACGCCTGTGAGGCTTAAAATACTAGATCCCTTAGACCAATTTCACCCTGTTATGTGTCCCCAATCTCCCCACAAAACCTCTGCAGGTCATACTGTCCTGTTGTTATATTCAGTGATATTGGAATGCTATCGTGAAATCCCCTCAGTGGATGATTCATGTGTATTAATGACATTTAACCTTTGACATCATGTCCCATTCAAGCACTAACCCTTGAACTTGTTTACAGCTGTACATGGTGCGTACTATGCTGGAGTCTCTAGTGGATGAGAGGAGTGGTGGTAAAAAAAGTATGCGAAAGGAAATGGATGAGCAGCATGTGGCATTCATTGAAGAGTTCCACAGGAAGTCTTTCTTCTGGAACTATCTGCTCAATTTTAATGGTACAACACCTACTTTCATATGTTGAAAATTTGGAACTATTTGCTCAATTTGATAATATCACACCTACTTTCATATTTTGTTTAAAATTTGGAACTATCTGCTCAATTTTAATGGTACAACACCTACTTTCATATTTTGTTTAAAATTTGGAACTATCTGCTCAATTTTAATGGTACAACACTTACTTTCATATTTTGTTTAAAATTTGGAACTATCTGCTCAATTTTAATGGTACCACACCTACTTTCTTATTATGTTTAAAATTTTTCTTGTTTCCCAAAGTTTAATACAATATGTTCAGAATTTGTAAAATAATGTCATTGTTTATAATTAGCCATTGTGATAATTGAGCTTAATTAATTTTCCAGCATCTTTGTTCAACTGCTGTGACCTGTCCCAGCTTTGGTACAGAGAATTTTTCCTCGAGTTAACTATGGGAAAACGTATCCAGGTAAAATAAGTAGCTTGTCTGTCTCTTAAGTAAAACTTTACTGGGGTAAACAGAGACGTTGACCCTCTATTTCCCAGTTCCCCACAAAGACTATTATGTATTGCCCTTCATTCCCCACTTCCCTGCTAAGACTTTCATTTTTTTTTAGTTCCCCACTAAGACTTGTTTATTGTCCTTTATTCCCCACTTCCCTACTAAGACTTTCCTTTATTCCCCACTTCCCTGCTAAGACTTTCCTTTATTCCCCACTTCCCTGCTAAGACTTTCATTTATTCCCCACTTCCCTACTAAGACATTCCTTTATTCCCCACTTCCCTACTAAGACTTTCCTTTATTCCCCACTTCCCTACTATGACTTTAGTTTATTCCCCACTTCCCTGCTAAGACTTATTTATTGTCCTTTATTCCCCAATTCCCTACTAAGACTTTCCTTTATTCCCCACTTCCCTACTAAGACTTATTTATTGTCCTTTATTCCCCACTTCCCTACTAAGACATTCCTTTATTCCCCACTTCCCTACTAAGACTTTCATTTATTCCCCACTTCCCTACTAAGACTTTCCTTTATTCCCCACTTCCCTACTAAGACTTTCCTTTATTCCCCACTTCCCTGCTAAGACTTTCCTTTATTCCCCACTTCCCTGCTAAGACTTTACTTTACTTCCCCACTTCCCTACTAAGACTTTCCCTTACTTCCCAGTTCCCCATTGAGATGTCCATGCCTTGGATCCTAACAGATCACATCCTGGAGACCAAGGAGCCATCAATGATGGAGTGAGTTTAAACTATTAATTCCTTCCCTTTTATTTTATCAAGGAGCCATCAATGATGGAGTGAGTTTAACTAATAATTCCTTCCCTTTTGTTTTACCAGAAGAAAAATATTGTAACTAAACTTGTCAATTTATTGAGCGACAGTAAACATTATAGAGTATTGATATGTCTGTTTAACTCTCTAAAATAAAATTGTGTGTCCAGGTATATCTTATATCCATTGGTATTTAACTATTTTAACTCTGTAAAATAAAATTGTGTGTCCAGGTATATCTTATATCCATTGGATCTGTACAATGACAGTGCACAATATGCCCTGATGAGATTTAGAAAACAGTTTCTCTATGATGAAGTGGAGGCAGAGGTATGTAACCTGTTGTACTTTTTTGTTTTGTGTTAAAGCATTTCTATGTAATTTTGTTTTAAGAGAGAAATTGTTTTTGTTTTGTGTTAAAGTATTTCACTATAATTTTGTTTTAAGATGAAATTTTATTCTGAGAATCTTAGATGACCTAGCAGGCATACATTTTTTTACCTCGTGTTTTGGCTAAGATTCACAACTTTACTTTCTTCAGGTTAATCTTTGCTTTGACCAATTTGTTTACAAGCTTAGTGATCAAATTTTTGCTTACTATAAGCATTTAGCAGGGAGGTAAGTCGTTATTTCACACTAAATACTGCACATAACTTTTAACATAACAAATTTTAATTAGCATCACAAAAAATGACTTTATAAACTAGACTCTCACCAAACTATATGAAGGTATTCTTCCATTGCCTTAATGTCTTGGTGTCTTTAAGTGTGATTACCATATAAACTAGACTCTCACCAAAATATACAAAGGTATTCTTCCATTACCTCAATGTTTTGATGTCTCTCAGTGTGATTACCATGTAAACTAGACTCTCACCAAACTGTATGATAACATTCTTCCATTACCTCAATGTCTTGGGTGTCTCTTGGTGTGATTAACATATAAACTACACTCTCACCAAACTATATGAAGGTATTCTTCCATTACCTCAATGTTTTGGTGTCTTTAAGTGTGATTACCATATAAACTACACTCTCACCAAACTATATGAAGGTATTCTTCCATTACCCCAATGTCTTGGTGTCTCAGTGTACCATATAAACTAGACTTTCACCAAACTATATGATGGCATTCTTCCATTACCTCAATATTTTGATGTCTCTCAGTGTGATGTTAGACAAGAGGTTCAGAGCTGAATGTATGAACAATGGTGAGAAGATCAACTACCCCATAGCCAACAGATACCAGACACTACTCAAGCAGAGACATGTACAAGTGAGTTAACTTTCACTGATACACACTACATCTTGGATCAGACAGTGTATCATGGGTTCACAGTTGGGAATAGTTTAATCTTAAAGTAACAAGTGTGTTACTACTTGGTTATTGATAGATTTATCTAGAAAAAAATGGTCTCATGATAGAGATTAAGTAATAAATGTCCTTATGTTGAGACTCTTTTATGTATCAGAAATATCTTCATGTTTAGCAGTTTCATGATTTTAAATGAATAGCCTTGTTTTAAAATGTTTTCCCACTTGAATGTTTGTTTAAAAAGTAATGAAAAAGTTGCCATGTTTAAAGAAGTACAATCGTTGCCTCTACTTTGCTGAGTTTGTTAGTCACATTCAATAAAAGTTTTTGTATTCTGTGTAGTTACTAGGACGATCCATTGATCTGAACAAACTTATTAGCCAACTAGTCAATGCAGCACTACAGAAAGCCTTAGATGTTGCCATTTCTCGCTTTGAAGGAGGGGATATCACAGGAATTATAGTAAGTTATGATATACTTAAAATTGTTCCCACATATATCAAGTGTTTCTTTCAGGCATATCTCGAGGGTGACACCAGAGGGAATGAAAATATTATTATTAAAATAAAAATAATAACTTTAACCAGTGTCTGTCCGTCCCCCCTTAACAGGAGAAAAATAAAATACTTAAAAAAAACTTTTTAAAAAACCACGTTTTTCTTGTGGACTAAAAAGTAGAAAATAACTATTTACATACATTTGATGACAAAAAACGTGGGTACGTTCACCATCAAATTTCCCGACCCATCTGCCCGACCCACGTTTTTTGTCATCAAATGTATGTAAATAGTTATTTTCTACTTTTTAGTCCACAAGAAAAACGTGGTTTTTTAAAAAGTTTTTTTTAAGTATTTTATTTTCTCCTTTTTAGTCCGTTGCTACACATGAAAAACGTGGTTTTTAAAAAAGCTTTTTATATAGTTTATTTTCTACTTTATCTAATGACTTGATTAAGTATGAATTGACTAAGTGTTTATAAATACACGGACTAAAAAAATCTTGAGCGACCAGGATTCGAACCTGGGTTGTCGCGGCCACCACGCGAAGTACTAACCACTATACGATCACGGCCAGCGCGCTCACATCGATTGGGGCCGAAGTAACTGTGTCAACAAGCCTCCAGTCTTGTCGGTATCTTTAGAAATCATGTCCTCAATTTTATGGTCCTTTGGGCGTAATTAAATTAAGCTAATTACGGTCTCTAATTGCTAGTTTTTATGATTGCATCTGAAATTGTTAGGCGAAAGTAACCTGCATGCCAAATTTCAGATCTATAGAGCAATCAGAAGTGGGCTAATTTTCGATGTCAATTTTAACAACAAACACATCCACGCGAAGCTGAGTTAATAAAAACGTGTTAATAACTGAAAGAAACCCTGACTTGATATTTTCACCATGTGTTAAATGACGCATCAAGTTTTGAACTAATCCTCCCCCCTCTATATCTCCCCACCCCCCAGGAGCTGGAAGGTTTGATAGAGGTGAACAGGCTGGCTCACAAGTTGATGGGGGAGTACCTGCTGCTCAATGACTTTGATGCCATGCTGAAGGAGGCCAACCACAACGTCAGTGCCCCCTATGGGCGCATAACTCTACATGTCTTCTGGGAACTGAATATTGATCTGCTGCCAAACTACTGCTACAATGCTGCAACTAATAGGTGAGTCGCAACAAATATTTGAGTCGTTGAATGAATTACTTATAACTTGAGGTTTCTGTACACCTTTTTGGTTACTATTCTATGCTAATTTGACTTGAACATTCTAGGTTTGTCAAGACCAGGCTACCCTTTGAAAAATGTTGCTAATTTGACTTGAACATTCTAGGTTTGTCAAGACCAGACTACCCTTTGAAAAAGAGACAAAAAGAGAGAAACCCCCCAACCCCTCTGTCCATTATGTCTGGGGTACAAAGGTGGGTTTGGCTATTTCAAGTGGTTTTACTTGTTTTTAGTTTGCACAGTCCAATTTTTGTAAAATATTTATGTTAAATTGTTGCATAATTTTAGCACTCACTTTTATAACTTTTAAATAAAAAATAATGTTCCCTAAATGATGTGTAAGAATATTGTGTTTGCTTGTTCCCAGCGGCTGAACCATTCTTTTAGCACCATCTACAGTCTTTATTCCGGGTTTATAGGAGCACCACACTTTAGAGCTATTTGTCGTCTTCTCGGCTATCAAGGAATAGCTGTTGTTATTGAAGAGTTGTTGAAAACTGTGGAGAATTTTGTAAGTAGCTGTTACCAACTGTTGCTTTCTAACTCATTCAGTCGACTAATAAGTTAGGACAAATAAAGCATGTATCAAGTTGTCTAGACATTCAATGAATTTTAAGAAAAATAAGAAACAAACTTAACAAAAATTATTTAAAATATTACTGTTAATGCTAGCTTAAGTAAAACGAGTAGTTAATTTAGATTTAAAAACACAATTTTATATGTTCAAAGAAGAATTTATAATTTTATTTTAAAATGTCAGGTTCTGATACATAAACGTTGACTGAGACTGATTTCTGCATAAAATGTTGACTTGTTTAATAAATTTTTTGTTTGTTCTATAATCTCTGCTTCAGTTGACTGGCACAACAATAGAATATGTGGCAACTTTAATGAAGGTCATGCCAGAACACTGCAAGCTGCTGCGCTTTGATTATGGCTCACCAGGTGGGGAAGTTTTCTTGCGTCTCACATAGGTCTTGCTTGATACAGCAAAAATATTTTCCTTTCTTTTTTTGAGGTGTATAGCTTAAGACCATTTTAGCAAAGCCAATATTGTCACTTTTACCCCCATAGTTGTGACTAACCTTAATGTTTGTGTAATCGCCAGGGGTGATGGGATACTATCAAGCTCAGCTTGGTGATCTGATTCAATACCCTGACCTCAGAACTGAAGTCTTCCAAAGCTTCAGAGAAATTGGGAATGCGGTGTTGTTTTGTTTGCTAGTTGAGCAGGCCCTGGTACGTTATGTTGGAGACATTTTTCTCCCTGCAATAATGACTACATTTCATCAATTCAAATTGTATGTTGTACAAATATTTCTCTCCTGCCCTCTAGACCCAGGAGGAGGTGTACGACCTGAAGCATGCAGCACCTTTCCAGAACATGATACCTAAGCCCTACATCCCCCCCAAAGGTAAGCTTACAGCCTACATTCTAGCTCTCCTGTGGCCCTAATTCTGTTATGGCCACGCTTTACTTAGCATCTATTTTCTGTAGCCATAGTCAAGTAATCAGTTATTTCATGTCCTTGACCGTTACACCAATGCATCTGTTATCCAGAAGGAAAAGACAGAGAGGCTGAGGCCAAAGCTGTGATGAAACAGCTGGAGAAGAAATATGCAGCTCTCAAAGTGGTCCATGTTATAGAAAAACTGGGCAACAAAACAGTTAGTGACCATCTTGTGGTATCTTTTCTTAGTTTAATCCACAATGTATGTAGACTAAATAAAACACACATCCATAGCAACATAGCTTAAGGCTTATTACCATCATTGTAATTATTCTAGCAGCCATTTTATAAAATAAAAATACTGACTATTGCAGCAAGCAATGATTGCTAGTGATGGTGACCTATTGACCAGAGAACGCCTCTGCTGTGGCCTCTCCATCTTTGAGGTTGTGCTCAAGAGAATCGAATCATTTCTTATCAACCCTCTATGGCATGGAGAGGCCCCCTCTAATGGAGTAATGAATGTTGACAAATGTAACGAGTTTCACCGCCTCTGGTCGGCCATACAGTTTGTCTACTGCATTCCTATTGGAGAAAATGAATTTACTGTTGAGTAAGTCTTGAATGTTGACTTTTCTTTGTACATTGCATGTCTTACACAAGTATCTGATATGTAAGAAAATATACTCCATCAAAAGGTTTAGCTACCCAATTAGTTATGTGAATTTTTATTTTAACATATTGTTTTAACTTATTTTTTGTTGAAGCTAAAATAAATAAACCGGGAGTGATCTCCCCTAAACTTTCTCGAATATTCTTATATAAAATAACAGGGGATGGGAACTCGGGCTATAGACATGATTTTTAATCCATTTTAAATACTTAAAGTTTTTAAAATAGAATAAAATCTCGTAGACAAATTAATTGCACACCAAGTGAATGCCAAATAAAAAAGCGCAAAATAGTGTGCAATATTATTAATACTTTTAAAATTTACATTAGTTTTTTGAGAAATCTGAAGTAGCGTAAAGTACTACTTCCAGTCAACGGAAATTACACAAAATTTAACAGAGGGTAGAGAATTAGATCTTATACTTACATGTGAAATTTCATTTGTCTATCTGAAATAGTATTCAAGTTATAGGCTTTTGAAAAATTCAAAGTAGGAAAAGTACCACTTCCGGTTATCGGAAATCGCTCAAAAGTTGAAACGGATCTACGATTTTGATAAAATACTTATATATGAAATTTCATCAACCTAGCTGTAACGGTACTCAAGTTATCGTGTTTACACACGGACAGACAGACAGACAGACACACAGACATACGGACAAGATTGCAAAATTATGTTTTTCCGTATCAGTGAGGTGTAAAACGTCGAGATTTTTGATTTTTTTTTTTTTTGCACGATTACAAGACTTTCTCTATACTTCGTATATACGAGAAAGTAAAAATGAACAAAACATCTTTATGACACAGACGTATTAATTCTGATCACCACATACCACTTTGTGGGTGAAGTTTACTGTAAAAGTTTAGTTTACAACATATTTTAAATTAACTGTTTAAAAAATAATTAATTATATGTTTTTAATGTTGACTATGCTTGAGGAAGCTTCAAAATTTCTAAACTATTGTCATAAAAGTTTTTTTGTTAGAGGAAACTTAAAAATTTGTGTTTGAAACTATAGCTATATAACAATGTGTTAGAGGAAACTTTAAAATTTGTGTTTGATACTATAGCTATATAACAATGTGTTAGAGGAAACTTTAAAATTTGTGTTTGATACTATAGCTATATAACAATGTGTTAGAGGAAACTTTAAAATTTGTGTTTGAAACTATAGTTATAAAAGTTTGTTTGTTAGCAGAAACTTTAAAATTTGTGTTTGAAACTTTCAGAGAACTGTTTGGTGAAGGCCTGAACTGGGCTGGTTGTGTGCTGATCACTTTGTTGGGACAACAGCGCAGATTTGAAGCTCTAGACTTTTGTTACCACCTGCTGAAAGTCAACAGAGTTGACATGAAGGATGAGAACATCAAGGGAATCGTGAGTCACACATAATTGACTTGTCCGCATGCTTATACTATTTTAAAAACTATTGATTGTGTTGATGTTTTTATTAAAATTTTAAAGTTAGAAAATGTGGCCAAGACTGAAACCCTTATTGTTTTTTCAAATTTCAGCAACTTAAAAAAATGGTAGACAGAATCAGGAAATTCCAGATTCTCAACAACCAGATTTTCTCTGTACTCAACAAATACCTGCGCACAGGAGACAATGACAGCATGCCAACAGAACATGTACGCTGCTTCCCTCCCCCTATCCACACTTCTTTGGCCACTGCCATATGAGGGGGCTCAGGTCCAGACACAGGAAACCATGGGTAAGGAAACCATGGGTATGGCTGGTTATGTCATACCATGGGTGTGACTAACATGTACATCCATCAGACTCTGACGGACACACGCAGCCAACAGGACACACTGAACAGGACACATGCAGCCAACAGGACACACAGCCAACAGGACACACACAGCCAAAAAGGACACAGCCAACAGGACGCACACAACCAAAGCCAACAGGACACACATAGCCAAGAGGACACATGCAGCCAACAGAACAACCAGACTAGACTGAACATACACCTGAGGAACTCCTAATGTTTGTGAACACACAAGACCCAATGAAAGTCTATTCCTAAAATTTTAAACTCAGTTTTAAATCTGTACAGGAATTTTGTGTCAAATTGTGTTTGGTCATTGTAGTCATTTCAACAGATATGTACATATGCCATGTTTCTCACATGGATTGTTTTGTTGCTCTCAGCCAATCTGCATTTTTGAAAACTATTTTAAGTAACTTTAGTATGATCATACAAATGTATCAGTAGCCATGGTCTGGTGAAATGATTGAAACAATTAGTTTAAATATAACTAAAGTAGTACAGACACTTCTTTTCTACTTGCTCAGCTAGAAACACCTTGTGTGTTGATTATAGTCAGAAGTGTGGTATGTTGGATTTTAAAAAAAACTGTTTCTTACAATGCATCCTGTCTTCCTTAGGTTTTTATAAGCTTGAGTTTCCTTCCTTTGGTCAGTGCAACATAGACACTGCCAGTCCAATGAAGACTTTGCCAGAGCACCAAATTGTTACATAACTTGACCACTCTCATCTCTATTCTATTTGAACCTTAACATTGTGAAGCCATTTGTGTAACAGGAGTATACATTACATATAACAGTTTCTTATTATTTTAAAATCTTTCATCACCATTGAATTACTGTACTTAAATATTTTAGACACAGCATTTTTCTAGTTTATTTTACAATTCATTTACTTTGTAATGTACAATATATTTATATCCTTGTCTATAGTCTTTTAAAGAAAATTATTGGTTACATTTCACAGCACAAAATTATTGTTCCATTCACTATAAAGAATGTGTAGTTTGTGTGAGGTGAGTGATGTGTGAAGAGGCTGTGTGAATGGCTGGTTTGTGAGGGAAGAATGTCCTGGCTTCTATGTTTTTAAGATTCACTAGAGCTATTTCTGAATCTTTGTTTACACAAAACATTTGTCTATAAAAGGAAAATATAAATTACCTTCTGTCAATAGCAAGAAAATAGTTGCAAGATTTATATTACTGCAACTCTAGAAAGAATTTTTAGAGGAGTAGATGGATTTTTAAAAATTGTATGAATTGTTCATGTGAGTTTTATTTAATTCACTTCATTAGCTGTCTGTATCCATTTGATTGTAATTCACATAGCAGTTTTATAAACTGTTTGATTACCTTGCTACTTCTTTGCATTCTCGGTGACATGTTTGTAATCCATTCACAATCATACATGCAGCAATGTGAGTCTTAAATTGTAAAAATCAATGAGTCAACTATCCAAAGACGTACCACTTTTTACTGGGCCGGTAGTTTCTTGGTAACTTGTAAGTCGTCATCAGATACATGTTTGTTTAAAGATAGCAGCCTGTTGCTTGTTAAATACGCCCAAAGAAAAAAATCAACCAACTAATATTCCACAAAGGGAGGTTAAGGTGCTGATATTTTTCAGCTGTTCCTAAAGCCTGTACTCCTTTTCCCCCCAGACCCCAAACATTGTGTTATCTGCTGTGTTTTTAAGCAGTTTTTTATTGTAAGAAAATGCTGTTTTTATTGTCAGTTTTTTTTTAAAAGGACACCAATGTTTTTCTACAGTATGTAAACTATCCATTTCTTTTTCTACAATGCATGCTGAAATTTAATGTGTATAAATGTGATTTCATTTAAAAAAAAAATAAAGATTAAGATAATTAAAAGGGTATTTTAAGGATTAATTTAGACAAGTACAACACATCTCAAATGTCTATTTAGAAGCATATCAACTGCTGACTACAACTTCTTAAAAATCAAATTTGTAGAGGGTTATTTGAATAATAAGGCCTACAGAAAAATTGTCCCAGCAGCTTTTATTTTTCAATAATTCAATTTTTCAGCCATGTATCTTTTTGTGGCATCTATATCAACGCCAGCCTTTTAAATATATTTGTTAGTAGTAATCAGATACTCGTTTTTAGATAGCAGTATATTCCATAACGGAGGTACTACATTCAACAAAGTGTGCTTCAATTAAACAAGGTCAAAAGTAAAAATATTTATTTCATATTGAAAATTAAAACATTCACAATTTCTATTCAGTTTTTATTTCAAGTAATTAAAATCAAAATAGATTCATCAATACAAATCATATTTGTGAGCTTAAATAAAAAATTCTATACTATTAGAAATAGTAAGATCAACAGGAGAGTTGAAGCTTAGAATTTCCATTCACTTAATGTATAAACTAATATTAACAGAAGGGCAAAATGCAGTGCTTAAAAGACATAAAAGAAACTACCAGATGGAGGTTAGAAAGAAAATCTGTAAATATGAGTAAAGAGGGAAATCAAAATCTTAAAAACATGCATTATTTGGAAAAAAAATTTTGATAATCTGATGTACTCTGTCATATATCCTTAAGGAAAATCTTTATGTGGTGTAAGTTGTATCAAACAGCACAGTATTTGTGTGTAATTATAGCAAGGTTTTGAAATACTGGCATAATGCACCAAGTCTTTTAAAACTTAGCATTCACATCTTGGTGCAAAGGACAGACATACTAGCCACTAATTTTATCTTAGCAGAATTTCTAGGTAAGACGTGCCATGCTAAACGTGTACCAGACAGGATTTCTTGTTCTCTATCACGACAGTCAATCAACCATTTAAAACTACAAACATGAAATCTTAATGTGATAGCGTAGTGGGAAAAATTACAGATGTACATTAAAACATTTAAAACTTTCAAGATTGTTTTAATAGTGATAATATTTAAAACTATTGAGGCAAAAAGTGATTTTTTTTAAATTAAAAAATAAAGAGGGTACAAATAATTCTGTAATATAACTTAAAAGCTGCTGATTACCAAAGCTGGAATTCTTGTCATGAAACTTTAGGACTTGAAGGTACTAGTACTTAGTATTTTAATATAATCTTCACACTATCAGCAAAAACAATCCAGTGATCTAAAAAAGGTAGCACACAATATTCAAACAGTGCTAATTCTTCAGGTATGTAACCACTGAGCAGTCTCTTGTGGGTGCTGAGTTCATGAATCACCCTTACAGTTTCGTACAAGGTTTCTAATATGAACCACACAAGTGGTTAGGAAAATTCTCAACTATTGCTCAAATTAACTGTACTTGTTACTGTACAGATTTTTTAAATTTATTTACAGACTTTGAAACTAAACTGTTCTGATTAAATTAGCTAATCCGATTTACATAAATGAAATTCCAATTAGTATCTGCTTTAAGATATAGTACAACACTACATAAATGCAAATCATAATGACGAGTAACTCAACTGTGATACTTATATTTGTAGTGGTTGTAAACAAAACCGCCAACAGCTCAGCTGGTTTACTGAATATAAAGATTACCTCACACATCATTTACAAACTGTGGTAGGTTTAAAAATCCTAGGTTTGTTCAGCTAAGTTTACGACCAGGTATCACAGATAGTTAACTATGTTCTTTAAATTTTATTGGGAAGATAATGAAATCACATTGGAAAATGTTATGGAATGATTTCCCCTATGTAAAAGACATACTTTATTAGTTGTTACTAACCACGACATCCCTAAACTTTTATCCTCAGTAGACTTTCAACCATTTCAAGTCCCAAACTGTAACTATTACAGATTACAGGAATATTATTTTAAAATATCTAAATAAAACAAACAATAGTAACAACGGAAAAAAAAATTAGGCAGTAAATTGGCTGGACGTAAACCCTAATCAAACCTAAATGTATGACCACCCACAACTGCAGGCAGTAAACTGACTCAAATAAAATCCCCTAAGAATCTATTTGTTGGATCAACAAAAACCTCACAGCAGCATGCTAGAATAAAACTAAAAACCGACCCTGAAAACAAAACATTTTGCTACAGCTTACTACCACAGACATCAATAAAAAAACATAATGGATGTTAACACTGAAATAATGAATTCAAATAAGAAGTTATTTACCAAATTAGGGGAGATAAATAAACACATCCTTCTTGGCACAGTCAGCCTAGAAGGCTGATGCTAGCCCACAAGTTTGGGAACACTCATGAATAAATTGTTGTTTTTCTGAATGTCATAATAGTTTTCAAACAGAAAATATTAAGACTGCTTAAGTTATTCAATAATAATTTTACATAGGACTATTTGAGGGTGTATCATACTTAAAATATATCAATTATATGATAAAAAGCAACTCTCAAGATGCCTCGTTTGAAAATAAATAATTAAAAAAAAATTCATTAACATAGGCCACGTACAGTTCACAAACAAAATTATATCTAGAATTTTCAGAAATAAAACACATGTAGTAGATTCAAAAACCTCTTTACGAAGTTGGTACGACTGGGGCGAGTCTAGTAATAAAACCTATTGCCTTGTAGCAGATGGTACGAATGAACTGAGGGCACTGAGGCTTGTTACATAAGTACAATGCAGTTTGGTTAAACTCACTGAACAACTGCCTGAAATTGAAAACAAAATTTAATGACATCAATTATCTACCGCAATATATGAAAAGTGAAAAGATTGAAAGCAGAAATTAATAAGTTTGAAAGCAATCCAGTTATGAGGAAAGCTTCATATGAGACATACTTATCTTTCTTTACAATACTGAGAGAAATATCTGGCTAAACTTAGGAATATTACAAGAAAAAAACCAGACCAACCTGTTGTAAGGGTTTCTCCGTGAGGTGTATCTCAGGCTTAAAAAGCGGTAGTATATAAAAGGCAGAAACAAGCTACACTTCCCACTGAAAAATGTTTAGTAAAAACTTCCATTTCATAAACAGTTCAAATTTTTTTAAACTATGTAGCTTAAATGTATCTGTAAACAAATTGTCATCAAAAGATAAAAGGACCTAAAACTCTAAGCAATAACCAACCAAACACCATTTAGAATAAAACAATTTAAACTAGAATGCAATAAGAAAATGTGGATGACATGCCCAAAAAAAGACAAAAAATGTAAATGCCTGACCCACCCCTCCACTCAATACCTGTGCAGGCTACTTTAGTATCTCACCTGAATATGAGGATGACAATGACTGGCATGAGCAATATCTCTGTACTGGCTATGAACCTCAGAATGTTGACCTGTTGAGCTTCCAGTTTTGTGATCATGTTGCGTACAAACATCAACGATGCTGGACCCATCAGCTGGAATTATACAATCACATTCAACACAATCTTCAGCCAGTTGGAACCTAACAATATTGTAACAGACCAATCTTGTTTGAAATTGAGCTAAGTCTGTCCACTGATGAGCCTGTGTCATGATACTTTCACTCAGTGATAGAAAAAGGTAGGATATATTATCTGGTGCAATTCTCAAATGTTTTCCTCCAGGATTTACTATTTTTTACCACTGAATGTTACAAATAGAGTTGCTCAACAAGTTTGCCATGAACTGCAATTTCTCATTTTAAAAACATTATTCTATAATAACCTAATCAAAATATCTATTATTATCTATACAAGGCATAATTCCATGACTTTTAACCAATAAATAAAATATGATCTGTACTTACATTTAGGATAGTTTTTGTGAATGAGCATGCATGCAACAAGGCAAACATGAATACAGGAATCAGAGAAACTAGGTTAGAGTTAAGGTTTTTTTAATGAATCAACATGGCCTTAACAGCAAATGGGTTTAATAATTATCTAATAAGTTTAAAACCAGCTGTTATGGAATTTGAGTTAGTAATTAACAAATACTTCAATTTATGCCAATAAATAGATAAGCATGGGATAATGAAATAGTTTGATTAAATACAAATATTAATTTGAGTAGTTAATTTTGTTGATATCAAAATGTAAAGGATACTGGTCAATGGGTAGGTGTTCAAGAAGATGATGCAGTACATGAGGTAGTGACTGGCATCTTCAGCAAACAGGTCCCTCAGAAAGGCCATGTTCAGCTGCACCACTGGCACGCGCTGGTGCAAGCGCAGGGCGCTGGTTGCAGCTGCTGCTATAAGAGCTCGTTGATAAAAACTGTGGGGGTTACCTCTGAAATATTAAATAAAAACTGTATAAAATATAAAGTGGGGACAAGAATACAAAAATCAAAATGGTCTAAATTTAGCTTTTAGAAAAGGAAAAAGTGTACTACATACCCAAATATTGGAAGTAAGAAGACAACTGAACAGACAACAGTGAATATCCTTGTGAACCAAAGCGTGGTTTCTATTTTGTTTTGCATCATATGTGCCTGGAAAGGAAATAATATAGTCGCAAAAGCTGACAGAACAGTGTCACTCAATCAAACAGGTCAACAAAAGTACAGTGGATTATTTACTAATGTTTACCAGTGTCATACAATCAAACGCTTTACAAACATGCCAACAAAACTACAGTGGATTATACACTAATGTTTACCAGCACGGGGTTTCTCCTACTTGAGGCTGGTGGTCCATCACCTGAGCCATCATTTGAAGGCCCATTGGCACCACTATCTCTGTTTTCTTGAGTGTCTGCCATGTTCAATTTCACTAAAAGAAAACAGAATTTAACATTTAGACCTAAGGCTTACTCCTTTTCTATCCCACTAAATTAACATAGTTACAGACTACTTATACAACAATTGCTGCAGGTAGAGTGACAGTAATTCATTGAGAAAGTGATAAAAACAGTAAAACTAAAACATAAAAAATCAGGCTGCATCTGCATGATGCAAATTAGTTTCTTCCAAAAGATTATAATGGTCGCACACAAAATAATAAGTTACATACTAATTTCCCAAACTGAAAAAAGCCTGATTTATATTAGATACAACTATTGGGCTGAGCTTAGTTATAGTAATGACCAAGGGATGTGTTTATGAAACTATTCTCGCAAACAATGTAATAATTTATAGGCCTGGTAATAAGCTAGTGAGATTAGCGGTAAAGAAACTTAATTTACATTTGAAGAACATTTAGAAGATAGAAAAAAACTAGATTCAATTTTTTTTTAACTGCGCCTACATTTAGCACTGAAATGATACTCTATGTCAATAATAAATTGCTAAGACCACAAGAAAAAATAATCGGGCAGTCCTTGTACCTTTCTTTAAATTGCGAACAACCTTATTGAACATATTAACAAGAATGCCTACAATCCACGTAAATGCTGCATATGTAAAAGTATGGTAGGACTAGGCTTGGGGTCAGGAATAGGGTTATCATTGACATTAGCAAGCCCAGCCCAGTGTGTATTTTAGTTTACCAGTAACCCAAGATGACCTCTTTTTTTCCGAAGTGACTACTCGGAAGAAGATTTTTCTCCCCAACGTCTCCACTTAGTCGGCAAAGATAGCTCTACGCATGCGCAGTGACCTATGGCTAGGGTTAGAATTAGGGCTAGGGTTGGTGTTAGGGTTCATGCGTATCTTTTTCCAGCTAGCATCGGCTCTTTTTTTTTTAACGAAGATTCTATAATCGTACACTGGTAGGTAGGCCTATAAAAAAAAGTAACTAGATATAGATTTTGACCTGGAAATCTTAGTAAGTAGATACTGTAAAGTCTAAGCATTCTATAAAAAAAAATCTACATTCTAGATTTACTAGGCCTAAACCTAGAAATATAATAGAAATATGAAACCAACTAAGTCTAGACTAGAAATATTTTAAAACTAATTAGAGCCTTTTTTATTAGGCTAATAGTTCTGGATTTTGTAGTAGACTATTAGAGTGATAGATTGCTCAAGCAGGCTAGGCCGCAATGGCCTGGCATTAAAAATAAAAACAGCTAGATCTACAATAGGGATTTTGGTAAAAAAACACTAATCATCATATAAAAATAAAAATTACATATTCTTGTAGAGCTCAACTATATGAAAACAAAACAAAAAAGATTTTCTGTCTAGCTCAAATAGTTTTTTTTTAGCGAATTTTTTTGTGAGGGGTGTAATGCCCTTGCTTTTGCATTGGCCAATTGTGACAAGTCATGGTATACCTGAATAAATTGAGCATAGTTATTTTACTTGCAGTTGTATTTTGTTCATATTTGCAGAGTTGAGCTAGAATGATATATAGAACTTGTATATGCTGTTGAAATAAATAAAAATAATACAGAAGTATATTTTTGTGTTGGCTTCCTTCCATAACCCCAAAAAAACTGTGCTGCGCAAATATGAAAATGTTTCTAAAGCAATGTTTTACAGTGAATGAAAGAACTACAAAGTTAGCAATCTAAAGTAAATGACTTGAACACTGAAATGTGCATATAACTGCATATAACTGCCCCATTATTTTGGGCAGGTGAAGTAGAGTCCATCTTTAAGACATTTTGTTATAAAACTGTGCTGCGCAAATATGAAAAAGTTTCTAAAGCAATGCTTTATATAAATACAGTGAATGAAAGAACTACATAGTTAGCAATCTAAAGTAAATGACTTGAACACTGTAATGTGCATATAATTGCCTTATTATTTTGGGCAGGTGAAGTAGAGTCTATCTTTAAGCCATTTTGTTAAAAGTGAACTGAAGTTATCTGATCAATGTTTTTATGTGTGTATTTTGTATGAATTCTGATTTTCAGCATATAAATATAACTAAGTAAGGGTAAGTAGAACTTGAATACTTAAAATTACAGTTAGCACATAGCTAGTGTAGTGTATTCTAGCAACAGACAGGTAACCTATGTCTGACTCAGCAAAATTTTACTTCAAGCAAAACTAGAACCAGAGTTGAAAAAATGAAAGACAGGTAGATCTATATTAAAATATGTTTAAAACAACAAGTAGGAGATTTGTTTGTACATTACATAAGAATACTGTTGTTAGTGTATCAAAACTAAAAGCCGGCAGATCGGGATGAAGAAATATAACATTGGAGTCAATGGGGGCAACGTGACCTACTTACGGTGACTACTTTCAAATGAGTATTTACTAATGTCAAAGTCAAAATATCCAAAAATAAATATCATTTCTATAAAAATGGGATGTATCTGCTTTGGAAACTTTCATTATCTAAATGGAAACTTTTCAAAAATCGCGTTTTTAAAGCATTTGAAGTTAACCTTTATACCGCGGTAAGACCAAAGCAGAGACAGCATGCAATCAGATCGCTAAGCCATCAAAACAACTGGAAAACCATTCTACTTTTCATTTAACATTAGGAAATGACCTTTTAAACTTAATTAATTACCATAAATTAAAAACTTATTAGTATGCAAAACTAAATCTCGTGCGCCCGGTATCAGAAAGTAATGGGAGATTTCGGGTCATGTTTTTACCGCGATCTCGGCCGATACCGACAAGCCTAATCTACAACCTAACCGAACTAACCTGAATGACAGAAATTAGATTAATAGACTAGATCTAGACTAGCTAAAGATTTTAAACAGCAAATATTAATTTTAAAAATGTAAAACTGGCCGTAAATCTAATAATTATTAACTAAGCTAAATAGATCAAACAGTAATCACATTTAGATTAGTTAGTGGTGATGCATAAGTTAACTGTTAAACGATATTTGTTCTCGTCATTTCCATAAATGAAGAGATTGCGCAGCACAATCATTATTCTTTTTACGGAAGAGCTAGAGCTGTATGAAATTAAAAAGCTGTCGGTAGGCCATATAAAACATGGTGCTTAAAAGAAACAATATTCAATAAACGATAAGATGAAATTTTGTTTCTAAGAAAGTTATTTGCATTTTTAAATTTTTAAACACAGAAAAAAAAACATAATTATTAGCTATCGTTTACCACAAAAACGGGCAGATGGAGCTTTTTTTTTAGAAAGGTTATACAAAGATATAGATCTATAAGATATAGCCTATAGGCCTAGATCAAGCCAACGGCAACATGCCTACTAGGCCTACCCTTCTTTATACACAAATACGATGTCATACGACCTAGTGACGCTGCGGGCGCACAGCATTGGCTGATAAAATAAATCTAAATCGACAAAAATAAAAGCAGGAGTGAGCTGCTTTAAATTATCTCCCATGTTATTAGATAACAGTAAGGGTTGGGAGGGCACTTCTAGTGCAAGCGGCCATGGAAATTAATTATTCGTTTTTTTCTTTAACTGCTTGCCTTTCGTGATAACACAGAGGTGATACATACTTTGATTTGAGCAGTGGCGCAGCGAGGTCGGGTGTCACCCGGTGTGGCACTTAATGGTGTCACCCCCCCAGAGGCGTAGCGACCCTTCCCGGCGCCCGGGGACAAACTTTCAATTTTCGATTTGCACCCCCACCTCAAACTTTCGATTCGCACCCCCCTCAAACTTTCGATTTGCACCACCCCCCTCTAACTATCGATTTTTACCCCCCCCCCCCCCCACACTCCCCTCCAAACTTGTCGGGATTTTTCAAATTTGCTCTTAAAAGACTTTTTAATTAATTACTTAATTAAGTGGAATTATCATTTTTCTCTATATATTTTGCTATTTTTTGCCTTGGTGTCACCTCCCTAAATGGTGTCGCCCGGTGCGGTCCGCACTCACCGCCCCCCCCCCCCCTCGCTACGCCACTGGATTTGAGAGAATATGATTTTGATATAAAATTAAAATCAAATTCTGAATTTAGTGTTATTTTGTTTCAAGGAATCGGGTAAAAACGCTAAAAATTCAAAAATCGAAAGAAATTATGTACAGAAGCTAATACATAAATGACATGTCTTCCATCCAACCAGTGTTTCTTCCAGACTTTTTTCTCGGGGGGGGGGGGAGGGGGTACTTCTTCTTCTTCGTTCTTAATTTTTATTGTTAGAAGGGATCGAACCTTATCTGTCAGAGGGTTTGAACTCGAGACTTTTTTCAAAAATATTAAGCATGAGCTTTTGCTGACTCGACCACGCCTCCATCACAATTCACAATTAAGGATACGTGTCAACTGGTTATGCGCCATTGAGGCCATTGACTCCGATTTCAGCCTGCTTTTCTTTTTGGATTTGCTTCCATAGCCTTTGTCCATCCAAGAACAAACTATCAAGCTTGTGTAAGTCTGGGAAAAGACAATAGTAACTACACTTGTCAATAGTTGATCAGAAAGGTTTAACTTTTAGTGCAAGTAAACTGCGGAATTGTGCACACTTAACCACTATAAAATTATGAGTGGTAAAACTTCAGAAGAATGTGCAAACTATGGTTTATTTTTCAACTGCCTATGTTGTACTTTTGATACTAAAAGTTTCTTCTCGTAACTGCTGATAGATTTTTTAAATTGAACTTTTAACGTTTGAAAGTTAATTTTCTCTTTTTTTTTTTTTTTACAAGATTTTAGTTTATTGTAAATCCAAGATTTTAGCTGTTTGCAGATATAATGTCTTGGAACTTGGTGTAAATTTTCATTATTCATTTTCTGTGGTACTTATCTATGTGAGAGTGATGTACATTGTGTATGTTTTTATTTTTCAGAAATTTTATAATATGCCTTGTTTGATATGATACAATTTTTTTTTAAATAGAAAAAAAATGTTCCTTTTACATTGTAATTTAAAAAAACTACATTTGTCCCCTTTACAATGGTTCTAGTAAAATAAACAGTAATAATAATATGATTATTTGTTTATATTATTGATATTTTTAATTAGGTAGAAAAGTGTGTTTTTTAAGATGGCTGCCGTTGCCATGGAATATTATATTGTTACTTGCTTATCTCTGCTGTGGGCTAGTTAGGTTTACAGTGTGTAGTTGCCTCTTAAACATCTTTACTCCATGTGGAACATAGACCCTCAACTACAACCTTCCATCTTTACTCCATGTGGAACATAGAGCCTCAACTACAACCTTCCATCTTTACTACATGTGGAACATAGAGCCTCAACTACAACCTTCCATCTTTACTACATGTGGAACATAGAGCCTCAACTACAACCTTCCATCTTTACTACATGTGGAACATAGAGCCTCAACTACAACCTTCCATCTTTACTACATGTGGAACATAGAGCCTCAACTACAACCTTCCATCTTTACTACATGTGGAACATAGAGCCTCAACTACAACCTTCCATCTTTACTACATGTGGAACATAGAGCCTCAACTACAACCTTCCATCTTTACTACATGTGGAACATAGAGCCTCAACTACAACCTTCCATCTTTACTACATGTGGAACATAGAGCCTCAACTACAACCTTCCATCTTTACTCCATGTGGAACATAGAGCCTCAACTACAACCTTCCATCTTTACTACATGTGGAACATAGAGCCTCAACTACAACCTTTCACCTTTACTCCATGTGAAACATAGAGCCTCAACTACAACCTTCCATCTTGTCCGGTCCCCGGCTGTTGATTTTGCAGTCTCACTAGACATCCCTGATGTCTCCAGTTCTTCAAGAAGACTCAGCCTCCAGGTCTGTCTTGGGCGCCTTCTCTTTCGCCTACCTTGGGGGTTCCACTTAGGCGCCTGGCGTGTCACGTTTCAGTGTACATTTTAGTTTGCCTTTAACTGAGCCACCCAGCGCCACTTCCTCCTAATTTGTATTGCCATGGGCTCATGCCTTGTCCTTCTCCATAGCTCTATGTTAGGCACTTTGTAGCGCCTCCTCAGAATTTGTCTGAGACTTTTGTGTGTGCAGGTCTTTGAGAATCTCCATGTTTCTGCTCCATATATTAAAAAAACCCTTGACATATGAATTTAGAATCCTGATTTTTATCAGCGACAGTACTTTAAACAAACAAGGACAAGTTATCAAAAATTTGAACACATTTAAAATATCAACACTCAAGTCTTTTGAATTGAAATTATTCACATTTTACTTCATTAACAGTTATATTACAGTTTTAAAAACTGGTCATTAGTTGCATATTTAAACTATATAAAACGTGCAATATGTTTAAAGTATACACAAACTTTATATATATATATATATATATATATATATATATATATATATATATATATATATATATATATATATATATATATATATATATAATAAATATAAACAAAATAACAAGCGTAGTGAGTTTTTATTACCATCACGAGTTTATTTGAAATGATTGTTCGACTTAGAACAGTTAAATCAACTACAACAACACCACTTAGAAGGAAATCTGGTGGAATATCATGGAGGTACAAATTATTTGGGTGGACTAAAACAAAAACACAGTGTGGAAAATGGTAGAATATCATGTAAACATTCTCTGGGTGGACTGGGTGGACAGCAAGGCTGTGAGTAGGTCAAGGCACGTGTGTACAAAATTGGCACATGTTGTTTCAAGGTTGAACAGGTTGGAGGGGGGGAGGGGGGGTGAGCAGGTCGGCGTGTGTGTGTGTGTTGGGGGGAGGGGGGTGAGCAGGTTGGTAGGAGGGTGAATAATTGGCGGCTGGGGTGGTAGTGAGCTGATGGGAGGTGCGTGGGGTGGATGGGAGGTGCGTTGATAGGGTGGGGGGGGGGGGGGTGTTGACCGGTTGCTGTTGGAAGGGTGCTAGAGCAGGTTTTTGTGGGGGGAACGAGGTGCTTTAGCAGGTATACACAAATATAAACAAGTGATAATATTATAAAGCACATATTTTATGTTGTATTTGTATTAAAACAATGCGTGGGTTATATATTATGATTTTTTATGCAATATGATAAACCAGTGTATAGATTTAAATATATAAATTATAGACGTACTTCACGCATTGGTCTGTTCACCTCTAGAAAATCTACTCAGAACTTGTTCCTGTACTAGACTCAGAGCAAAGCATATTAAGATTGTGTAGAAGAAAACTCACCTTACAGTTGACTTCTTCCAGGGATTAGCACAAACCATATAGAAAAATAATGGAGGTTATTTCCCTTGTCTTTTTAAAAGCGTCACTCAGATCAAGGGAGATTATTCATTTTTTTTACTTTCTGAACGGCAACCCAAAACCTTTATAAAGATTGTATGTTTAATTATGCGTACTGTCATAACAAAGTGTAAAAATAGAACAATTAATTTACATATATAAATTACATTATCTGGTAAACAACGTACATAATAAGCTATTTTTATAAGTAACCAACGTTACCTATAAACAATACATTTATGCATATTATTCATATACAAAACACAATTTGCCTTAGTATTTAATGTTTTAGTTAAAGAGCTTTCAAGTAGCTTTACAGTGTTACACACTGGAATGTAACGATAAATATTCACCGTTTGATTTTTTAAGAACACTTTGGGACCTTTGAACCTAAACTTTACCATGTAAGCGACAAGGGTACAATTGAAATAGCTGGTACAACTTTATCAAGACAACAGCTCAAGGGTAGTTTTCTAGAGGACGGTGATGTGTTGTTTTAGTCAAGTTGTGCTAATTTTAACAGTATCAATGTGAGACTTAGGACTTTAAGAATGGTGTATGTCTACAGTACTCAGTGTCGTAGTCAGTGTAGAGAGAGGGGCTTGAGTTCCCCTAACAGTAGCATTGTCAGTGTTAGAATTCCCCTAAATAGTGGCGTAGTCTAAAAACAGTCACAAGGTAAGCTACATCTATTAGCAATTGCTTTTAGTTTGAAAATTTTTAATGTCTCAAAAATGTCACAAAACCACCTTTGTACGGTCTTAATTACATTTTGGAATATATATATATATATATATATATATATATATATATATATATATATATATATATATATATATATATATATATGATAAAGAATACTAACCCCGTATAACAAAATCCTACCCACACCACTAACAATTCGAAACTTCTAAATGCACTAACACAAGTAGAGTGCATTTGAAGCACTAACCATGCTGCCGAGGCGTAGCGAGGGGGCGGGGGGGGGGGGACATATGTCCCCGGGCGCCGACCTTAGGGGGCGCCAAAATGGGTTGGAAAAACAAATTATAAAAAGTTTAAGGGGGGGGGGGGTGCAAATAGAAATTTGAGGGGAGTGCAAATCGAAAATTTGCTCCCGAGGGGGCGCCAAATTGAAAGTTTGTCCCCGGGCGCAGGGAAGGGTCGCTACGCCTCTGCCATGCTGTGGCGTTTATTTCTGCCCGAGTTTCTGGAAGTAACACAGATTTCTGCTGTTGTCAGCTACCAAAACGAAGCTAAAGCTGGTGAATCGAAAACATTTTGTGAAGTATTTTTTTTTACCAATTCTTGCTAAGGATGAACTATTTTTCTACAGTCTAATCTAGAGCTGTATGGAGGATGGGGGGGGGGGCTTAAACACATGAGCAAAGAACCAAATTTGAGATATTTGTGTGACACCAAGCAACAGAGCTTGAGACATTTGTGTGATAGATCCTGCTCTTTAGTTCAATTTTACGACAAAATAAAATCTTAGTCCCTACAGGTTACCTCCCTTCTATCCATCAACACTCACAAAGGGGCTGAACTCCATGTGTGTGAACAACAATCACAGGGTGTTCAAATGTACACCAAAGGCAGTTGTATATTTAGCTTACAGTGAAGGCCATCTGAATACCTGAGGCCAAATCTGCGGTACTGTGGGCCATGGACCACCACTCAATGCTGTCGTCATATCCGGTGACGATGGGCGCGCCAGTACATCCGGGGCACGTGGCGGTGATGTAGGTCGTCACGCGCAGCTTGAAACGTTTCTTCGTCAGCCACTTGAAGCCGCTGGATTTGTTCGAGACTTTCTGGTACTCCAGCAAGCCCCCGACGGAGAGGGCTTTGGCGGTACCGTGGGGGTGGGAGACCACGATGGCAAAGTCCGTCATGGCGTATTTGACGGATTTGGGAATGGCCGCGCAAAGGATTTTCGCCTCCTCCACCAGACGGTGGATCTTCCTGATGAAGTCTGTATCGTGGGTGACGCACTGGAGCGTGACGCACTGCTCGCTGTCGGCGTCAGAGATGACGTCATGCCCCGTCAGCGTGACGATGCCGAGGCGATCGGGCGTGTCGAAGAAAAACTCGACTTCTGTGTTCCGTGCCTCAGTGACGTCACAGATCACGTGCCGGTTGGTTCTCACGTTGATGAAGCCGTACACTGAGTGACTAGAGCCCTGGGTGGGGGGGGGGGGTGAGTAAAGGGCAATGGATAGACAATGTAAGCATTTTTTTTTAAAATTCACATGTCACAGTTCACTTTTGTGTTTGTTAAAAAAGAATAAAAATTATTTTTATGTTGTTTTACAGAGACATAAAAGCACACACACACACACACAAAATCGCACATACACTCTCTCAAAGAGTAGTAAAGTGGAAAAACTTAATCATACACAAACTAACAGATTCATACACTGGTATATACATACACATACAAAGACCAAAACGCTAAACCATACACTTCGACTCCTGGCGAGAATTCTTCTCTACTGACCAAGACACCAACACACGCCAATGAGCACAACTACACACACCAACACACGCATCAAGATACAAATCCAAAAACGTATCACACATCCCTGATACAGCAATTCACGCACACACACGTCAACATACAAACCAACAAATGCACCACTGTCATACCGACACGCAGACCACCATCAACACACCCACCAACATACACACCATCACACCCACCATTGTTCCCACCATCACACACACCAACACACTCACCAACACACCCACCAACACACACACCAACACACACGCCAAAACACCCACCATCACACACGCCAACACACCCACCAACACACTCACCAACACACACGCCAACACACACACACACCAACACACCCACCATCACACCCACCAACACACACACCATCATACACGCCAACACACCCACCATCACACACACCAACACACACACCAACACACCCACCAACACACACGCCAACACACACACACACCAACACACACACCATCACACCCACCATCACACCCACCAACACACACACCAACACACACACCATCACACCCACCATCACACCCACCAACACACACGCCAACACACACACCAACACACACACCAACACACACACCAACACACACACCAACACACCCACCAACACACACGCCAACACACACACACCAACACACACACCAACACACACACCATCACACCCACCATCACACCCACCAACACACACACCAACACACACACACCAACACACACACCAACACAGACCAACACACCCACCATCACACCCACCAACACACCCACCAACACACACACCAACACACCCACAAACACACACACACAATACACACGCCAACACACCAACACACACACCCACCAACACACACACAACACACTGACTCACAGCGAGAATGCAGCTGTCATCTCTACACGTGACCTCCCTCACGTGAGTGACGTCCACATCTCTCGCCACACACCCCGTGGCCCCCCTCCACACACACTTCCCCACAAAGTTCCTGAAAGGATCCTCTTTGTGCCTAGCTGAGCTGGTATGTTTGACCTTTAACCTGTAGACGAAATCACTGAAAGCTACTCTCGTTATTGTGAAAATAGTTCGTACCCTAACAACAAAACAATGCCATTAAACATTGTCACAGCAAATCTGGAATTCACAAGTCTAATTTAACAACACACTATTACAAGACCGTTAAATAGGGACTAGACAATGCCTATACTTTGATGGAAAGTAAAATTTGACGACGAAATTCAACGAAATTTTCTTAACTCTATGACACAAAGGGTTGGAGAAGAATGGAACCGACGACAAAATAAAAGTAGACTTGACTAGGCTAATTGTGATTAGCTCTTTGAACTTCCAGACTAGTGATGTTAGTTCGTTGCGCGGCATCCTCCGTAAAGTTGCGTTACTATGGTAATGATGGCGTGCGTGCGGCAAATGATTTTTACCGAACCACGTGATGAAGATAAATTTAGATTAGGAAACTTCAATAAAACACCAGGGTTTTAGCGATGCTCGGTAAATAGTTGGAAAACATCTGGTCGGGTCAAGCGTCTTACAATGGCCTAAAGACAGATGGTTGACCAAATGTGTCTAGACAGTCCAATTTTCTTTTAACAAAGCCGTTGAGAGAGAACAACGTCGTATATTAATCATTGTATATGTTGTTTTTTCTATCAGCATAACAATGGGGCTGGACAAGGCTTAGATTTATGTTAGTTTTATGTTCAAGACTTAGGTCTGCGACATGGTAAGGATTAGCGTCAGGTCTATTGCTAGAGCAATGATTGGGGTTGCGGTAACGTAGCGTCAGGTCTGTTGCAATGATTGTGGTTTAGGTGACGTAGTGTCAAGCCTATCGCTAGAGCAATGATTGGAATTAAGGTGACAATACTCTCTGTACACAGACATCGATTCCATCTGCTGACCAAACACTGACCTGACCACTAGCTTGCTGAAAGCTGTGACGTAATCAAACACTGACTGGTGCTTCAGGGGTGGGGGGAGGTCGTCTATGGTCAGTTCTTTGACGGACAGGAACTTCTCGTGGCCGGGGTTCTTCATGCAGGTCAGGTACCGGTGACGTAGGTCTGAGTCCCTCTGGTAAAGGTCCACCTCAAGGTGTTCTTCTGTGGTAAACGTGGGCAAGTGGTAAACGTGGGCAAGTGGTAAACATGGGCAGGTGGTAAACATGGGCAGGTGGTAAACTTTGGTAAACATGGGCAGGTGGTAAATATGGACAGGTGGTAAACATGGGCAGGTAGTTGGCAGGTGGTAAACATGGGCAGGTGGTAAACATGGGCAGGTGGTAAACATGGGCAGGTGGTAAACATGGGCAGGTGGTAAACATGGGCAGGTGGTAAACATGGGCAGGTGGTAAACATGGGCAGGTGGTAAACATGGGCAGGTGGTAAACTTAGGTAAACATGGGCCGGTGAAAAACATGGGCAGGTGGTAAACATGGGCAGGTAGTTGGCAGGTGGTAAACATGGGCAGGTGGTAAACATGGGCAGGTGGTAAACATGGGCAGGTAGTTGGCAGGTGGTAAACATGGGCAGGTGGTAAATATGGACAGGTGGTAAACATGGGCAGGTAGTTGGCAGGTGGTAAACATGGGCAGGTGGTAAATATGGACAGGTGGTAAACATGGGCAGGTAGTTGGCAGGTGGTAAACATGGGCAGGTGGTAAATATGGACAGGTGGTAAACATGGGCAGGTAGTTGGCTGGTGGTAAACATGGGCAGGTGGTAAATATGGACAGGTGGTAAACATGGGCAGGTAGTTGGCAGGTGGTAAACATGGGCAGGTGGTAAACATGGGCAGGTGGTAAACATGGGCAGGTGGTAAACATGGGCAGGTGGTAAACATGGGCAGGTGGTAAACATGGGCAGGTGGTAAACATGGGCAGGTGGTAAATATGGGCAGGTGGTAAACATGGGCAGGTGGTAAACATGGGCAGGTGGTAAACATGGGCAGGTGGTTGGCAGGTGGTAAACATGGGCAGGTGGTAAACATGGGCAGGTAGTTGGCAGGTGGTAAACATGGGCAGGTGGTAAATATGGACAGGTGGTAAACATGGGCAGGTAGTTGGCAGGTGGTAAACATGGGCAGGTGGTAAATATGGACAGGTGGTAAACATGGGCAGGTAGTTGGCAGGTGGTAAACATGGGCAGGTGGTAAATATGGACAGGTGGTAAACATGGGCAGGTAGTTGGCTGGTGGTAAACATGGGCAGGTGGTAAATATGGACAGGTGGTAAACATGGGCAGGTAGTTGGCAGGTGGTAAACATGGGCAGGTGGTAAACATGGGCAGGTGGTAAACATGGGCAGGTGGTAAACATGGGCAGGTGGTAAACATGGGCAGGTGGTAAACATGGGCAGGTGGTAAACATGGGCAGGTGGTAAATATGGGCAGGTGGTAAACATGGGCAGGTGGTAAACATGGGCAGGTGGTAAACATGGGCAGGTGGTTGGCAGGTGGTAAACATGGGCAGGTGGTAAACATGGGCAGGTGGTTGGCAGGTGGTAAACATGGGCAGGTGGTAAATATGGGCAGGTGGTAAACATGGGCAGGTGGTTGGCAGGTGGTAAACATGGGCAGGTGGTAAACATGGGCAGGTGGTTGGCAGGTGGTAAACATGGGCAGGTAGTTGGCAGGTGGTAAACATGGGCAGGTGGTAAACATGGGCAGGTGGTTGGCAGGTGGTAAACATGGGCAGGTAGTTGGCAGGTGGTAAACATGGGCAGGTGGTAAACATGGGCAGGTGGTAAACATGGGCAGGTAGTTGGCAGGTGGTAAACATGGGCAGGTGGTAAATATGGGCAGGTGGTAAACATGGGCAGGTGGTAAACATGGGCAGGTGGTAAATATGGGCAGGTGGTAAATATGGGCAGGTGGTAAATATGGGCAGGTGGTAAATATGGGCAGGTGGTAAACATGGACAGGTTAAAAAGCAGATTTCGATACATTGCGCTATAGGGTCATGCTGTACCCTATAGCGCTCGACAGCAGGATACCGATTTAGACAGGATTGATTGACTGAGGCGTAAATGTCAAGGTCAGAGCCAAGAATGTGGGACTAGAGACACAATCATTACATTCGTGAGGTTTAGTTTGCTGTAGACTTACACAATCATTACATTCGTGAGGTTTAGTTTGCTGTAGACTTACACAATCATTACATTCTTGAGGTTTAGTTTGCTGTAGAATTACACAATCATTACATTCTTGAGGTTTAGTTTGCTGTAGACCTACACAATCATTACATTCGTGAGGTTTAGTTTGCTGTGGAATTACACAATCATTACACTCTTGAGGTTTAGTTTGATGTAGACTTACACAATCATTACATTCGTGAGGTTTAGTTTGCTGTGGAATTACACAATCATTACACTCTTGAGGTTTAGTTTGATGTAGATCTAACAATCATTACATTCGTGAGGTTTAGTTTGCTGTAGACTTACACAATCATTGCATTCGTGAGGTTTAGTTTGCTGTAGACTTACACAATCATTACATTCGTGAGGTTTAGTTTGCTGTAGACTTACACAATCATTACATTCGTGAGGTTTAGTTTGCTGTAGACTTACACAATCATTACATTCGTGAGGTTTAGTTTGCTGTAGACTTACACAATCATTACATTCGTGAGGTTTAGTTTGCTGTAGACTTACACAATCATTACATTCGTGAGGTTTAGTTTGCTGTAGACTTACACAATCATTACATTCGTGAGGTTTAGTTTGCTGTAGACTTACACAATCATTACATTCGTGAGGTTTAGTTTGCTGTAGACTTACACAATCATTACATTCGTGAGGTTTAGTTTGCTGTAGACTTACACAATCATTACATTCGTGAGGTTTAGTTTGCTGTAGACTTACACAATCATTACATTAATGGCGTTACTTTACTAATGCTGTAGAAAAATACAATCATTACATTCATGAGTCAGAACCCCTAACTCTCAAGTCGAATTCCGGGTTCGTGTCAGTAGACCTTCGTCTATGATAGTTAGGGAAAGAAAAGGCAGCTGGATATATTGCCGACAACACTATCATTTTATATGTAGAGGTCAAAGAAACAGATGAGCTCTACTTCACCTGCCACATCAAGTTTGGTGAGATACTTTTCTTCTATTTTCTAGTACCGCTACATGAAACCATTACCTGTGTTGTGTACACCATTTGTTTAGTTTTTGTACACAATTTGTTTACCTATGTTATGTAAACTATTTGTTTACCTTTGTTATATAAACTATTAGTTTACCTTTGTTATGTAAACTATTTGTTTACCTTTATAATAAGGTGCTTGTCTAGGAGACGTCACGTGATTCGACCTGAAAATAAAATCAATGCTAGTGAGTCATAAAACTCCATTGATGGGGGGGGGGGGGGGGGGGGGAGCTGGAGAACTGGGGTGGGGGGGGGAGTTGGAGAAACGGGGTGGGGGGAGCTAAAGAAATATGGGTGGGGTAGCTTGAGAAATGGGGAGGGGGGAGCTAAAGAAATATGGGGGGGGGTAGCTTGAGAATTGCACATGACGCAATACAGAGCGAGGGGCGGAGGCTGATGACGAAATACAGATCGATTTATGAAAGGTCAAAGGTCACACAGGTTGAAGAGGGGCAGTTAGAGTGCTCTTCATGATTCGCGCTTAAGCCCCGCATTTATTTCGTTTCGCGGACGTTATGCTCAAAATGTTGAAATAATTTTACACCCAATATATCAGAAATAAAAGAAAACACATACAAAATAGACTGACACAGAAAAACTACTGCAAGCTGTTTATAAACCTATAAAAAATCACGACTAATCATGTTTAAATGTTTCGTTTCTTTCAAGGAGATCCGTGTTTAGCGAACTGATCAGAACACAAGGACCGATCTATTCACGTTCGACACTTTAAACTTAGATCGATTTCTTTTTTTAAAGTTTAAATCACATTTGAAATTCAAATTCAAAGACAACATTTACAACAACAAAAATGTAAGTATTTAGTTGGTATAGATGTGGGGAGAAACATGTTGGGAAGATGTTTCAGTTATTATCTAATTTGCAAACATCTCAGATAATAGATATTCATCGTTTTCTTTCAACCAAACTTATTTGATATATAGTAAAGAATTATCTTCATTTTAAAAAATATTTTAATAAATAAGCAGTTCTAAAATTAGAAAATGAAATTATAAATAAACAACAAAATGTCACTCACCATTCCCCAGTAAAACAAAATGTCACTCACCATTCCCCAGTCAAACAAAATGTCACTCAACATTCCCCAGTCAAACAAAATGTCACTCAACATTCCCCAGTCAAACAAAATGTCACTCACCATTCCCTGAGAAAACAAAATGTCACTCACCATTCCCTGAGAAAACAAAATGTCACTCACCATTCCCCATAAAATCAAAATGTCATTCACCATTCCCCAGTCAAACAAAATGTCACTCACCATTCCCCAGTCAAACAAAATGTCACTCACAATTCCCTATGAAAACAAAATGTCACTCACCATTCCCTACGAAAACAAAATGTCACTCACCATTCCCCAGTAAAACAAAATGTCACTCACCATTCCCCATGAAAACAAAATGTCACTCACCATTCCCCAGTAAAACAAAATGCCACTCACCATTCCCCATAAAATCAAAATGTCACTCACCATTCCCCATGAAAACAAAATGTCTGTCACCATTCCCCATGAAAACAAAATGTCTGTCACCATTCCCTACGAAAACAAAATGTCACTCACCATTCCCCATGAAAACAAAATGCCACTCACCATTCCCCATGAAAACAAAATGTCACTCACCATTCCCCATGAAAACAAAATGCCACTCACCATTCCCCATCAATCTGCTGATACTGAGCCATCAATGACAAGATGGTGTCGGTAAAAAATGTAATTGGTCAACTCGTTGATTACAAACCACTGAAATAAAACATATATAACATCATCACTAGCCAAACAACATACAACAGACAATACAACACACGATACAACACACGATACAACACACGATACAACAGTGGCGTAGCGAGGTCGGGTGCCACCCGGTGCGGCACTTAATGGTGTCATCCCATAGAGGCATAGCGACCCTTCCCGGGGACAAACTTTCAATTTTCGATTACTCGAATTATTCACTTAATTTAGTTGAATTATCATATTTCTCTATATATTTTGCTATTTTTTGCCTTGGTGTCACCCTTCTAAATGGCGTCACCCGGTCCGCACCCCCGCCCCCCCCCCCCCTCGCTACGCCTCTGCGATACAACACACGATACAACAGACAATACATCAGACAATACATCAGACAATACAACAGACAATACAATAGGATTAATTCTTGCAGCTAACATATGCGCGGGACTTACTAAAGCGGTGTCGTTTCCAGGCTCAATTCACCTGGTTCATTTTTTTTTGGGGTGGGGGGGGGGGTGTGATCAGGTAACGGGATATCAAGCTGACATCAACTGTACCTCTCTACCTCTCTACCTCTCTCTCTCTACCTCTCTACCTCTCCACCTCTCTCTCTACCTCTCTACCTCTCTCTCTACCTCTCTACCTCTTTACCTCTCTCTCTACCTCTCTCTCTACCTCTCTACCTCTCTCTCTACCTCTCTACCTCTTTACCTCTCTCTCTCTACCTCTCTACCTCTCTACCTCTCTACCTCTTTACCTCTCTCTCTACCTCTTTACCTCTCTCTCTACCTCTCTCTCTACCTCTCTACCTCTCTACCTCTCTCTCTACCTCTCTCTCTACCTCTCTACCTCTTTACCTCTCTCTCTACCTCTCTACCTCTCTATCTCTCTACCTCTCTACCTCTCTACCTCTCTCTCTACCTCTTTACCTCTCTACCTCTCTCTCTACCTCTTTAACTCTCTCTCTACCTCTTTACCTCTCTACCTCTCTACCTCTCTACATCTCTACCTCTCTCTCTACCTCTTTACCTCTCTACCTAACTACCTGCACATATTCGATAATATTATAATGTTTGAATCTTTCTAGGAAAATCCCAATACACTTCAACTCCTCTACCTCAGTTAGTAATTAGCCATCACACACCTACCTGGTCAGACTGTACGGGCTATCTCACCACAAGACAAATAATTCCTAATTAGATGCAAGGTTTCCATGGCAACCAGAAACTATGTTTTGATTATACGATTCACCGCGCTTGTAAACAGCCCAGGTAAGCAGGTATAAAACAGGTTAATTAGTGCAAATTTAATTAGTCTAAGTTTGATTAGTTCATGTTTAACTCGCTAAAATTAAAAACCGGTTCACGTTTATTTAGCTGCACGTTTTAATTAGTAGAAAGTTCATTTGTTTTAATTAGGCGGTAAATGCCGATGTGGTAAATTAATTGCAATCATCACGGTTGGGAAGATGCTGAATAAAAACGTCCATCAAATCAGAAACTGTTTGAAGGTAGACTTAAACTTACCAAGCTTAACCACTGCGATAGTGTGTTTATGGTGGGGTGGGTGGGTAAGTGGGGGGGGGGGGGGTGTTGGGCCGACAATTTTACCTACAGTGGTTATTACAACACAACTGGCCAGTGACCCTAACTCATGACAAAACAAATTCCCCCCCCCCCCCCCCCCCCCACGGACAGAAGTGCCACCATTGAGTAGAGAGCTGAGGCCGGAGTAATGAGAAAGTGGGTTCAACTCTGGCTTCAAAATATTGTCTAAATGTCAGCACTCAGAGGAAAATCTCCCTTCATTATTTCCGTCGCCGCCAACGTTACCAATGAATTAATGCATCACGCTTTGATCTTTGTTTCACTACAGAAGATTCCATCAGAGTTGGGGTGAGTACACATTTAAAAACCACTCACGCACACGACGTCAGTGAATCACGTGACAGTGTTTTGATTTATTTTATCTCCACCTTTATGTTGACCCCCAACAGTGGGCGATGTGTTCGCTAATTAAGTGTTGACAAAAGAATCAATTAGCACCTTTTACGTCATTGATTTTTTTGTTTGCATCTCAAATGGCATTAGGCTGGTCTGACATATGACAAGTGGCATTAGATTGGGATGGTATTTGACGAGTGGCATTAGAGTGGCATTCTGACATTTGACTTGTCATAAGCACGGCGAATGGTAACATTTCTTCTTTAACTTCTGTTCAAATTTTCGTTTAACGAAATAGTCTGGAACATACTTTTACTGCTGGTGGGGGTGGGTGGGGCGGGGAGACGGTGCTTATGTGTAATAATGATTACCCTAATTGTAGTGGTATAATTAGCACTTTTATTCACCTATTTTACGTGGCATTTTATAAAAAAAAAAATTGTAGAAGTTGCTTGCGTTAAATTCGAAGCACAACAAAAGGGCGACAATGTTGACAGAGAGTTGGTAAAAGCATTACCAAGAAATAAAATAGATTGATTGAAATTGAACCTTTTTTTTTTGGTTACTACGAGATACAATACACTTTTTTTCTTTATACCACACACAGACTACAACCACAAATTGACCAGCTAAAACCACACACTGACCACACACTGACCACCAACTCAGACCACACATCGACCCACAACTACACACCAAACCTCCGCTAAATCTGACCACTGTAACTCTAGCTCAGGGGTCTCCAAACTTTTCAGTCCGAGGGCCGCATTAACTAGCAAATTTCAGTTCGGGGGCCAGTTTCTTCCTGGCATGTCTTTAATTTTTCTGGTCAAAGTTCCTCAGCCATCGCCAACAAACGTTTTTTTCCGTGGACAAAAATATCTCCGCGGGCCGGATAAGAGGACCTCGCGAGCCGCATACGGCCCGCGGGCCGTAGTTTGGAGACCCCTGCTCTAGCAGATGTGAGCGGTGTCCATTACCATACGTCACAAGACGGCCCGTGGGTCAAGTCTGTTGGGAAGGACATAGACGGTCAGCAGTAGACGGCCAGACGGTCTAGTGTGCTGGGTGGGTTACCAATAGACGGCCAGATGGTCTAGTGTGCTGAGGGGGGGTCACCAATAGACGGCCAGCAGGTCTAGTGTGCTGGGTGGGTTACCAATAGACGGCCAGCAGGTCTAGTTTGCTGGGTGGGTTACTAATAGACGGCAGATGGTCTAGTCTGCTGGGTGGGTTACTAATAGACGGCAGATGGTCTAGTCTGCTGGGTGGGTTACCAATAGACGGCCAGCAGGTCTAGTGTGCTGGGTGGGTTACCAATAGACGGCCAGCAGTTCTGGTGTGCTGGGGGTGGGGGGGTCACCAATAGACGGCCAGCAGGTCTAATGTGCTGGGTGGGGGTCACCAATAGACGGCCAGCATGTCTAGTGTGCTGGGTGGGTTACCAATAGACGGCCAGATGGTCAATACTGTAGTGACCAGCCGATGACACAAATTCAGTCGGCGGGCAGTCAAACAATTGTTCCAATGTCCGGCCAGTCAAACAATTGTTCTAATCTCCGGCCAGTCAAACAATTGTTCTAATCTCCGGTCAGTCAAACAATGTTTTCCTTCGATTATCAGCCTGGGTTTTTGTCAAGTCGAATATAACTGTTTTAGACCAAGGGCTACAAGCCACTTTTTATAAGTGACATTGTCACGATAGGGACACGAAGTGTTGGCTAACAGAACAATCTGGTCGAGGGGTAGACACACGTGGGAACTAGATAACTTTATGTAAACAATGATCCATCATAAAACAACAACTAAATAAGCAGATGCTAATCACAGAAACAACTAAATGAGCAGTGGCTAATCACAGTAACAACAAATTATTAACGAGAGGCTAATCACAGTAACAACAAATTATTAAGGAGAAGCTAATCGCAGAAACAACGTCTTAAAATTCCACTGACGTCAGCCGCACAGCATTTCGTCGTCTTTCTAATCGAATTTTTTTCTTTCTACACAATCAGGCCGTTTAAATTAGTTTGTCCATCGTTTATTATTCAACGCCACCCGTTTACAGGAAAGTGACTTGTTAGTTTATGTTTGTTAATGTGGGCAGTGACGTATTTGTTGATGTTTGTTTTTGTGAGCTATAGTCCCTACTAATTCTATCTCGAAGGACTGTGGCTTGCTCCATGTATGAAGACAGTGAGTACCTTGTCTATTGAAACATTCTGAGTTACATTATCAAGCAACACGTCCTATATATTCAAGCCTCTGAACTCTTCACAACAAAAGGCCTTAAGAAGCGTCGATTTTTATCATTTTTATGTCGCGTCATGTGTGTATAAAACTGAGACATTGAATGGAATCTCCACGAAGAAATGAAGCATTCAATTCTGTTTTTAACAGCGTTGTGGCGAAGTAAGAGCCTGGAGATTGTATTGTACGGCAGCACTGAAAGAAGCCATTTGTGTGTAGATGATTGTATGTATATATATATATATATATATATATATATATATATATATATATATATATATATATATATATATATATATATATATACATATATATATATATATATATATATATGTATATATATATATATATATATATATATATATATATATATATATATATATGTATATATATGTATATATATATATATATATATATATATATATATATATATATATATATATATATATATATATATATATATATATATACATATACATATATATATATATATATATATATATATATATATATATATATATATATATATATATATATATATATATATATATATATATATTTATTTATTTATTTGTGTGTGTCTGTGGGAGCCTGGTGTAGCAAGAAAAATCAACCAAGCTCCGTGCTGTAACAGCAACATTAGGCCAGTGGATCTTCAACATAGCAGGAGCAGACTGGGGCTTAGTTGTCACGTGATGTTGGCATGCGACATACAGCGTGAGACAATCTTTATGCGACACACAGCATGAGACAATCTTTATGCGACACACAGCATGAGACAATCTTTATGCGACACACAGCATGAGACAATCTTTATGCGACACACAGCATGAGACAATCTTTATGCGACACACAGCATGAGACAATCTTTATGCGACACACAGCATGAGACAATCTTTATGCGACACACAACATGAGACACTCTTTATAGACCATCATAACTCACCACATAGTGTCCCAACCTACCAGCAAACGTCCCCACCCTCAACATACTATTCCCCCCCCCCCCCCACAAAATATCCCACCCTATCAACATGTCCTCCCACCACATACCAGCCACCCCTAATCTCTCTAAAAGCAGGCCGCCCTACACGTTAAGGTGAGCATACCTTTGCTCCAGCAAACAGGTAACACAACTCACCTGAGTTCCCCCCTCCCCCTCCCCCTCCTCACAAAAATCACGAAACGCTCCCTCTCTATACGTTGAACAATGTAACCCTTTATTCTAACAACTATAAAAACAACAACATACAAGAGTAACAGTCCTTACTTCTATTTATAGAAATCGACAGCTTTCATTGATACAAGTGTTCACAACATGCTATAATATAACAGTAATTATAACTAGGCATAGAATCTACCTATTTTTTTTTAATATATCGATTGTAACATATCGTCTTTTCGTATTTGTACGTAAATCAAATTATACGTAAACAAGTGAAGTCTTAAATATGTAAATGCCTACATCAAATTTCAACTGAGGCAGAAAAAAAAATGTAAGTATTTACCGTGAGAGGAAACAGCACATAGCCTACTTGTGTTTTGACGAGAAGTTTTCACGACGTACGACGCCGAGGCTTGACGAGGGGTTGACAACGTGAGGAAAGCTCGGGGTATTGATCCCGGCACAAAGCGCGCCGCTTACTTAGCTTATGATCGCAGCTTGTCTCAACGGCCGCGGGAATCAATGCACAGCACACGGAGGTACTGGCGTGCTCAAGTACCTCACTGGTTGCATGTGGTGGTCACTCTAACCACCTGTACCATGTGACCACCTCACTATAACCATGAGGTAACCACCTCACTATCACCATGAGGTAACCACCTCACTATTACCAAATTGTAATGACGTAAGTCCAAATACAGCCGCTTAGTTTAAAGGCGTTTGTTTCAAAACTCACTCAAAGGAAGAGGAACCGGGGGGGGGGGGGGGGGGGGCAGAGAGGAGAGTGCTAGAGGAGAGTGCCAGAGGAGAGTGCTAGAGGAGAGGGCTAGAGAGGAGAGTGCTAGAGGAGAGGGCTAGAGAGGAGAGGGCTAGAGAGGAGAGGGCTAGAGAGGAGAGAGTGTCTGAGGGCGATATAGCCAACTGATTCGTCTTTAAAGACGGCTGATTACCATACTGTATTTTTCTTTGGTTGTCTTCCAACTTTCGTCGTCTGCAGATCGACAACTTCCAGACTCAAAGGTCACATTGAGCAGAGGGGGGGGGGGGGGGGGGGAAGGACAGCTGAGGTGTTACTTCCCCTGGCAGGAGGGGGGGGGGGAGGACAGTTGAGGTGTTGCTTCCCCTGGTGGGGGGGGGGGGAAGGACAGTTGAGGTGTTGCTTCCCCTGGCAGGGGGGAGGACAGTTGAGGTGTTGCTTCCCCTGGTCAACGCGCGGGAAATTAGAACTTCTGCTTTACGTGTGCAATCAGGGGGAGATAATGTGACGCTTGTTTGTTTGTTTCGCTGTTCGTGTTTGTTGTTCGTCGATTTCCGAGCATGCTTTAGAAATCACACATACGCGCACATACACAATGGTGCTTTAAAAACACACATACACGCATAAATAAATAAGTGATGAAATAAATAAATACATACTGACTTGGCTGACTGACTTGAGTGATGGTAGACAGAAAGCTTTACAAGACGAGTTTATTCGATACTTCTGTCGTACTCGGCAATGTTTCCTCGCTGTAGATCGATCCGCCCGAGTATCGATTAAACGATTAACTACTGGCATCGAGTACTCCGTGAAGTAGTCAAGAGCTTGACACTCGTAAAACAATGTCGTGGGTATAGGTGAGTCGTAATGTGTGGTAGTGTGTTGTTGTGTGTGTTTGTGTATTGTAGAGAGTGTGCATATCGCTGTGTCGGTGTGTCGTAATATGTTTGTGTGTCGTAGAATGTGTATATCGTTGTATCAGTATGTCGTAATGTGCGTTGTAGTGTGTGTTGTAGTGTGTTGTAGTGTGTGTTTGTGTGCTGTAGAATGTGTGTATGTCGCAGTGTGTGATGTGTTGTATAGAGTGTGTAGGCCTATATTGTATTATGTGTCTGTGTGTCCAACGGTATTATGTGTGTTACGGTGTGTCATTATGTATCATGCAGTGTGCTTCTAGGTTAAGTGGGTGGTAGTTAAAGTTTCCTCATCAAACCTGGTGGTCCATGGGGCAAGTGAAGTAGAGTTCACCTGTTTCTGTGACCTCAACATATGAAGGGATAGTGTGATCAGCACTATGCCCAGCCGCCTTTACTTTCTCTAACGTGAGTTAGGTACTCATCAGAGTTGGGTGGATTCAGGGACGTTTTAGTGTGGTGGTGTGTGTGTATGTGTCTTTACTTAACATAAAACCGACATGTGTCTATTACATTAGAGATGGTGTGTGTGTATGTGTCTTTACTTAACATAAAACCGACATGTGTCTATTACATTAGAGATGGTGTGTGTGTATGTGTCTTTACTTAACATAAAACCGACATGTGTCTATTACATTAGAGATGGTGTGTGTGTATGTGTCTTTACTTAACATAAAACCGGCAGGTGTCTATTACATTAGAGATGGTGTGTGTGTATGTGTCTTTACTTAACATAAAACCGACATGTGTCTATTACATTAGAGATGGTGTGTGTGTATGTGTCTTTACTTAACATAAAACCGGCAGGTGTCTATTACATTAGAGATGGTGTGTGTGTATGTGTCTTTACTTAACATAAAACCGACATGTGTCTATTACATTAGAGATGGTGTGTGTGTATGTGTCTTTACTTAACATAAAACCGGCATGTGTCTATTACATTAGAGATGGTGTGTGTGTATGTGTCTTTACTTAACATAAAACCGGCATGTGTCTATTACATTAGAGATGGTGTGTGTGTATGTGTCTTTACTTAACATAAAACCGGCATGTGTCTATTACATTAGAGATGGTGTGTGTGTATGTGTCTTTACTTAACATAAAACCGGCATGTGTCTATTACATTAGAGATGGTGTGTGTGTATGTGTCTTTACTTAACATAAAACCGGCAGGTGTCTATTACATTAGAGATGGTGTGTGTGTATGTGTCTTTACTTAACATAAAACCGGCAGGTGTCTATTACATTAGAGATGGTGTGTGTGTCCTGGGAGACGAATGACCTCACTGTCCAGTAGGTCGATATGGACAGCAGGTGAACGACCTCAGGGTTCAGTAGGTGGGTATGGACAGCAGGTGAACGACCTCAGGGTTCAGTAGGTGGGTATGGACAGCAGGTGAACGACCTCAGGGTTCAGTAGGTCGATATGGACAGCAGGTGAACGACCTCAGGGTTCAGTAGGTGGGTATGGACAGCAGGTGAACGACCTCAGGGTTCAGTAGGTGGGTATGGACAGCAGGTGAACGACCTCAGGGTTCAGTAGGTGGGTATGGACAGTAGGTGAACGACCTCAGGGTTCATTAGGTGGGTATGGACAGTAGGTGAACGACCTCAGGGTTTAGTAGGTCGATATGGACAGCAGGTGAACGACCTCAGGGTTCAGTAGGTGGGTATGGACAGTAGGTGAATGACCTCAGGGTTCAGTAGGTGGGTATGGACAGTAGGTGAACGACCTCAGGGTTTAGTAGGTCGATATGGACAGCAGGTGAACGACCTCAGGGTTCAGTAGGTGGGTATGGACAGTAGGTGAACGACCTCAGGGTTCAGTAGGTGGGTATGGACAGTAGGTGAACGACCTCAGGGTTTAGTAGGTGGGTATGGACAGTAGGTGAACGACCTCAGGGTTCAGTAGGTGGGTATGGACAGTAGGTGAATGACCTCAGGGTTCAGTAGGTGGGTATGGACAGTAGGTGAATGACCTCAGGGTTCAGTAGGTGGGTATGGACAGTAGGTGAATGACCTGGTGTCTAGGACTGAAATGAATCGCCGACCGAACCACTAAAATGACCCCTATTGTGACAAATGTGACGCGGATCGAACCACTGAAATGACCCTTCTTGTGGCCGAGTCTGTGTGGGCCTTTGTTCGCCACCACACGGCCATCGAATAAAAACATTGCTGCCGACATTTTCTAATTATTTCTGAGTCGTTAGATCGATATTTCATACGTCACTGGAGATTGCTGCCAGCCAGATGTATAATTTGACTTGAAAATTAGCTGGGGACAGGCTGCCCCAGGGTGGTATACGGTGTGGTGGTCAGTGTGGTGGTCAGTGTGTTGGTCAGTGTGTTGGTCAGTGTGTTGGTCAGTGTGGTGGTCAGTGTGGTGGTCAGTGTGGTGGACAGTGGTGACAGTGTGTTGGTCAGTGGTGACAGTGTGGTGGTCAGTGGTGACAGTGTGTTGGTCAGTGTGTTCGTCAGTGGTGACAGTGGTGACAGTGTGGTGGTCAGTGTGTTGGTCAGTGTGGTGGTCAGTGGTGACAGTGTGTTGGTCAGTGGTGACAGTGTGTTGGTCAGTGTGTTGGTCAGTGTGTTGGTCAGTGGTGACAGTGGTGACAGTGTGTTGGTCAGTGGTGACAGTGTGTTGGTCAGTGGTGACAGTGTGTTGGTCAGTGTGTTGGTCAGTGGTGACAAAGTGTTGGTCAGTGGTGACTGTGTGTTGGTCAGTGTGGTGGTCAGTGGTGACAGTGTGTTGGTCAGTGTGTTGGTCAGTGGTGACAAAGTGTTGGTCAGTGGTGACTGTGTGTTGGTCAGTGTGTTGGTCAGTGGTGACAGTGTGTTGGTCAGTGGTGACAGTGTGTTGGTCAGTGTGTTGGTCAGTGTGTTGGTCAGTGGTGACAGTGGTAACAGTGTGTTGACCAGTGGTGACAGTGTGTCGGTCAGTGTGTTGGTCAGTGGTGACAGTGGTGACAGTGTGTTGGTCAGTGTGTTGGTCAGTGGTGACAATGTGTTGGTCAGTGTGTTGACCAGTGTTGACAATGTGTTGGTCAGTGGTGACAGTGGTGACAGTGTGTTGGTCAGTGGTGACAGTGTGTTGGTCAGTGGTAACAGTGGTGACAGTGTGTTGGTCAGTGGTGACAGTGTGTTGGTCAGTGGTGACAGTGTGTTGGTCAGTGGTGACAGTGTGTTCGTCAGTAGTGACAGTGTGTTGGTCAGTGGTGACAGTGGTGACAGTGTGTTGACCAATGATGACAATGTGTTTGTCAGTGTTGACAGTGTGTTGGTCAGTGTTGACAGTATTTTGGTCACAATGTTGAAACACTGTGTATACAGACCACTACTCTACTAGTCAACTAGACCACTGACACACTACACCACTGGTCAGATAGACCACAACACTACTGGTCAGATAGACCACTACACTACTGGTCAGATAGACCACTACACCACTGGTCAGATAGACCACAACACTACTGGTCAGATAGACCACTACACTACTGGTCAGATAGACCACAACACTACTGGTCAGATAGACCACTATACTACTGGTCAGATAGACCACTACACTACTGGTCAGATAGACCACTGCACTACTGGTCAGATAGACCACTACACTACTGGTCAGATAGACCACTACACTACTGGTCAGATAGACCACTACTCTACTGGTCAGATAGACTACTATATTAATCGACCATGTCCGCAATCCACCTTCTCCCCAGAGTTAAAATACAATTATTTACAAGAAACCCCAGTCTATGGTCCCGATGTGTGTGGGAGGGGGGGAC